ACACAGAATCAATATAAAATATGTGTACAGAATGCAGGAAGTGATATTCATGGCAAAACACAAAATCCATGGCAATCTTGCCACCCCACAGAAGACGTCTATTTTGTAGTTGAAAAGATTACTTTAAAAGATTCAAGGTAAAATAAACAATGATATCATCAGTAGAAGTTTTTTTTCCAAAAAAACGAATTGAAAACCGGTATCCCATCTGCAAATAAGAATTGTATACTAAGCAGCATAGTTAAGCACTGAGAACATTTTCACTGCTAGTGTAATTCTGCTGCCTTGGCTTCTCTTTTCATCTCTCACACAGGAAGCTTGTTAAAATGCACATTATTTTGCACTGATTGAGGAATCTCAATTGGCGAAGCCATGTGGCTAGTTGAAAAATTCATACTAATGTGGTAAGAGATGCTGTTATAAAGGTTAGGAAGAAGTATACTTCTGGGGCAGAATAAGAGGAACATTACTCTGCAGCTAGCTGGTCTATACCCAGATTCAAGAGTATTTGACACTAACACTAGGTGAAAGAAGGAGGAAGCAGACACAAGCAAATAGCATTAAAAACAATCTGCCTTTCCGATTAATACCAGTTTCCGTTGCTTTATTTTTCAACGTTTCATAATGCATAAACCACTGCATCAAACACCTTTATTAAGCAAGATTGTTGAGAAGAACATCATATAAAATGATCAAAATCTCAATTTAAAAAAAATTCCAGACAAAAGACAGTCAGAACAGATCTCCAAAGAAGCTAGTTGTTGCTGCATGGCATAAATCCACTAAATGATCTGCATATATACCTGCTCGAGAACAGTATTGGGAGATGTTGGGGTAGGTGCAGACAGAAATCTGTGTGTTTCTGGGATGATTAGGGAGAGAAGTTCATGATAGGGTAGGGTTTTCATGGAATGTACTTTCTTACATTATTGAAAGAGTTTTAACTAGAATACATTAGAGAACTCACCAAACTTTCAATAGGGCTTTGAATACTTATACACTTATATAATACAACCAAACATGTCAGAAAACAAAGCTCCCAGATTCTAACTACCTCCAAATAGAGAAATAACAATAATAATCCTTTATGTAGAGTTCAATATTCAACAGATTTCTTACATTGAATCAACAATCCATACAATTGGCAGTTCAACAGCCTTAGCACCATGTAATCTGGAAAGTAAATTCTATGCAAACTAACATTGAGACCTTTTCCTTAATAGGTGACTGGATATTGCTTACAGCTACTTATTTCTCAATCTATGATTAGTGCACAAAGGCCTCACCTAGTGCAAAAGATCTATGACAAATGGGCAATATTGCGTTGTGTAACTCAAAACTCTAGTATGAGTCAGCAATTTCAGTAAAGGTGACTGAATGTACCCACATGACTAAACATTGCTCACAATTCAGTCAGCTCTTTTCCAATATAAGTAACAATCATTTTCAGCACTGAAAGTCACAAGACCCACCCGGCGTAAGCAAAGTTACTTCTGTTTTTTTAAGTTGCCCTTTTCATCTAGTTCCCCATATTCCTTAATGTTCATCAAATGAGCTCATGATCAGTGCTCCACGCAGGGCTCTGTGTGTTTGCCAAGTTCTCCATGCCAATTTCTGCCCTCCTCCCAGTATAATAGTGATCTTGGCTCATATCACTGTTCCAATATTGTTCAATGTGAAATACTAGAATTGGACACTGCTAAGAGGTTCCATCAGTGTAATGCCCATATTACGCCCAGTGTTATAGAAGTAAGAGTGCAGCAAATGTGCATATTCCATAATCCTTAAAAAATAATAAAATACTCAAAACTTCACAGTAAGCTCATCTACATCCTGGCTCTCGCTCACTCAGCTTTCCCTCACTTCTGCAACATCCCCTACTTCACCACTACCTCTCATTGAACTCCCCAGATTCTCCCCAGTTGCAGATTAACTTCAACATGTATGCAGATGACACCTAAATTTACGTTTCCTCCTCCAGCCATGAGCCCTGGTCCACCAATGTTCTGTCAAGCTGCTTTTCACACATCAAGGCCTGGATGAGCACCAACATCTGCAGCTCAATGTTGACCCCAAGTTCTTGGCTCCCATCAAGGTCTTCTCACCTGCAGCTCCAACCTCTTTAACCTTCCTGAGCTAGCCCTCAGATTTAATGAACCAATGCGCAACTTAGGCGTCAGGTTCAATCCCCAACTGTCCTTCCTATCGCACATCCAGTCTCTGACCAGTACCGCCTTCCTCCAACCTTACCTCATACCAAATCAGCTGAAACGCTTATCCATGCATCCGTCACCTGCTGCCTCGATTTTTCCAATGCTTTCCTCACTGATCTCCCCAACTCCATCAAGGATTATTATTATTATTTTAGTCATAAAATCCAATTACAGTCATTCAAAACTACCGGCCATATCCTTACCTATACTGAACTCTGCACCTCCATCAACCCAGAGTTTGCCAGGCTCCACTGGCACCCCAATGCAGAACAGATCAATTTCAAGATCCTCATCCTCACGTACAAATTACTTCATGCCTTGGCACATCCCCATCTCGCCGACCTGCTTACACCTCACTCCTCTACCTGCTCCCTTCACTCAGCTGACTCCAGCCTTCTGCAAGTCCCTTATCCCCTCCGCTCCACTACACCAGGAGTGGGGGGTAAGTCGGAGAGGTGGTGCCAGTGGAGCCACTACTCCCCAAGATTCTGAAACTCTACCTCAATCCCTTTGCCTTGCTCCCTCTTTGCCCATCTTCAGATCACCTCCCCCTCCTCTCCCTGACTTGACATTGCGCTCCACCAATCTTAAGCACACTGAGACGCAACCCTGCATGAAGGTGCTTTATAAATGCAAGTTGTTGTTGTCTTTTCATCACCTTTCAATCACACCCCCTCCCCTTAACATCCCTTCCCCGCAGCTTGGGCTCCCAACATGAAATGCACTCTATAAATGTAAATTGTTGCTGCACTTGTAAGGAACTCATTGTAACTGGACTGTTATATAATTTGCTTAAATGGAAAGTGAGCGGGGAATTAAGTTCTTTTTTAAAAATCTTTAAAGTTTAATTATATTCCAAACCGCTTAATAGAGGCTTCCGCTTCAGATCGAATGTGATTATAAAACATCTGTGATGCATTATAATCAAAGATCATGAACTAATTGTTTAATTATTTTACGATCAGCCCCAGAGGGACAACCTAATGTGTATTGTTGTATGTGTTAGACTGGTAGAACTATCAGAAATATTAACAGATAGGGGGTGGGAACTGAGGGAGGAGTAGGATAAGATTGAGTGGATCATGTGAAGAAAAACACCAACACAGACTTGATGACTAAACGTCCTGTGTCTGTGCTAAACATTCTATGATTAAAAGGCTGGCGTTTCTGTTCTGCAACATAAGATTTTATGATTAAACAACCAGGGTCTCACCCTGTGATCTTCTACCCTGTAGCTCCCTTCAGAGAGGAACAGAGAAATTCAACAACATAGTAGTAGCCATGTCACTCACATACCTATAGTCTGTTCAACAGCAGCAATAGGTCAGGGAGCTCAACATTTTCAGTTGAGGTATGAATAGCATAAAATTTGCACATAAAATTAAAGTCTTGAAGTGCTCCACAAAGATAATGGAGGTGACCAGCAGAGAAAAAAAGAAGAGGGGATTTGAGGATCTTGACCAAATACACAATACAAAACATACTTTTTTTTAATCTATGGAGAGAAGGAGCAAGGTAAATGGTTTGGGGAATTTCAAAGAACTGACATAGTTGCTTAAGACTCACATACAAATGGTGGGATGGTAGAATTGAGCAATGTTCCTGAGTAGGAAAAGAAGGCACAGGCAGGAGATTGACCATCTCTACATTTGCAAGGTTGTGAAAAGATATGAAGGTCAGGCCGAGAATACTGAACTTGATCTACTGTCGTACTTCAAACCAGTGGAGCCTGGCAGGGAAAGGAGTAATGGAATTGCTGTGTCCTCTGCTTTAGATCAGTGGGAGCTCACAGAGGGTGCAGCTAGGCATAGCAACGAGGACTAGGTTTGAAAAAGGGACAGAGAAGCTAACCCAATAAAAAGGGGGGGTGGGGGGTGGAGAAGAAAATAAAGATATTTTTAAAAAAACATGAAATTCAGTACAATGTAAAAACCCAGAATATCCTTCTGACAATAACGTGTTATTGCCAGTAATGACAATAACACTGTTCTGTCCTTCACTGGCTGGTAATTTCGAGTGTTCGGGTGTTACTCTAAAATTATATTTGATGTTAAAAAAAACTTTTGGATTTATTCTATTTTTAACACAGACTGTTCACTGCAGGGCCAGTGATTACACATTTAATCTAAATTCCGTTCAAAGTGAAAAGATACATAATAATCCTTGCATTTTTGTATTTGGTATAGCGTGTTATCGTGTCTTTTGAGACGTCTCAAAGCGCTTCACAGAACATACTATAAAGTGAATTGACTGCATATTTTGTGGGCGAAACATACTTTTTTTAAAAAAAAAACAATGATTACCGATGTTTAAATGATTGACAAGCAACTAATCTAATACAATGCATCCAAATGGCACATTGCCACTGCAGTAACAAGAATCAGATATTTATAGCCTTTGAGTAACCAAGCACTATTTCATGCTAATAGCGTGTGAAATAACTGTGTGTTATTTTTGGATAAGCTGAATGACATTATTGGTACCATTTTTTGATTTAAATGCTTGCATTTTGATTTGATTTTGTATCGCTATGGGGGGGGGAGGGGGGGGAGTGTGGGGGGGGATAGAGACCCCTGGAACCTATGTGTCATTTAAAGTTATTGTATTGCTTGCACCCAGTGTGTCTCGGTTTTGGAAGGCAATGCAGACCACAGGAAAAGATTTGACTTGTTCGACCACTGATCCACAGTGCACATATCAAACGAAAGGCACATTGCTCCACAGACAGTATTGCACCAGTCCCACCCACCCACCCACCCCCCCACCCCCATTGGAAAAGCCTCCTACCTTCTGCAGCCTGTTTTCATTCCTGAATCCGAAAGAGATGGGGCATTGGCTCCAGATTCCTCCTCTCTGCCTCTCTCTGCTGCTGCCGATGGCTTGTGATTATGTCTCACTTGCGATTCAAACTGTGCAGAGTCCTTTTCCGAGCCGGTGATGGTGCTGTCATGTTCTACCGTCTGGGAATTATTCCTCCTTCGCATTACTGGAGTGGAAAAAAAGGAAAACACGCAGACGCTCGGGCAAAAAAAAAAAAAAAAAATTCGAAAAAAAAAAAAGGCAAAGAAAAAGAAAAGGAAAAGGAAAGAAAAAAAAATGCCTTTGATTTTTTTTTCTTGCAAAAGGGGATGGAAACGAAACGAGAAGGGCAAAGGGCTGGGGAGCAGAGGGAGGGAGGGAGGGAGGGAGGGAGTGCACTGGGGGGGTGGGGGACTGGACACTGAGGACTGAGGACTGCACTGAGCGGATGGTGAGGGCTTCAGTCTCCCTCCACAGTGTGAAACACATTGGTGGTGCAGCAGCTCAGCTCAGCTCAGCACAGCTCAGCACATCAGCTGATTGCACACAACCTCTCACCTCTCAACCGCACACACACCCCCCCCACCATTCCCCCTTTTTTTTTTGCACCACCCCCACACGCCTCTTGGCGCAAAGGCAGTGGGGGATTTGCAGCCGTATTCCTAGAGGGTGGACACGGAAACGCTTACACACAAACCCACCCCCCACCCCACCCCACCCACCCACCACCACCCACTGGATCGGTTGATCCTGGACCGTCACTGATGGTGTGCACCGTGTGATTTCCTGAGCGCTCTCTCAATGCAATTCCTCTTAAACCTCCTGCGGATCCCAAACAGCCGCGATTGCAATTGAGATCGTGCAAATTTAAAACCGTGGGGGGGTCCCCCCCCCCACCCACCCACCACCCAAAAAAAAGAGAAGGCGCTTTAAACCCGGGTGGTCGAGCGCAATGTGGAGCAGGACTGAGCCCCAGCGGCTGTGATAACCATGACAGGTAATGACAGCCCCGTGTGTGTCTTTAATAATAATAATAATAATCCTTGCATTTGATATAGCGCTTTTCACGTCGGGAGGACGTCCCAAAGCGCTTCACAGAACACACTGTAAAGTGAATTGACTGTATATTTGTGGGTGAACGCGGCAGCCAATTGCGCACAGCAATGTCCCACAAACAGTCGTAGATTGAAAATGACCAATTTATTATTGTTTTTTTTTGGAGGGATTATTATTAGGTGTGTGGAGTAAGGAAACTTGCCCGAGGTTTCGCCCTCTGCCTGGGATTGAACTCAGGTCTCTCACTTGCAAAGCGAGTGCTCTAACCACTGAGCTACAGGACTCCACATTGGAGGGCACAGGGGGGGGTGGCAAACTGGAAGTGAAATAAAACAGGTATTTTTTTTATGGTGTGTGGTTTCAGTTCAGGTTTCGTTTGGACTCCTAACCCTCTCGTTAAAAGTCCGAGTCTCCCTTCCTGCTAAAAGGTTTTATTTCCTTTTGCTGGTACTGTCTTTCTTTCACCTGTGAAGCTTATCTGATGGCACACTATTTGGTACACTATTTGGTCCAGGAGAGGAGGAGGAGGAGGAGGTGGTGGTGGTGGTGATGGGCAAGAATTGGGCACTTTCAGGAAAGCATCACGAATGTAAGGGGAAAAAATGGTATGGAAAAAAAAATAAAACTGTTCAATGAGCTAAGAAAGCAGACCCTTTGACTTTTAAATTATCCTGATGCTTTTTTGACGAAAAGGTTTTCGATCATTAAGAGGCCAGTCAGGGTTATTTTAAAATCAACTACAGCGTTGGTGAGATTGCAGATTAGTCCATTTGTTAATTTATCCTAAATCATATCGCCAAGGTTGGTAAATGTACTATCCATTGGTCAGTATATTTACCAACCTTGGAGATATGATTTAGAATGGGGCTTGCGCTGCCGAGGCAGTAAATTTATTAACCAGCAAAGGATCCTCGGAAATAGTCGGTTCAGCTAACAATATCAGCTAACAGTAGGAGCAGAGAAGGTTACGAGGAGACCTAATAGAGGTCTTCGAAATCATGAGGGGATTTGATAGGTTAGAAAGGGAAAAACTGTTTCCACTGATGGGTGTGTCGGTGATTCGAGGTCACCGTTTCAAAATAGTCTCCAAAAGAAGCAGAGGGGAGGTGAGAAGACATTTTTTCACGCAGCGAGTTGTTCGAATCTGGAACGCATCGCCTGAAAGGGTGGTGGAGGCCGATTCGATATCTACTTTTAAAAACGCGCTGGACGGGTATTTGTGGAGGACGGGTTTGCAGGGTTATGGGGAAAGGGCTGGGGAGTGGGATTGACATTAATTGCTCGATTCAAAGAGCCGGCACAGACTCAATGGGCCGAATGGCCTTTTTTTGTGCTGTACAATTCTATGATTCTATGATCAAAACATTGATGGGTCACTAGGAGGACCTTTAAACTGCGAAAAAAAAAATTCAACCGTTTTGTTTATGAGCTAACTTTATGTCCTTAAAGAGGAAGGATAATGATTATAATAAAATAATCCTTACATTTGTCTTTTCGTGTCAGGAGTCCCAAACTGCTTCACAGGATATAGTGTAAAATGAAGTGACTTGTGTTTTATGGGCAAACAATTAGTGGAACAATGCAAAGTATTTTTTTCTTATGCACTATCATCATGGGTTTTTTATCATGCACCAGAACTTGCAGATCGGTCATCGATTTAACAACAACAACAAGATTACATTTGTATAGCGCCTTTCACGTCAGGAGGAAGTCTCAAGGCGCTGGACAGAGTACAGAATTTCAGACCCGAGCTGGGTCGGGGGGGGGAAGGGAGGGGAAGGGGAGTGGTCGATGGCATGGTCGAAGAGGAGGGTCTTGAGGCGGGACTTGAAGGAGGATAAGGAGGGGGTGAGGCAGAGTGACTGGGGGATGAAATTCCAGAGGATGGGGGCAGAGTGGCTGAAGGCTCTCCCACCAATGGTGGGGTGGATGGGTCGGGGGACGTGGAGCAGGCCAGAGACGGCTGAGCGGAGGGAGCGGGCGGGTTGGTAGGGGGTTAGGAGGTCGCAGAGGTAGGGTGGGGCGAGGCCATGGAGGGCTTTGTATGTGAGGACCAGGATCTTGAACTGGATCCTCTGAAGGATAGGGAGCCAATGGAGTCGGGCGAGAATGGGGGAGATGGAGTCACGGAGTTTTGTGTGGGAGAGAACACGGGCTGCAGAGTTCTGGATTATCTGCAGCCTGTGGAGGGAAGAGTTGGGAAGGCCAACAAGCAGGGCGTTTGCATAGTCGAGCCTGGAGGTGATGAAGGCATTAACAAGAGTTTCAGCGGCCTGAGGGGTGAGGTAGTCGGGTGATGTTACGGAGTTGAGGGAAGGCAGAGCGGGTCCTGGCTTGGATGTGGGGAAGAAGATAGTTGAGGGTTGAACAAGACACCCAGGTTCCTGACTGGCTCGGTGAGTTGTAGTGTGCAACCATGGAGGTTGATGTTATCAGAGCCTGAGGTGCTGAGGCGCTGGTGTGAGCCAATCAGGAGGACCTCAGTCTTGTTCACATTCAACTGTAGGAAATTTGCCCTCATCCAGGACTTGATGTCTGACAGGCAGTCTGTCAGGACAGCAGTGGTCCTGGAGTTGAGGGTGGAGGCAGAAAGGTAGAGTTGGGTGTCATCCGCAAACATGTGGAAGTTGACCTCATGTCTGTGGATGATGTCACCATCTTATCCAAAGGATAGCAGTCCCCAAGCTGAACATTGGAGTGTCAGTCTCAATCATGAACATGATTAAAGGGTAGTAAAGTTAAGCCTACATATACAGTTCTACATTTCACAATAAAATGCTTTGAAGTGCTTTGACCTGCCTCACCAACATGATAAGATGCAATATCTATTGTAAGGATTATTAGTAGGAACTAGTGTCCTACAGGGTGAGTACATTGCGTTTTCTCCTCTGGGACCTATTCAAGCTGATTGATTTAAAGTCTCTTTGCTAATCGTTGGGGTTCTTCTCTGTATACTTAGTGTTTGCTGATACTAAATGGCAAAGTTGGAAAAGTGTTCTATTTCCCATAACTTTTATCTATCATTTCAAGCTCTTGGGACATCCTCCCTAGATGAAAGTTGCTATGTAAATGTAAATTTGCATTGTACTGTATCAGGTTAAAAGGGATAATCACCTCAAACTGTTTGACCAAAATGCTCAAGGAGGGAAGGGTACTTTTCGGGACATGTTTAGCTGTAAAGCCATCCTTGTTAAATATTTAAAACCTGTGCCAAGTCAATAAATGTAAAATCATACACCAGCACTCGTATTTTCAAATCTATGATCATTTTGATATAACTCCATCCTCATTACAAGACGGAGCGGCCACAATACGGTTGAGTTACGGTGATCGTGTAAGTTTTGAACTGCGCTACGTACACCAATTGAAGCTGGCCGTCTGACTATTGTTATTATTATTAATTACTATTGCGTTATTAGTGGACTGCGAAAACAAATAAAGTTGCGGAGAAGCTTCACTGTGGTAAGTAAAAAAAACCCCTGCAGTTAGCCGGTCTGACGTAAGGATACTTTGCCCCCAAAATAACCCTAACTATCTGTGAAAAACGATAACTAGGTCTGGAAACTTTGGCCACTCTCTTCCTTCAACCTTTGCCCCCTACTTCCCTATCACTTTCACGTCACGAACTGAAGACCTTCCCCTTCGCCTGTGCTGATGCTCCACCTCCCCCCCCCCTCCGGGAGTGAAGGCCGCTGGATTACTGCAAGCTGTTGTAAAAGATAAAAGGGCCCGAGCTCCACCCACGCAGCTCCCAGGCTGTCGGCCAGTCCGGGCCGGGTTGCTCTCACATGGTTGCATTTATCTGTCAAATAATAATAATAATAATAATAATAATCTTTGCAGTGAATCGTGAATTGCCAGTGATTACAGGGCAGGAGGGGGGAGGGGGGGGAGGGAGGTAACTGGCGGAGGGGTGACCACGGGGTGACTGAAGCCCCCCCCCCCCACGCCCATGTCCACCCCCATGGCATGTCCTTTGCCAATCGGCCAGGCCCACACTGGGGGGAGGTGGGGGACAGCGGCACACGCAGCGCGATGGGCACAGGTACCTCTGGCTCAGGCCCCGGCCCGGGCAGGGAGAGACATGTCCACCTCACACAACAGCCGGCCCCGCGCGGCTCCCGCAGCGTCAGCCCCTCTGATTGGCCTCCCAGCATGTGTCAGCTCCTCTGATTGGCCTTCCAGCATGTGTCAGCTCCTCTGATTGGTCTCCCAACATGTCAGCTTCTCTGATTGGCCTCCCAGCATGTGTCAGCTTCTCTGATTGGTCTCCCAACATGTCAGCTTCTCTGATTGGCCTCCCAGCATGTGTCAGCTCCTCTGATTGGTCTCCCAACATGTCAGCCCCTCTGATTGGCCTCCCAGCATGTGTCAGCTCCTCTGATTGGTCTCCCAGCATGTGTCAGCTTCTCTGATTGGCCTCCCAGCATGTGTCAGCTTCTCTGATTGGCCTCCCAACATGTCAGCTTCTCTGATTGGCCTCCCAGCATGTGTCAGCTCCTCTGATTGGTCTCCCAACATGTCAGCTTCTCTGATTGGCCTCCCAGCATGTGTCAGCTCCTCTGATTGGTCTCCCAACATGTCAGCTTCTCTGATTGGCCTCCCAGCATGTGTCAGCTTCTCTGATTGGCCTCCCAACATGTCAGCTCCTCTGATTGGCCTCTCAGCATGTGTCAGCTCCTCTGATTGGTCTCTCACAGCACCCGCTCTTCTGATTGGTGCCTGGAGTATTCGTCCGCGGCTCTGATTGGTCCTGGCCCAGGAGAAGGCCGAGCTTCTGATTGGCTAACTTGGGCGGGAATTCAAATAACTTCTGGGGATCGTAATTAGGACTGAGAGAGGCTCTCACTCCGCAGTGATCCGGTCAGTGTGTGTCTGTAACCGGGTCTGAGAGAGGCTCTCACTCCGCAGTGATCTGGTCAGTGTGTGTCTGTAACCAGGTCTGAGAGAGGGTCTCACTCCGCAGTGATCCGGTCAGTGTGTGTCCGTAACCAGGTCTGAGAGAGGGTCTCACTCCGCAGTGATCCGGTCAGTGTGTGTCTGTAACCGGGACTGAGAGAGGGTCTCACTCCGCAGTGATCCGGTCAGTGTGTGTCCGTGTAACCGGGTCTGAGAGAGGCTCTCACTCCGCAGTGATCTGGTCAGTGTGTGTCCGTGTAACCGGTCTGAGAGAGGGTCTCACTCCGCAGTGATCCGGTCAGTGTTTGTGTCTAAAAGAGGATGTCACTTAATGACGATCTGTTCAGTAAAACACACATCTAAAAACTGTGCTGGTCAGTGCCTGTTACGTGACTCGCTGTAATAATAATACTAACGGTAGCATCTCTCTTCTCTGTACCTTTTCTAGGAAGCAATGTTTTGCGAAAAGGCAATAGAGCTGATCCGGGAGCTGCAGAGAACCGCTGATGGACAGTTACCTGCGTTTAATGTGAGAATTTTCTTTTAATTTAGATGAGACATTAAATCAAGGTTCTTTCTGCCTGTTCAGGTGGACACTAAAGATCCCATGACTATTTGAAATGAGAAGGAAGTTTCTCCTGTTGTCCTGGCCAACAGTGGCCCGTGTGATAATGCGCTACATCAAAATACAAGGATTATCATTATTAGTTTTAAACGTGCCGGGGATTGCTGTATTTGTTGCGAATATAACTTGTCGCTTGTTTTTCTCTTTGTGTGTGAAACTTGCCGATGAATAAAAATGTTGCCTTGCATTCATACAAATTGTAGCGAATAGCACTCCCCCATCGTGTAATGTGGAATTTTCTGGATATTGGCCTTTACAATTTTGGGCTTTGATGCGATTCTTATCATGAACGGTTAATACTGGAAAGTAGTTTGACTGTAAGGAAAAGAAAGACGAGATCTGGAAGCATCTGCCTAACTATGTTATTAACAATTGGAGAAACTACATTAAAAATCAGGTAGTACATAAGCATTTTGATATGTCATGTTAATTCTAATATTTATTTTAGGAGGATGGCATCAGACAAGTTCTTGAAGAGATGAAAGCTTTGTATGAACAGAACCAAACTGATGTGTAAGTTTACACTTGTCTCCATGGCCTTGCATGCTGGAGAATTCATTGGTGGTATTTAATAAGTATTGGAGTAAAAGCGTAGATGATTCAGGTCAAGAGAAACTGTCTTCATGGAATTAAAGACCGCTAATATTTTTATTAAAGCTGGATTCATACTTGATTGTGTCGCTTGTGGATTGGCAAAACAAAATTGGACGTACCTGATTGTAAATCAATGAGCTTTGACGAGAGGCTAAAAGCAAGAATGTGAGCCAGGCTGTTATTTTTTTTTCCTGGCTGTCAAAAGTATTTTTCGAGTGGAACCAGCAGAAACAAACTAAACAAAGGTAATCATCGACGATTTCTACTTGTATCGTGCTTGTCACGTACGGAGAACATCTCAAAGCACTTTACAAATACGGGGTGGAAGTCTGAGTTGTGAGGTGGGGTAGGTCGCCAAAAGCATGGTTAAAGTTAGGATATTGGAAGTTTTGGAAGCAGAGAGAGAGGGGGTGAGGTGGAGAGAGTTGCACAATTTGAAGAGAGTTCCAGAGATTGTGAAGCAAATTAAAGCTTGCCCATCGATGGTGGGTGGAGCGGGTTGTGGCACGAAACAGGCTAGACTTGGCAAGGTGGAAGGTGTATGTTGGGGAGCAAGAGATCCAAGTAAAAATGAAAGTGAATCAGATTCAAAATACTTCAGCTGGTATTTTATGAAACAGGCTGAGCAATTTCTGCTGGATATAACTGAAGAAATAAAAAATAGAAATCAGGTAGATTCCTGTTCAGCAAAGAGATGTGCGAGTTGAAAAAGATGGAAATGTTTTCTTGGAAACATGGTCTGGGAAATGCACAATAAAGGCACCATTTAACTCTTGCTCTAATAATTCTACTCTGCTTTCAAAACCTGTCTAATGCCCTAACTGTAACTACGCTTAGGCTACCTAGCCTCCCTCTCCACCCCACCCCCTCATAGCTTGGACTTCTACTCTGGCTTAATGCTTTGAGATATTCTCTGACAGACACTATATAAGTGCAATTCGTTGTTGGTCACCTTTGTCTGAGGTATTCAATCAAATATTCCTAGTATAGCTAGTGATGTTTGAGACTGCTCTATCGTATATTGTAGCTAGGAATGTATTGAATATTGTAGCCTCAAACATTCCTAGCTGGGCTTACATTGAGGATATGGTATCTGTATAGATAGATTTAACATATTCCTCTTCCAAGCAGCTCACATATCAGGTTGATTTATGGCCAGTGGTTATATATCATTGGGATGTTGACAAGATGAGGCACTTGTGTTTTCAGACAGTATTGATGCTCAGCTCTTTAAAATTCTGAGGGGAATAGATAATATAGACCATGATAAACTGTTTTATCTTGTATTGATCGGTAGAACCAGAGAACACGGCCCGTGATTGAAGGGGGGTAAATTCTGAACAAATCTGTGGAAACACTGCTTCAGTGAGTGAGTCGTAAACTTATGCAACAGGCTCCCTAGGGAGACAGTAGGACCAAAAATGTTGTTTGTTTCAACAGCAAATTAGATAGATTTCTGCTAGAAAATAATGTCTTGGAATACAGTATATAGTTTGGGAAATAACATGTCGAGCAACTGCCAGGATGGTGGAAGGCAAACTAGATGGACTTGGTCTTCTTTCACCGAGCAAATTCTTGTGTTCTTATTTTGACCAGAATGTAGATAGATGGGAGTTCAGTACTTTGTTGCTGAAAACTCCAGAAGTCATCTCCATAAATGTTGCTCGGTCCACCCAGCGAGAACTTTTCAGCTTCTTGACCACAGTGTACTTGTTACTTACTAGATGAATGGAATTTCCATCCAATCTTTTCTGCAGGGTCAAAGGCCGAACAGAGTTGACAGTAGTAACCCATCATCCATTTTGCAACACTAATTTTGACATTGATTTTGGTGAAGTTACAGTTACTCAATCCAGATACATTACTGACTCTATATGTTATGACACACTCGCCTGCCAACTGCCGATAGTGTTTATGCATCCACCTAAAGCTTATGCGACCCCCCAGGAAAGTGGAAGGCAAACTAGATGGACCTTGGTCTTTTTTTCATTTTTTTAGCATTTCTTATGTTCTTATGTTTAATGCAAATTCTCTCTGAGTTCATTCAATGCTCTTGTTAAGTTGAAAGTTGGTGACTGATAAACAATCACTGCAGTAAGTGATATTGCCATTCTTCACATGTTTAACTGCAGCTACGGAGTGTGCTGTGAATGCTCAAGAGCATACTTCACTGTGACCTTCAGCTGTTACTGTTGTTGAGGGGAGACTTTGCTGCAACAATTAAATGCATGACAAGATAGTGTTTAGGTCAGACGTGAGATTGTACGTTTGACCAGGCAGCACATTTCAAGATCAACACATTAATCCAAATAAACTAGTTCAAAGAAAGTACATTGATTATACCGATTGGCTCAGTCAACTAGCGACAAGATAATTGAAAGCTTTAAAAATAGTTGCAGTTTGCAATTCTCACTTGTGAAGTGATTATAATAACCTCTTGAGAGATGGGTTTCAGAAAAGCCAAATGCTCCTAATTTTACAGCCTTTTGAGAATTGAGAGTTGATTTGCAACACATTTGATTTGCAACAAAATCAAAAGTTGCTGGTGCCCACAGAATGCTTTTCTCCAGACTACCTGAAAGTCTGTGTCCCAGTTTTAAGATAAATTGTTTAAATAATAAGTTAATTAAATGTTTGATTCTTTCAAACACAGATTAGATAGTTTTCTTTGAGGAAGTAACATTATGGGATATAGTATGCAGGTAGTTTAGGACATATTGCACACGATCGTCTGGAAGGTGAACTAGATGAACTTTGGTCTTTTTTCATCTAGCATTTCTTATGTTCTTATGTCATGTTTGTAAATAACATAAACCAACTGAGAAGCCAGTATTATTTGTAGAAATAGTATAGGTGTCAAATTGTGGTTGACTCAAAAAAAAAAACCTAAATGATAAAATACACACTCCTACCCCAGAACTGATGTTCTGACACCTAAAAGATTGTCTTGTTCTTCTGCATGGAGGTAATGCAGCATCTCACACCCATACCTCAGCCAAATCTCAAGTTCCTAGTTTCAGTCTGCAATTTCCATTGTTTTTTTTAAAAAACAAGATCAAGAGAACTTTGCTGGATTGGGAGAACAGAGGCAAAAACAAGAGCAATACATGTTTTTTGTCCATAAGCTATCAATTTGATCTCCGAGGTTCATTTACATCTTCCAAGCTGCAGAATCTGGTACATTTGTTTTATTCAAGCATACTGATCAGGAGAGCTGTACGAGAAATGACACAATCTTTGCCCTGTTCTTGGGACTGCTGAGCACAGAATCTTCACTTGTACAAAGTCTGTCTGACAAGCAGCTTACAGAGCAGCCATTCAGTGCAGTGTTATTGATTGAAGTGGACAATGCGAAGGGAAAAGAAGTTATGAAAAATGAGCAATGAAATATTCACCTCTGCCACCTGCTCCCGCTTTCCCAGTCAACACAGGACCTACTGAGAAATTTCTTAATTGTGTCAGCAGTTCGAGTCTGAGCTAAGAGAAGCAGTGAAATCACTTACAAAAGCTGTACAACTGGTATTTACTCTTGTTGAAGTGAAATTAAGTGTATGACAACTTGTGTGTGTTCTTAAGCAATAAATTGTGGGCATTTTGCTCACATAATACACAGTCAATTCACTTTATCATGTATTCTGTGAAGCGCTTTGAGATGTCTCGAACACAAGTGCTATATCAAATGCAAGGATTAATATATTATTAAGTAATACATACTAAAACAAGCAGGTGATTTGGGGGACCTATTAGAGATCCAACGTCCTGTATATCACACTGCTGATTGAAATTGCCTGGACATTTATGATGATTCTTTTATCTTTCATCAGAGTGCAGGATAGTGTGAAGAGCAAATCTTGTTTAAAGTTGGGACTTCTGGAGATGTCCAAGGTTCCTCTTTATGAAAAATCCTATTTAAAGGATGACACACAGATACTGTTTTGAAGTACAGAATAGAGAATAGAATAGAATCTGACAGTGAGAATCGAAATAAATTAACGTCAAATTATTACACAATTTTTTAATAATAATTCTTGCAGTTGAATAGTGCCTTATCACATCAAAACATTTTGCGGCATTTAAGAATTTTCTGTAAAGTGTAGTGACTAAGTATTTTTAATGTTCCACAAACCGGCATTAAGTGAATAACTATTTCTTTAAATCTATAAGCTTAAAGTCCTAATGTCGGTCTTAAATGCCCAACCTTTTGAGTAAGAAGCAAGAGTGCTATCAACTGAGCCAAGCTGACACCTATTTTTGTTCTTTGCAGAAATGAGGCTAAGTCAGAAGGAAAAACGGATTTAATCCCAACAATCAAGTTTCGTCACTGCTGTCTGCTGAGGAATAAACGCTGCATTTTGGCATACCTGTATGTAACATTAGGTCACTGAGTAAGGGGGTGGTGGGGGGTGGGTCCGCAGTTGGTCACATGTCTAGCCTATGTATTGCATATCACTTAAGGCTTCGGAACCGGATTCAAACAAATTGTGTTTGAAAAATAATATTTCAAATGGTCAGTGTTCAGAAATGAACCTGGTTATGTGGAAACTACTTGAGCATAATTTACTCCTTTGTGTTGTCAGACATCTTAAAAGTGTGAGCTAGCTCATCTTTCAATGTGTGCATGCATTGCCCTTCTTCACATGGCACACAAGTAATGCATCTGTATACGTGTTGTTTTCTTGCAATTCGGCTGCATTTGAAGGTGATGTCTAAGTGTGATGGGAGATGCCCATGCAGGTAAGGAAGGGAGCATTCTTCAAATCCAGTGGATAGTTTTCAAAACTAAAAATAATTTCTTGCCTCGAAATGGCAACTCAAATTGAAGCTCATTTCTACAGATGCTCACTCTGATACTTCATCCATACCTGATTTAATAATAATAATAATAGTCCTTGCATTTGATATAGCGCCTTATTACGTCTTGGAGACGTCTCAAAGCGCTTCACAGAAATATACTGTAAAGTGAATTGACTGTGTATTTTGTGGGCGAAACGCAGCAGTCAATTGCACACCGCAGTGTCCCACAAACAGTCATGGATTAAAGTGACCAATTTTGGGTTTTTTTTTGAAGGAATTATTACTCCTGGAAAAGCGATCTGCCAATTGACTAACAACCAGGTTCCTACTTACTGCAGGATAAACAGAGGAGTGTGGAGTAAGGAAACTTGCCCAACATTTTGCCCTGCCAGAAATTAAACCCACATCTCCTGTTTGCGAGGCGAGTGCTCTATCTACTGAGCTACAGGACACCAGTTTTTTTTTATTTACACATATATATAATATATATAATATATATGCATGAGCCTGCAGCGAATGTTGACAGGCTATTTAACCTTGAGTACATCTTAGATGAGCCACAGCATCTCTGTCCATCGCAGTGAAATAGCTTTGAGTCTTGCATACAAAAAAATGACATGAAACAACTGATTGGAACTCAGATCTTGGTGCCTTTGAGAGAAGAGGAGATCAAGGTACAAATTGTAGGAAGAGGGAAAAAGATCCTGGTTAACGATATTTAATTTTTAAGCTCCCCCCTCCCCCTTGTCCACAGATATGACCGTTTGTTGCGGATTCGATCATTGAGGTGGGAATATGGCAGTGTGCTACCATCAGCAATTCGATTCCATTTTGCTGCTGAGGAGGTAAGGCTGCTCTGACACATATGAACAATGGAGAAATTAGAGATGGGCTTTCAGTTCACCATGCACCCTCCTTGATTATTTTTAGGAACCAATCTTTGGGTTTAGTACAGCCAAAGTCTTGTACCTTTTACCTGTTGCATCCTCCAGTTTATCAATTTGTGAGTAAAACCTGAAACCGAGTGCGGATATCCTGAAATAAAACAACAAAAAATGCTCTTTTCTGATTCTCTGCCATGTTATTACAAGAATTGCCTGTGCAATTTATGTAGAGGAGATTAAATGTTTCTGTAAAAACGTAAATTCAGGTTAATGCTGTCTTTTTATTGGAACAAAACATAGCACAGGAAAAACAATGGGCCTACATTTACAGAAAAGAGACAGAGTGTGTGTGTGAGGAGCCATTGCTTTTGGTACATATGCACAGCGCACTTAAGTGAATCTCTTAAATATAGCATTTTCTCTAAAATTTAGCATCTATATTTTATGATTGATTCCTAACTCCACTTATTTCTGTTTCATACTAAGTCAGTTGCTTGGCCCTAAAGAGAGAAAATGCCACACAAAGATACTGACTTCAATCTGAGATAGTGTCACCTTTTTGATTGATCAAAACTGTTGTACTTCCAACTGAATTCTTTTCATCAAAAGATGTCTCACTATTGTGAAACAGTAGCTTTAAAAATACTGTGTTTAGTTTGCAGGTCTTCATAGTTCTTTGTTTATTTTTACAGCATTGTATCACAGTCATGAGATTCTTGCAGGTTAAGCTCTTCCACCAACAAGCACAAAATTACATTTATATAGCGCCTTTCACACCGGACGGAGGAGGGGTAGGAGGGGCTGAAAGCATGGTCAAAGAGGAAGGTCTTGAGACGTGCCTTGAAAGAGGCGAGGGAGGGTGTGAGCCGGAGGGATTCAGGGATGGATTTCTAGAGGGTGGGGGCAGAAAAGCTGAAGTCCTGACCGCCAATGGTGGGGTGGGCAGGGCGGGGGACAGGATGTGAGCCAGTGCCTGCCGAGCACTAAAGCAGTCTGGCAGTTCTTCCAACCACATAAGCAGAGGGTTGAGTAAAATGGTTAATGTATGGTACAGAAAGGATGCTGCCGTTTGCATGAGAAGAACCAGACTCCATAATTTTGTGAGTAAAGAAAGGTTATACCAGTCTGCCTTACATGTAGAATTAAAATCTATGTCTTCAATGGATACATCTGGCATATAATAGGATCCTGAGCCATAGAGATCAGGTTCAATTCAACTTTAATGTTGACTTTTTCTTCTGGGATTTAAGCCAGTCACTTCCCTTTGCTTTCATTTTAATTTCTTTTTAAAACTTGAAAGGGAATTCGATAGAAGAGGAAGAATATTAAAATGTCTGGGAGCCAGTAAGAAAGTGGGCTTAGATGAAATGCTTCATATGGCATAAAGCACCAGCACGCACTTGACAGCCTGTTTGTGTGCTGTAATATACTATGGAAAAATTGTTTGTTTAACAATATTAAAAATTTACAGTCGAATTCGTACCCTTCCATTAAAGTTGGTCCCTGAACAGACGAGAAGCAATATTTACTTCCTGATGAAACAAAGGAAGCTGACTCTTTCCTCCATAATGTATAATAATGCTCCCAAAATGTTTCATACTCTGAGCTGTCAGGAACTGCTTTAATTTGTTAAATATTTACGTTAACGTCAAGACTTCAACACTAATAATAAAGGGACACCATTATCGCTGATGATAAAACCTTTCAATGGATATTGGGTCTCTCTGGTCCGGAGGAACTCTTGAGGTGCTTCACAGGAACCATTATCAAGTGAAATGATTGTGCATTTTTCAGCCAAATGCTAAAATGCAAAGCTGCCAACACAAACGAGAGTGCTTTAAGCAAACCCTTTGTGTTGTACTGTGGGAATGATCTCTCACTGTTGAAAGGAAAGCTAAAATGCAATCCAACCACTGAAGTGCTGTGTGGCTAGCCAGCAGTTTGGATTGGATTTAGAAACGTGGATTTCTATTTGTGGGCCAAGTAAAACATCTGACCAATGTTTTAGTTTGTGAAGAGTACCAGCTTTAGATTCTTCCTATCAGTGAAGTCCTGTAGCTCGGTGGTTAGGACACTCGCCTCGCAAGCGAGAGACCAGGGTTCTATACCCGGCAGGATGAAGTGTTGGGCAAGATCCTTACTCCACACGCCTCTGTTTAGCTAGCAGTAAGAAGGAACATGGTTGTTAGTCGATTGGTGGATCGCTTTTCCGGGGATAATAAATCCTCAACAATAATAATAATATGGTCACTCAATCCATGACTGTTTGTGGGACATTGCTGTGCGCAATTGGCTGCCACGTTTCGCCCACAAATATACAGTCAATTCACTTTACAATATATTCTGTGAAGCGCTTTGAGACGTCTAGAAGACATGAAAAGCGCTATATCAAATGCAAGGATTATTATTATCACACTGGCTTTGCTGCAGTTTACCATTCAGCAAAGCTGAATATTCCTGCACCATATCCCTCTAGTTTCAGGAGTTCCTTTATATCATCAGTGTTTGAATCTTCGTCAACACTGAACCTTATTTTACACTGCAGACAGAGTGGTTCAACCAGTACAAAAAGTCACTCGCTACTTACATGAGGTCCATTGGAGGAGAAGAGGGATTGGACATCACTCAAGACATGAAACCTCCAAAAAGCCTTTACATTGAGGTAAATATTCGAACTCGTGTTTTAGTTATGCAATGTGGTCGGGTGAAGCAGGAGTTTCCAGTGGGATATGTGTCCAGTTCACTCCTGGAGAAGTGTCCTTGATTCTGATGTTAGAAAGGAATGTTTGACTCATCGGAATTCACATAGTTTTTTCTGTAATGACACAATGTCACAAGCAGGTAGAAAACAATTGGTTTTCCCTCTGCTACTTTATCTACTGGATTGCTACTGAGAGAAGCAAATGTAAAGATCAAATATTTCCTCAGTACACTAAACAAATCCAGGTCTTAAGGCTGAGCGTAATTTCAGGTCCTTTGGGTGGAACCTGTGGGGATTCGGTTGGGTGGCCATTAACTGATGAGGTTTGAAGCAGACCTTATATAATATGCTTTGTGACTTTGCATCTGCAGGTGAGGTGCTTGAAGGATTACGGTGAATATGAAATTGATGATGGAATCACGGTCCTGCTGAAAAGAAACAGCCAGGTAATTCAAAAGCGTTAATTTTTCCCCGATCGACATTTTATACCTTGAATCTTCTTCAACACTGAAGTTCACTGCTTAACCACAGTTTGTTTTGTTGTATTATTTTGACACAAGTTTCGATAGAAGGGGCAATAGAAATGTAATTGGTTTTGTTGTATTATTTTGACACAAGTTTTGGATTTTTTCTGAGACTTTCTGAAAGAGTACAAACCCTGCTGCCATTTTTGGTCAGTTGTGAGTCTGATACATGCAGAAACCCACTTATGCTTAATAATATCCAAACCAGAACATGTTATACATTTGCATAAAACCTATACACGGATATTTTTTTGTGTGTTTGGGATGGACTGTGCACCTTGCTTACCTAATTACGTTAAGTATTAGGTGCACGTTGGCAAGAGCCAGGGGTGTGTGGCAGAGGGTGGATTGGGTTACTGGTGGGGTTTTTACCAGCTAAAACCACAAAGCTTCCCATTGCAAGCCCCGTCTGGCAAACCTGCTGTCTGTCCAGCTAGGGCCACTCTGACAGTTAGGGGTATTGGTTTGCAGGCCGGGAGCCAAGAAGGAACAATACTTGTGCCTCCCCATAATGAGGAGTCTGCCTCTCCAAGTTGAGCCAGGCTGGCTGATCTGTCATCAACTGTGTCTTGGGAGTAATTTACCACTAGAGGTCCCTATGTGTCTGAATCTCCATTTCCCTCCTGTTCGGTTGTATGTCTTTGTAATCTTCGGCCTGTGCTGCTGATGTTTACTGCCTAACTGCTGAAGCACACCCTCTTGTGGCTATTTTCTATGTGGATGCTCTGTGCGTTGCGCTGTGTGACCATGTAGGAATAAAAGTGTTTTGAATTAAGAATCTCAAGTGGATTACAAGATCCATAATGGTTAACGATAATGGTTTATGCACCCAGGATTGGTTCTCAAATCTTCTTTCTCTCCAGACAAAAAAACCCAAAAGCTCCTAATACTGTTAATCCTTTTTCATATGCTTATTTTTTTCAGCACTTTATGCCCAGATGGAGATGTGAGCAACTGATCCGTCAAGGGGTTCTGGAACATGTGCTATCCTGAGAATATTGCAGTTTGAAGGATTGAATGGCTGCCCTCTTCTTAGTGTCCTTCCTTCTTCTTAATGTTGTATTCATTAATGTTGATATTTACAGTGTAATAATCGTTTGGATTTAGAGCTCTGATTATTTCGCTCTGAGGTAAGTCGTACTAGTTTAAGCTTGCTCTGCTGGTGAGTTGAATTGCATTTTTGTACATTAAAAAAAATCAAGTGATGACCAATTCTAATTCTTGCATAAGTCATTTCACATGGTTTGGCCTCATTTGTTTTTAAGAGAAGCCTTGGGAAAGATGTGAAGAGAGCTGTGGTTGCCACACAGATCAGTCTCTTCAATGAGAAGGGGAAGAGAATGGGTTTGGAAATTGCTCTCTATTTAGAGTAAAGGGACATTGTTACATAAAACATCAATATGAAAATCTAAAATCTTATCAGGAAAACTCAGGAAAACAAGAATTATTATTACTTAAATTAATAATAATTCTTGTATTTGATATAGCACCTTATGTCATTGGGATGTCTCAAAGCACTTCACAGAATATACTGTATTGAGAATTGACTGTATTTTATGAGTGAAACATTGCAGCCAGTTGTGCACAGCAGTGTCCCACAAACAATTGTGGATTCAGTGACCAATTCTTTGTATTATTAAATTGGGTGGAGTGAGAACTTTAAAGCCAGTGTGGTCAGCAATCAATGTGGGAAACAGCATAAATGTTGCCTGGCCACCAGCCCCAGTTCAATGAACAGCATACACTATACCAGTTTTCCTGAATTTTCACAATGTCAACAGCAAAGACGGAGCTTTACTATAAACATTTAAAAATCCACTTGAGGTCATGGAAAACAGCAACTGAACAACCTTAATACCAGATAAGCGCACTTGATTCTATTTCCAGCTATGTCAAACTTAGAACAGGATCTCAGTTTGTAGCAGATCTATGTGAAAACTGGTGATGTTTTACAAACCTGGTAACAGTTTTATAGATGAGCAAAGTGGTCAATCATCACAATGGTTGGTCCCAATTAAAAGCATAATGAGCAGACTGCAGCCTCAGCACCAGTCCAATGCAACTCCCCTGAATTACACAAGTTGTTAGACAAATCGCTACCAACCAAGCCCCACAAAATAAGAAACTGGTGTTATAGCCTAGGACTGGATGGCACATCACACAGCAGCTTAATGCTACTGACTTTTTCCAATAGTCCTTTCCTCCCCCCCATGTACATTTCCAATTTACAAAAAGTTGCAGGAAATGTTGAACTCATAACAAGAAGGATTATTTTGTAGCATTACATCATTCTCTGTCCACAGCATCAGGGCTGGTGGCAGTACAATTACCAATACAAATAGTCAGCAGGTAATGAATTCCATCTCTTCAGACAAGTATTGAAACTGTCAGCCAAGCTACAAGGTCTTCACAATTTCTCTGTCATAATTGTCCCAGACAACCACAGTGACCTTAATATAAACAGATCTGTCAGGTTAAATATTCGTCTGAACAGATGAAAAATGATGCATGCAGTTGCCAGTATTAGTGATTGATGCAACATCCAGCTATATAAATACAATATATGGTTACATATTGGTTCAGCCTGGAGGAATTTTAAATTGTCAGTCAAGAAGGTAAGTAGAGTGTCTTCCGCAGCTAGTGAGAGAACCTGAATTGATGATGTGCTGAATATCAATCTTAACTGCACCAATACTCCCCTGCTTACAAAACCTGGACACAGGATTGTGCACCAGAATTTTTATAGTTCACAAATTTCAATACAAATTAGCTTAAATCATCTTTTGAAAAATCAATCCGTACAAACGGCCATAGTTAAATAATCAATACATTTTGTTTCTGTACAGCAGAATCACCATTTACAAAGTAGTGTTATTGCAGTTTCAAGTATATCAGCTCTTTCAAACCATAGTTTGAAATATGTTCATAAGTTGGCTTTCATATCAACTGTACAACTATACATTATGCAAAAGTAATCAAGGGTCACAAAAAATATTACAAAATCAGAGCCATTAATAAATAAGATTTTTTTTAAAAACTACCAATATTTTTTAAAACATGTTCTGCCACATTAATGTAATTCTCTCCCAGGAAAGATCAGAATTAAAATAGCATTTCTCACGACAGCAGATTTCATTTGTTGGCGTGTACCATATTTTTATTTATTGCATAAATGCCCTTTGAACCCTCAGTGAATTTTGTGTCAAAGAACTTCAGTGTCAAGAGGCTGCGGCAAAGCTTTTACTGAACTAAAGCAGGAGGGTGTATTGTTACCAAGAGCACTGGATCTGACTTCATTTTGAATTTCAGGTATTTGGCTTGTAGTTATAGGCAGACCGGATACAAACTGCTTTCATCAACAGCTTAAATCCCCCCCATGGTTTACAGTATCATGTGAAATGCTTTTGGACTTCCTCCTGACATCAAAGGCAATATACCAAAAGTAAGTATTATTATGACCTCCAGACACTCTTGTTCCTCAATTATTCAGTTAACACTGCAACTGCTAATTTCACCTCAAGTTCCAGGTGCAATCTCAACTTGGGTGAGCCACCTTTCATTACATTGTTTTCCATTCTTCATACCAACTTTGTCTGCGATCTTATGACACTTTCCATTAAAAAGACAACATTTTTGCCATGCAAAATTTGAAGGGGAAATTATGAAACAGCTTTAAAATCCCAAATGCCAATGGTACTTTCATTCTGATCTTTGAGGAGATGATTACACTCGAGTACATACAGCCATAAATTAATGCCATAGGCACTTGTGAAACACGCTTTAAAATTGTCAGGCATGTAAAAATTACTTTGATGCCAGAGTTAACTGTTAGGAGAGAGACATGGGAGCAATTTTTCTAATCAGTTTGTTTAACGCTGCAATTTTCTCATCCAGCAAGAAGTTGTTTTTCTCTGCACTTTTCTGCCGATGCTCTGTAACCTGCAGAGCCTTCATCAGCTGCGAGTTCTCCAGATACAAGTCCTTCAGCAACAGGTCAGACTTGGTGTTCTTAGTCAGCTGCAGGCAGGCAAACAAGCAAAGAGTTCAGAATCCAAACAGCCTTTACATCATGATACTTAATTACAATTCAATATCCTAATTTTAAAAAAGACCAAATTTTCCACAACCATGTCTTGCTTTTGTAAAAAAAATCCTTTCAACCGCAATAGATATATTTCTTATTGCAAAAGGGATTAAGGGATATGGGGATAAGGCAGGGTTATGGTATTAGCTGGAGTTAGATTAGAAGATCAGCCATGATTGAATGGCGGGGCAGGCTCGAAGGGCCGAATGGCCTACTCCTACATGTTATGTTCTGCAATATAGCAATCTGCTGGGTAACCAGCCCATCTCTAGTTGTTTTCACACTGTGACTCCACAGCTTTACAATATGGCAGCAAACTAAAGGAGATGCCGCATTTTGAGACTCCTGTCACTTTTACATTCCCTCCAGATGTCCGGATTGACAGCCTTTGTCAATCTGACATTGATTTTGAGTTTGAGTTTTGCTTGTGATTTCTGCCTCCTAAATAACATTAGTAGGTGAGCCTGAAAACCTTGCATCTGGTGTTTTTCGCAATTCCAGCATTGCTCGTGAATGCACCACATCAGTCTTAGGGTGGAAAAGATGTGAAGCATCATTAGGGTGGGGTGTAATGGGCTAGAGAAGTATTAGCATAGTGATATATGCTCAATATGGTTTCCACCTACACATATATTACGTACATAAATGCCCAGAAGTAGGCATTTAACCTGAGACCACAACATGTAAGAGGAAATTGGATAAACACTTGAAGATATAGGACATAAAGGGAGCAGGAAATTGGGGATTAAAGCTGTAAAGAAGCTGACACTAAAAGGCCAATGGCATCCTTCTGTACTGTATTTGTTATGATTCTACACTAAATAAGAGGTCCTTCCGATGTGAAAGGTGCTATATAAATGTAAACTGTATTATATTGCAACTATTTAAGGCATATAAACACCACATAGGATTCAAAGTGAGACTTTGGTGCACAGCAAGTCAGTTCTAGAGTACTTAAATGCATTAAGAAAAGTTATGTTTAAATTGTTGCAAGTGCATGGTAAAGATAAGCTGGACTGAAATAATATGTTGCAGTGTTGCAACATATTGATAAATGATGACTGCGGGCTTTGGTAGAATTCAAATAAGACTTTGCAACCTTGGGCAATCACATTCGCCTCCTGTTAAAATTTGACCTTACAACACAATGGCTGCAATGTGCTACCAGGAAGGATGTGTCATGTCAGGCATTGAACTCATTAAGAAACAACTTGATGTGGTAATAGGAAAACTAAATGGCTGGTGTTCTGGAAGAACAAGATCAAATGAGCTTTCTTCACAGAACTTCTCGTGATCATTGATTTATACTCTATCCCTCTGCTTTTGCAATGCCTTGTTTGCCCTTTACACTTGAACTTCACATTGAACTGATGGCTTCAAGAATTTTTCCATTAGTTCCCTGTTCTAGTCAATACATTCATAAAATGCTACATTCAACGCATGAAACATACTTATTGGAACAGAGCTCCATCTACTTTTCATGCATACCACATAGGAAAACGTACTTGTGCTACATTGTAAATTATTTTCATTCAAGACCTGTAGAAGTGAAAAACAGCACCTTATTAAACCCTCAGCTCACTGCACCAAGTTAACTGTACACAGTCACTTCTCACCTGTTCTTTGAGCTGGTTCATTTTCTCTCGAAGAATAATTCGGACACCTTTCAGCTTGTATTCCACCTGTTCCATCCTTTCCTCCATTCGCTTCAGAAGCTGTTCATATTCCACCTGAAAAGGAACATACAGCATGTTATTATGCAATGCAGTTGATAATAGAGTGGACAATATTACTGTTTAAAATAACAACAATTCTACTGGATTTTTTATTATTGATGCTTTATACCATTTTAATATCATTTGTAAAACTCGCAACTAGCATTAATATATTAGCTCTACATTCCTTGCATTGATATTTTTTCTACACTGCATTGAGTGTGAAGGCAAGGCTGAGAACATTTGGGTCTCATTGGGCAAAACAGGGCTGGAGAGAATTGCATCATTATTAGAGGGAGGGATTTCTGTTCATTTCAGGCACCTGTGTTAGGTTGAGCAGCTCCTTTTTCTAGAGGAGGTGATCCTGGTTTAGGTCTCCAGGAAGCAACACATATATCAGGGTATTCCCACCTCCAAATCCTTCAGGTGCTCGCTAAATCCGTAGGTTTATTGTAGGAGAGAATAACTTTGTCACACAATGGGTTGTACTGTCTTGTTGCCAAGATTGTGTAAGTACATGCATTGCAAGGAAAGGGTTTCTCACTCCCTCCATTCCACCATGGGTGGCCAAGCCAAAAATACTACAGGAGTGTCTGTGGGCAACAGTAACTAAGACAAAACAAAAACATGAAGGACTTTGGGACAATCTCCTGCTGTTAGTGGACTGTTTTACCTGTTGTTCAAACATTAGTTTGTTGGCTTCCTGAGTCTGAGTATCAAGCTGTTCCTGCAGCTGAGTTGCTCGCTCCTTCTCCTCTGATAGTTTAATTTGTAACTGCACCAACTGGTCTTTGGATACAGCAGTACTAATGTGCTCCTTCAACTGTTGTTCTTGACTCACATGCTGAGATTTGGCAAGCATCAGCCTGGCTTTGGTATCTAACAACTGGGAAACACATGAGAAATAGGACTGAGAAGACTTTTACACAACATTGGTCATGCCACGCATAGTATTGGTCACAGTGCCTCGGACTGGACACTGTTTCCAATCACGATTAGTTGTAGCAGTACCTAAGTAATCAGCTAATAAAGAAGGAACCAAATAAAAACCTACTGTCTGTGTAGAATACAGGTCATTCACTTTATCACTGTTTGTAGGACATTGCTGTGCACAAATTGGTTCGCTCACAAAACACACAGTCACTACACTTTACAATATATCCTATGAAATCCTGGAAACATGCTCCCAATGTAAAATATTTATCATACCTATTATTAATTTTTATTAATTGTGGCCATTTAGGGAGCTCCAGAATCCTTGATTTGGGGTTTTATGAATTGAAACTATTTTCAGATTTAACAAGCAACAACAACACAGAACAAATCACATTTCACAGCACCTCCCAAACAAGTGCAGGGCCACTGAACTGCGCGATTACTGTACCTGTTCCTGAATCTCTACTAGGGCAGCTTCCAATTGTACTCGTGTGCTTTGAACAGTCTGACATTCCTGTCTCACAGCTTCCAACTCACTCTCAAGTATATGCATCCGACTCATCTGTCAAAATCACATCAACAACAATATTTTGACAATTATTGGTTTTGGATTATTTGAATTATTTTTTAACAAAAAGTAAAATGCGTAGAATTTTGCTATTGAATTAATAGCCAATTATAACAATAACAATGTTGTCTATGTCTAGTCAGAATTTATTATTATGGTTTAGTGCTTACAGCGCATTGAAAGGAATCGTTACTAAACTGATTCACTGTTTCTAATTAACATATTATATATTACACAGAGAACTTACTTAAAAAAAATTGCTACAATTGTTCTAATGTAAAATAGAAGCCTGGTTTTAATTTGGTAAGTTTGATAATAAACAAAGAGTGAAGTTCTATGGGATGTAGTGCTGCAGTACATAGCAGAAAAATTGCATGCGCTTGGATCATGAAAGAGCAATACACAGTAAATGTGGATGTAAATAAGACCCACAGAGATGAGCCTAACAGCAAACTAGCATAAAAAAGCGACTTTCTGCAGTATCTCACACACTGTGAGCCCAGGCAGGTTAATTGACCATCACAACCAAGTCCTACTTTATTTTCATATTTCAGCAGGATCTCTGGGCAGTGACCACTTGTTAGAACCCTGCCTGATCGTCTCTAATATGCATCAGACTCGCTCATTTGATACAACTCTGAACCCATAACCTTCTGAATCTGAGTGAAAAGTCAGAATTTTGACTTCATCCAGTCTATGCTGACGCCCCAATGCAGTGCCGGGGGTGTGGTCCATTCTTGGAGGTGCCATCCTTCAGGTGAAATGTTAAACCAAGATCCCGTTTGCCTATTTAATTGGATGTTAAAGATCTCATGGCAGTATTCGAGAAGAGAAAGAGTTTTTCCCAGTGTCCTGGCCAACAATCCCCCAAATAAAATCGGTCACTCGCTATTTGGCTATTTGTGGGACAATGCTGTTTGGAAATTGATTGCCTTGTTCACCTACAAAATAAAACAATCACTACACTTTAAACTGTGTCCTGTGAAGCGCTTTGAGACATCCTCTGGACATGAACGGATCTCTATCAAATGTTTATTACTATCATCATCATCATCTCCAAAAAGATTGAGGCCAAATGTTGTGCCCCAACCCGCTACCCTGGCTCAGATTAGCTAACACAGAACATATCAGATTTCAAACCTGTTCCCAGTCTGTATCCAGAGACCGCCCCTGCAAGATCTGCATCATACTTGTGATTTCTTGCCAACCGGATCAAGTAGGCTCCAACACTAGTACTGGTCACTTAAATGAACTACTGAAGTGTGACTGTGCCTGTGGAGCAGCCCTCCAGCAGGAAGTGAGGAGTCAGGAGGGGAAATTGAAGAAGCTCTATAATGTGTATTTTTTTAAAAAATTGATTGTTTTAGATGTTGCACACTAAAACAGTATTTCTCATGTGGTATCTAGAAGTTATACTGCCCTGTGACGTTTTAACAAGTTGTAAAAAAAAATTGGATACTTTTTCCTACTTGAGGGAAATCTTGCAATAATGTCTTTAAAGCTGATTTACATTCTTCCCCCTCCCCCAATGGTAGGTGATAAGGGAGACAGCGTTGTGGAGAAAAGTGAAAANGATCAGTTACCATTGCAGTGATTGTTCTGCCAAGAAGAGAAAGGAAGAGCGAGGAGAAAGGCAATGAGAGAACTGCTGCAGCAGAACTCAGTGCGCGCTCAGCAGGGAAACATGCCAAGTGAACAAAGAGCTCATCATTTTGAAGGATGGTAAAGCCTCAATTTGTGTTGAAAAATCAGAAAGTGAACAAAGAGCTCATCATTTTGAAGGATGGTAAAGCCTCAATTTGTGTTGAAAAATCAGAACAAGCTACAGTCACTTGCAGGCAACGTCTGTTAGACTGATACTTAATCAACTAATGCACGGTGGTAGTTACTGATGCTTCTCGGCACTGTTGAAACAGGCATTAACATGTAACTCACATCAAGAAACTTCAGTAAGCACTGATGCCACACTCACTGGAATTGTATCCCCTACTTATACAAATGGGGGGAAGAAATTATTTTTTTGGGGGGAGGGGGGTTACCAAAAGACTTAAATTCATGTTTTTGTCATCAAAGCAGGACCATCAACTTTCAGTATCTGTAGCTATAATACAGGATCGCAAGAGCTCTTTACTTCAGCTCATCGCTGGGTGAGAGACTTCACAGTATAATTGTACCGTGCTTCTCTGAATCAATCGCTTTGGTAGAGACTTCAGATTCCAGATGGTACCAGCAGATTGAATGTGATATAATAGTTGCTGTTTCAATTTGTTTGTTCTGGTGGAAATGGGTCCAGTTAGTATCCCTGATCTTTACTGAATTTGAGGTGAAGTTCACCCACAAAAATATACACTCAATTAACTTTACAGTATATTTTGTGAAGCACTTTGAGGCGTCTCCAAGACGTGATAAGGATCTATATTAAATGCAAGGATTATTATAATTGGCTCTGTGCTTCCATTGACATTACCTTGTCTCTATCCTCCTGTAAAGCCTTCCTCAGGGACCCCATCTCCTGAGTGAGTGATAGGGTGTCCAGTTGGGTGGCTGTGAGCTCCGACTTCAGGTGGTCTGCCTCGGAATGTGCGCCCTCCAGAGCTGCTTCCAGGTCTTTTGTCTGTAGTGTGACAACATTTTAGATTAGATGCCAAACAGCTATCCAATTCCTACTTCATTTGGTAAGACTAACCAGTGCTAGTTTGTCTTTTTCACACAGCACCATTCTCTTTATAAAGTAGCTAAATTTAAACTGTTCATCAACCCTCCCCTGACCATGGGTCTGTGCCCAAATAGTGTCAAAACAATAAATACAGTAGAGTATTAAATAATTTTATTAAAATGTCTTCATCCCCCAGTGCCTTCGCCTTGCTTCCTCCCTTTCCTCCTTCAAGGCCGGGCTCAAGACCTTTCTCTTTGACCGTGCCTTCAGCTCCCCTCTCGACTCTCTACCCCCTCCTCGCTCCCTCCCTTCCCTCCCCTCACCCTGAGCATTTCCCCCCTGCTCAGGTCCTGACCTAACTGTCCAGCGCTTGGGACATCCTCCCGACGTGAAAGGCGCTCTATAAATGGAATCTTGTTGTTGTTGTTCATGGCTGTTTGTGGAAAATCGTTGTGTCCTAATTGGCTGCTGTGTTCACTTATAAAATACACAGTCACTACACTTCATAGGAAATCCTGTGAAGAGCTTCAAACCGTTCTCCTAGCATAAAAGGTGTTTATATCAAATGCAAGGATTATTATTTTTATAAAGAAAATGGCAAATTCTCTAAAAGCAACAATGGTCTTTAACAAGGGCTTTATTAAGCCTTGATGTGGAGTCCTGTAGCTCAGTGGTTAGAGATTTGGGTTTGATTCCCGGCAGGCGATACCTTGGGCAAGTTCCTTACTCCACACGCCTGATAATAATCCCTCAAGAAAAAAAACAATAATAAATTGGTCACTTCAATCGGGACACTGCTGAGCACAATTGGCTGCTGCGTTCCACAATTCACTTTACAGTATATTCTGTGAAGCGCTTTGAGATGTCTCGAAGATAAGATAAGGCCCTAAATCAAATGCAAGGATTATTATTATTATTGATCAAACATTTTTTTAAATGATCTAGAAAAGCTTATGGATTTGGCCCAATTTTAATGTATTCCCACATCAATCATTCTGCACCTACATCAACTTATAGAATACAATACAAAATTACATTTGTATAGCGCTTTTCACGTCGGGAGATGTCCCAAGGTGCTGCAAAGCAATGCGAGCAGAAAAATAATCAGACACACAAAATCTGAATGTGGTCATTTTGCAGTCAGTTCACACTGTTTCAGGGAGGTGGAGTTATACACAATAATGATACCTTCTCTTTGGTCTCCTGGAAGTGCTGTGTCAGTGTCTGGCATCGTCTCTCCAGGTCCTCCTTCTCTGCCCTCAGTGCACCTGCCTCACTCGCCTGTGAACTCTGCTCCAGTACCTGCAAAGCCAATAATTAGCAGAAAGTTCAACAAGTGAGTAAGTAGTGTTACTTTTTATTAGGAACTCCAGCGCAGGGCGAGGCCTGTATCACCACCAACCTTGAAAAGAGCAGCAAAGAAAGAAAGCATTTCAGGAGGATGCAGCTTGCTTGAGTGTGAAGTAGTGTGCAGGATGGCGGGAAGATTAAGAGAGATAAGGAGGTTGACAGACTTGAGGTTCTGGGAAACAATAAGTTTTGATTACAGCTTGGTGGAAAGTCAGGGTGATAGCAGAGGTAAGTTCAAAGAAACATTTGTGATAGCAAGAAAGCGAGCCTGCAAAAGGACAACAAATCTGGTGAATCTTCTTCAGACAAGCAGAAAAAACACAAATTCTGATGGATTGACCTTTATTTTCTGCCCAAAGGTATTGGCATCACAAGCTGACTGCTCCTCAGAGTGAGGCACAGGAGTGCTGGGGAATGGAATATTTAACTATTTCAGGCACTAGTGTGAATATCAAACACTTCCCCTTGCTCCACATTAACAACCTCACAAGAAACCTTCTATCACCAGACATTTCCACTTCCTACACAGTTCCTCTGAGTAAGGTTGTCAATTTAGTCTCATTTAGCCGCAGCTTTGGCTGTGAATCCACACTCACTAGAAAGTTGACCTAAGACCATCCAAACTTAATTTACGAAGAATGTACAGCACGGAAACGGGCCACTCGACCCAACCAGTTTGTGCCGGTGTTTATAGTCCACGGGAGTCTTCACCGATTCCTTTATTTCCCTCCCATACCTTTCCATTTCCCTCTCCCTCATGTGAAGGTCTAGCTTCCTCTTAAATGCATGTGAATTTGAATTACGAACTGATGTCTTAAAGCCAACAGAAGACTGTAACTCAATCAGTCTTAACTACATCTGAACTCAGATCCTGAGATGGAAGGACAATGCAACCATCTGCTGTACCATCCAGTTCTCATTTAAAGTAAATATTTATATCAGACACTTCTCATCAGAGAAAAGCAAGTACAAAGTTGCACTATTAGGAAATAGAGACAATTTTAAACAATGTCAATTTAAAATCAATGGCCACATTTGTTACATTTTGTCACAGTTTTTCAGGGTGAATTGTGATGGATTAGTAATATAAACATTTAAAGAAAAGTCACTTTTGAATTGTGTAATGGAGGTGCATAACATAATCATCTGAAAACCTTTTTGAGCCTTGGCCAATTTGGAATAGCAGAATCCCTAAATTATAGCAGCTTGAAAATGCATCAATTCCTGTGTCATGGGATAGGGAGTCTGCACGATACAGTCACATGCCAGGTCTCTACAGGAAGCTATCAAGCTGTATAAGATAAAAGAAACTTCAAACATGTCCCATGTGTGTGATCATTACAGAGCTGTAATCATTTGGATACAGAGCGATACTGAAATATAGTATGCAGATTTGCAGCACACTTCACTTTGAATTCATATGCGAGTCTCTTTTTTTCCCCAGTACTTGAAAATCTACTACAACAACAAGATTACATTTGTATAGCGCCTTTCACGTCGTGAGGACGTCCCAAGGTGTTAGATTCTCACCCAGCGGTAAAAAAATTGACAGCCTTGAAATTTATACTGAGAAATTAATTTGCAAACAGAACACATATTGCTTGTCTGTATTGAAATATTCCTTTGAAAGCTTTTTTTGCACAGGCTAGGTTTATACAAGCATTTAAATTCCTCCAAATTAACATAAGTTACAGCACTTGACAGGAATGTTATGTAAACCTGATGTTCACAGTGTTTTTAGACAGACTCGAAAGTTCCTTTCAATGAGGCTACAATTTGAAGACATGCATCAACCACTTGTGGGTTTACTCAAGGTTGGAACATGTAGACATGAATTATAGGAGCTTTCAGGAGTTGAGGCGATCATTAAAATAGCTATTTTTAAACAAATTTGAAATGTTTTATTGACTTTGAACATAGTTCAGGCTACTTCCTTGCTCATTGAGGTTAGCGTGTGTATCAGCTTAGCTCAGTTGGAAGCATTCTTGCCTTGAATTAGACGGTTGTGGGTTCAAATCCCATGTCAGAACTTTAACCCTGTAGTGTAGGCTGGTTCTCCAATGTAGTGCTGCATTTTCAGAGGTGCGGTGTTTTGGATGAAATGTTAAACTGAGGGTCCCGTCCACCTATTAAGGTAGATGTTAAAGATCCCACGGCACTATTCAAAAAGAGAAGGGAGTTTCACTTCATGGCTGTTCGTGGCCCATTGCTGAACAAAAATTGGCTGCTGCATTCACTTGCAAAATGCAGTCACTACACTTTACAGAATATATGTCAAGTACTTTGAGGTGTCCTGATGTGAAAGGTGCTATACCAAATATAAGGAAGATTATTATTAGAATGGAATTTGGATTAATCTAAGTAAGTTTGACCTGCACATGTAATAAAAGGCTACTTGTTACAAATTAAAATTAGAGAGAATTAATACTCCCCCTTTCAGTTAATAATCATTGCAGTTTTTAATTAATTGTATGTTGGGATCATACGGAAACCCATCACCATGCATAAGAGAATCTAAACCAGACTGAGTTCCATATACATGCAACTTACACATGGAAATTTCTCTGGTCTGGATCAGAATACGAATTATTTCCCTTGAGGGATCTGCCTTTTTACCTAATTCCGAAGAGTGTTATGTACAGGTTGGTAAGAGCCTAGACTTGTGGACCCCAGAGTGGGTTGGAGTACTGCTGGAGTTTAACCAGGTAAAACTCCATTTCTTGCCATTGAAAGTACTGTCTGAGCAAGCCTTCCCACAGCTTGTTCAGCTAGAACCATCCCATGTGTTAGGGGTTTGGTTTGCAGTCAGATCTCGGCAGAAACATTAGTGTAAAGACTAGAAGATACAGAAAGGTTGGCAGAGGGGATGGGGGAGGGAAGAGGAGAAAAGGAATTTGGTACACACAGTTAAAATGTCTCATCAAAAAGTAAGCAATATCATGGAACGTCATACACTGACTAGTCAGTCCCACCAGAACACATGGATTTCTTCTGCAAAACCCAATATGACTGCACAGAGATGAACACAAAGAAGGCATTAAGTCTGAAGCTCACTCACATCAATGTCCGGTGTACAGCCTCAGTCATTGCAAAATTATTGCTGGGTCTGCCATTGACATAGGTGTTTTGTAGATGGGATTGTGAGAAACAACAAGAAATAGAGCAAACTGGTGGTCACAGCACTGCAAAACATTGGTTTCCTGATGTGATGGCTGGAACTATCACCCCAAAGCTGTGCAAGAGACATGAGTGTGAGGTGCTACAGTTCAGCTCAGTTGGTCGCATTTTCACCTCTAGGTTGTGGGTTCAATCCCCATGTTGGAACTTTGAATTCATAAATCTAAAATGTATTGGTACATCTTATCAGAAACTCCACCACCTGTTAGTGTATTTTGCTGTCCTCCGCCCACCCCGGTATTTTTCTATTGACGAGACTCACAATGGCACAAGACTGAATACACTTCTGGTTTCAAACCCAAATTCAATGAGTTCCAGATTGTCACGTGTAACAATAATAGTTTCACGTTGTGAGGATATCTAAAAGCACTTCATAGTAAAAGATAGTAACTCTTGTGGTTTGTAAGCAAAAGCAGTAACCAATTTGTGCACAGCAATGTCCCACACACAGACATGGTGTGAATGACTAATTTTATTTGGGTGACTGTTGGCCAGGACGCTGGAAAAAAACTCCTTTCTCTTTTCAGTTAGTGCAGTGGGATCTTTAACATCCACCTGAACAGGGACAGGCTGGACCTCAATTTAAATCTCATCTGAAGGATGGCATCTCCAACAACACAGCACACCCCAAGCACACTATTGGACTATGTAAACCTGTGAGTTCAAAGTCCCAACATGGCGCAAGAACCCACAACCTTCTGATTCAGAGGCGAACGTGCTACCATCTGAGCCAGGCTGACACCTCACTTTAGCACCTCATACGCATGCCTGTATCACAGCTTTGGGGTGATAGCTCCAGCCATCACAACAGGAAAACATGGCCCGCAGCTTGCCACTATGTACCAGGTCAGGAGGAGCTCAAGCTGTTGCACTTCATCTTGTTTAAGTACTGTCTCATTTCATTCAATTTTATAAGCCAAACTAAAGTGTTGATCCTCATTTATGCAGTAATTAAATGTTGTATTGTTCTGACGTTTTAGAAGATTATCTACCTTGTAGCTCAATTATCCCTAACATGCCATAGAGACCAACGTGTGGGTAGAAATTCCACCTGGATCTAATTTTTTTATTCTATTAACAGAGCATTTCAGAGCGTGCAGAATTTAGCAAATTGTTGAATTCATTTTAACTTTGAAACCCATTTTCTATGGGTCTTAAAGTAAGCTTACAGCAAACCACCTTCAAAATTAAACATTGCATTTAAGAATTTGACAAATTCTGCAAGCTCTGAATGCTACATTAATCGAGTAAATCTAGACCCACGTGGAATTTCTACCCGGTTATCTCTTAACACACATAAAAAAAATCTGCAGAATGCAAACGCATCAACCACTAAATATCTAGAACAGCAATTATTTAAGGGCGACAGTTTGCCTCTGTGTATAGGGCAATTAAGTACATTAAATACAAACTGAATGTCTGTCATGCATAAACTCACGTCTTTCAATATTATTATTTATACGCCATTTCCCACAAGGAGAGCCTTCAGTAATTTTAAAGCAGTATTTCAGCAAGGAAAAAAGAGAGAATAAGTCACTTATAACTGGAGTGAAAAGACAGCAGAATGTTTGTAATTGGAATATTCAATTAATTTACGCAGAGTCTCAAAGTTTTCACTTCAGTGCACTGTATTGCACTGAAAAGGGAACAAACGGAAATGCAACCCAAAACTTCATGGTAAATTTAATGGACCTTTGGCATCCCTTTGAGATAACATTTCCCAGTGTTTACACAGTTTTAAACTTTAGGAAATGGAAATTCCTTCCATTAACTGGAAATATGTCATTCTGAAACACAGGAAAGCCTTTCCAACACAATCTGCGTCTGCTCCCTGTTGATGGAAATTCTTACAGGATTCCTTATTAAGAATTATTGTTAAGAAATACCACAAATGAGACTCCACCCATTCTATTTTGCGGTGTACAGGTTACAGAAACACAGCCCGCTGGGGGCACCAAAGCACTTCACCAAAGTGAGGAGGATCAGACCTTTAACCCATTACTCAGAAGCAGATAAGACTAGAGCAGAGAGATGGACTTCCAATTAACAGAAGAAGTCCCCATTCGCCCAACTTGGTTTCCTCATTAAGGACCATACTTTAGATAGCACCAGACTCTAAAGGGCAGAGTCAAAGGTCTAAGGTTCGATCCTGGTCACTGCACCTCGCTTCAATAAGCTCCTCAAACAGGGCATTGAACATGGGAAGGAGTTAGGAAAGGAAATATAAAAGACAAGCCATCCACAGGCTGCTTTTGCACAACTCCCGAAAGCCAACTCAATGCGGCATTTGCTAACGTTATGGGATGCTGTGTCTTACCAGTCTCTCAGTCATTAGATGAGGAGCTTGGGAAAAACATGGGAAAACTGTGGAGAAAATAGGTTTGTATCGGTTGAAGTGCGGATGTCTAAAAGATAAAGAATCCACCTCACTTGTTACTGTTAGACTATTTACTGAAATGCCCCATAGTCGTCGATTTGTCAAGACAAGATCCGTTATGAACTACTGCAGTTGAAAGCTGCCATCGATCTCTGTTGAAACAGAGTCAGTAAATTATTTTAAAAGAGGATTAGATAAACGCTTGAAAAAGAGCGATACTAACGGTAAGGGGAGTGGGCATGAGAGCAGTGTATTAGGTGACTTCTGTGGAGAAAAAAAATGGTCGATGGTCCAATTGATCAGTTTTTGTGCTGTAACATTCTACCATCCTAACCCTTACCTTCTCCCTCATGATCCCCAGCTCCTTTTCCATTAGCTCCATCTTCTCCTCCCATATGGATTGCTGCTCCTGCTCTCGCTGGCAGGAGGTGGCCTGCAGCAGCTTAGCAGACACGACTGGCTCTTCCGTCTGCTGGGAATGTTCCGCTAGCCTGTTGTTGAGCAGCTGGATAGCATTCTGACTGGTTTCCAGCTTGGCACTGAATTGGGAATTCTCACTGCTCAGATGGAGAATCCTGCTCCTCAGCTCGGCCATCTCTGCTTTGGACTGGTCATTCTGAACAAGATGGATTCGGGGAAACAGAGAAAACATTACTAAAACAAAGGACAATAATCCTTACGTTTGATATATAGTAAGAATACTTACATTGGATTTAGTGTCTTATCATGGCATCGAGATGTCTCAAAGCGCTTCACTGTATTTTACTGCAAAGTATAGCAAATGTATATTTTGTAGATGAACAAGGCAGCCGATTTGCGCAGAGATATTTCCCACGAACAGCCATGAGGACTTGTGTGGAGCCCCATAGCCATGTGGAGTCCCATAGTGAAGTAGTTAATGCACTCACAAGTGAGAGCCACCAGGTTAGATTCCCGGGCGGGGCAAAACCTTAGGCACATTTCCTTACTCCACACACCTCTGTTTACCTAGCAGTTAATAGAAACCCTGTAACATCAGCCGACTCTGCCACTACCTCACCCCTCAGGCTACTGAAACTCTTGTTCATGACTTCATCACCTCTAGGCTCGACTATGCAAATGCCCTGCCCTCCCAACTCCTCCCTCCACAGGCTGCAGATAATCCAGAACTCTGCAGCCCATGTCCTCTCCCGCACCAAACTCCATGACCCCATCTCCCCCGACTCCATTGGCTCCCTATCCTTCAGAGGATCCAGTTCAAGATCCTGGTCCTCACCTACAAAACCCTCCATGGCCTCGCCCCACCCTACCTCTGCGACCTCCTAACCCCCTGCCAAACCGCCCACTCCCTCCGCTCAGCCGGCTCCGCCCTGCTCCATGTCCTCCGACCCACTCGCGGGAGAGACTTCAGCCACTCTGCCCCCAACCTCTGGAATTCCATCCCCCAATCACTCCGCCTCACCCCCTCCTTAACCTCCTTCAAGTCCCACCTCAAAACCCTCTTCTTTGACCATGCCATCGGTCACCACCCTTCCCTCTCCCTTCCCTTCTCCCCCCCTGACCCCAGCTCGGGTCTGAAATGCTGTCCAGTGCCTTGGGACGTTCTCCCGATGTGAAAGGCGCTAAAGAAATGTAATCTTGTTGTTAGTCGATTGGTGGATTGCTTTCCGGGGGTAATACTCCCGCGAAAAATAACAAAAGAAAGAATTTGGTCACTCAATCCATGACTATTAGTGGGACACTGCTGTGCAGAATTGGCTGCCGCTTTTCGTCCACAAAATATACAGTGAATACTCTTTACAGTATATTCTGTAAAGGCATTGACGTAATAATGATGTGATAAAACACTATCAAATGCAACAATTATTATTATATTATGAAGCGAATGACACCTAAATAACCCCATTCTACAATGGGAGAAGATCTCAAAACGCTTCACAAGATTTAATGTTAAGTGTAAGGACTGTATTTTTTTTCTGGGCAAACACAGTAGCCAATTTGAACAGTAATGTCCTGCAAACAGTCAGGAAGTTAGTGACCAATTTTATCTGGGGGATTGCTAGCCAGGACACCAGGAGAAATTTCCTTCTCTTTTTCCAATATTTCCATGAGAAATATACTGTCTATCTGAATACCCTGAAAAATAGCTATTTTAAATAAACCAGGCCACATTTGTGCAGGGTATTCTTGTCCATTATAAAGATTGATGGGAAGACAGTGGGGTGGGAACTCTCGAGGCATGAGATCAAATAGACTTCAATGTACTGCAATGGACTGAAAAGGGAATCAAATGAATCATTTCAGCACCTTGGGAAGTCCTCCCGACATGAAAGGCCTAAATGAATGCAATTTATTGTTGTTGTATCTTTCTTGTGAATCCACTTCTTATATCCAGACAATAAGAACACATGGCCCCCATATACACATTAATATTTCGAACTGTGTTAAACCCATTTAAAAATTCTTTACCACATTCTCAAGTCCTTTGGCTTCCTCCTCTGCTCTGTCTTTTTCCCCTTTCAACTGTTCCATTTGCTTCCTGTACAACACAAAGGCATAAAGGAAACAGAAAAAACTCACTGAAAATTGTTGTGAATGAATGGATAAAGGGAAGAGAACTGACCAGCTCAAATAAACGAGTCATGCTGCATTGCATTAGGGCTCTGAGCGCACATTTTAATCCATCACCTCACTTACCTTTGTTTACTTCTTTCTCTATCTAGATCTTGAAACTCCATGTGAATCCTTTCCAGCTTTCTTTTCAAAGACAAATTTTCTTCAGCAAGCATTTTGGACTCGTACCTGCAGACAACATTATTCTAGTCAAACAAACAAGCCAGAAGTGTTCTGTAAATAAGTTGAGAGTCGAAAATAAAGGCTGCAAGCACATTTGATAATACAATTAAATTAATAGATTAATAAAGAAGCACATGCAAAGATTCTATGTTATGGTAAAAGCCCCAGATTGTAGTCACCATTGTACATTGGTTCCAAGTGAGTGAAAGATCGAGTGACTGACTGTATTAGGACAGGCAGATGGGTTTCCCACGCTGGTTGATTATCAATATGCCAAATTCAATACACCACATTTATAAGTCCAGTTAGAAAAGGCGCTGCACAGTTCCAACACCAACACAGTTAGCAATGTTGTAAGGATGGTGTAGTAGGCCTGACGAAAACAAGGCTTCAAAAATTCCATGTTGGTTTAGTATTAGTACAGTATTTAATCCACAAAGACCCAAACAGCCAGCACAGGAGAGCAGCCTGGACTCACGATGTTCATGCATGGTTGTCTTCCAGTTTCTTAGCACATTCCTTGCCACTTGCAAGGTAGCCGAGCAGCCTGTGTGACTGTTCTCTAAGATGAAGACTTTTTTCAATATAGTTAAGCATCCTCCCAGCTGTCCAGAGCAGCAGTAAACAGCCATACGAGTGTGAACATTGGAGAGTTTCAAGACAGTGGGTAGAAAGTAATAAATTTGAAACATGGGGTGAGGGGAGAATAATCACATGAAGAGGATAATAAACCGCCAAATGCGATGTTGCTGAGAATTCGTTCTTGATCGGCTTAGTTTGTTGGCAAAATGATGGAGAAATTCAGTTTAATCTCTGAAGAAAAGGAAAGCTTTGCATGCTTGATCTCATTATTTGAAATTAGTTTCCAGTTCAGGATTAGGAGGTAGTTCTTGTGATTAGTAGCAGCAGTAAACTGGACATTAGTGATTCGAATAGAATGATTGTGACAAACCTGTACTTCTTTTCAGCTTCACACCTCCTCTCCAGCTCACTGCCCAAACACTGCAGCCTGACTACCTCGTGCTCGAGCAGGTTCTTCTCTCTGATAGAATTTTCCATTACTTGCCTGAGTTTCGCTTCCATCTCATCTCTCTGCTGTTGCAGAGCTAATCTATCTGCTTCTTCCTCCTTCATCACGACCGACGAGCCATCTTCGTCGGTCATGTAAAGAGGAGTACAAATTTCTTGCCTGACCTCTTCAGGGGCTCTCTCGTTCTCCTGCAAATCTAGTCGGGTTTTCTGATGGGTTTCCTCCTCAGCGATACAAACCATTTTCATCTCCTTTACCTGAGTCTTCAAACTTTCCATCTCAGTATGGAGTCTGCGAATCTGCTCTTTGTATTGGGTTTCCATTTCCCCCTTCTCTTTGGTGAACGTATTGCATATCTCAGCTTGCTCTTGGTTCATCTTTTCTTGCAGGTTTAGTCTCTCTTTCTTGGCTTCCGTGCAAATTGCCTGGATTCGAGAGTCCCATCGGCGCTTCTCCTCCCTGTGCTGGTTCACAAGCTCCTTGCTTTCCCGCTGGTAAATCTGCATTAGCTCTGTATTCTCAGATTGATACTTTTGTATTACGGTGTCATGGTTTGCAATGCGTTGAGCTTCCAAAAGTGACAATCTCTGGTTCAGTTCATCTTGCATTGATTTCCTAAAGATTTTTAAACACTTTTCATTAAAGCTAGTTGAAAAGGCCCTTGAGTTAACCATATAATTATCCATATAATTAACTGTCCATATATTCCTAGAAGGAAATGAAAACAAATCACTTGGACCAAGGCGGCAGGACAAGAGAGCACAGGTTCAAGGTTGTGAAGGGCAGGTGTAGGACAGACACCAGGAAGTATTTAATAATAATAATCCTTGCATTTGATATAGCGCTTTTCACGTCGGGAGGACGTCCCAAAGCGCTTCACAGAACACACTGTAAAGTGAATTGACTGTATATTTGTGGGCGAACGCGGAGGCAATTGCGCACAGCAATGTCCCACAAACAGTCGTAGATTGAAAATGACCAATTTATTATTGTTTTTGGAGGGATTATTATTAGGCTCTGTGTGGAGTAAGGAAACTTGCCCAAGGTTTCGTCCTCTGCCTGGAATTGAACTCAGGTCTCTCGTTTGCAAAGCAAGTGCTCTAACCACTGAGCTACAGGACTCCACAAAGAGTAATTAATACTCTTCACACAAGAGTTTTTTTTTACACAAAGAGTAATTAATAATACCAGAAAGGATATCTGATACCAGTATGCTGGATGCGAACGCTGAGTATTCTGAAATGATGAGATCAAATGGGTAAAGGGCCTTCTTCATCTGGATCTCATAATTGTTTGTGAATTTGTGCTCTGCAGTGCCTCAATGTGAGGGTGATCTACCAACGTACATCATACTCCACACACGTTTGGGACCCGAGTCTGTGCAATGGAAGCTGGGAAACGCAGTTTCCTGGCCATGAGTTCCCTACACGAGTTCATGGTCTTGGCTATGCAGCAAAAGGAACGGAACGAGTAACATCAGTCACTTTGAGTCACTGCTCTACAGAGCTCCTAGATACTTGTTATACAGTTACTTCAGTGGAGATGTTCCTGCGTCTCATTTGGAGGGGAGGGATGCTATTGTTGTTTAAAAGGGAGCAGCAAAAGGAAAGGGAAAAAGTAACAGGATGTACATAACAGCCTGTACACAAAACCATCTCACCCACAAGCAAATGCCCATCTGTTGACTAACATATCGCCTTAGTTAATACCACTTCACCTGGAATGATACCCGAGTTTCTTACATAAATTCAGAAGCAAGAAAAAAAAAACCTGGCAAAATAGTCCCATTAAATTTTATAAATAACACAACAGTGTTCTTCACTTTTAAACACAATTATTTGCACTAAAAATCAGTCTGTCTAATTCACCGACAAAATGGCGGCAGTAATCAATAACTAACCAGAATATTCGTGCTACAAATCCGGTTTGTAATTCAGGTGCCAAGCCATTATTTTTAACACCTTCAGACATCCTCCCAACGTGAAATCCGCTATATAAATGTGCAATTTGTATTGTAATGTTTAATAAAAAGATTGCACATAAAACTACCACACATTCTTAAAAATGTCTTAAGCGCATTAAGTTATTTGATACTTGAACAAACACCACCTGAACCCATCTAGCTCCTTCCCGTTTCTACCCAATGAGACCCCTTACGGTTAGGTTGTAGCATAACCTACCTCAGCTTGTTTAACTCCTGCTGGTGTTGGTTCATTAGGTCTTTCTCCAGCTGTTCTTTCTCATTCACCAATTTCTGTTCCCGCTCAGAGATCTCCTTAGCAAATTGCTCCTCCATGTCTGTTCTCTCCAGACTAAATGCCTTCTCAAGCTCCTGCAATCGTAACCTTGTTTCAGCATCAGCTTGAGATCTGTTAGACAACCCTCCACTCCTCAAAAGGCTCATCTTCAGCTCCTCTGTATTCATTCTCAAGTTCTTCTCGTGATTCTTTCCCAGTTCCTCCTTCGGGTTCGTCCTTTCTTCCTCGCGTTCCCTTTGCAGCTCGGAGACAATGTCCTGATGTTTGGCTTCCGCTTCTTTCTGTTGATTTCGGAGATCACTGACCAGACCCTGAAGCCTTTCCATCTGTTCCTCCAGCTCACTGATCTCAATCTTGAAGCTCTGCTCAATGTCTCTCCTCTCCTTCTCAAAACCCCTCTTCATCAGCTCGACTTCTCTCTCATAATAATTCACCTGAAAATAATGCAAACATGGTTGTTCCAGTTTGTGTTGCGGCTTATTTTAAATATTTGAGAGCAAGTTCAATCTTAGAAAGCATTAGGGCGCAAATAAAAAGATTTCAAAAGATCACAAAAGAGGTTCTCGATGAAAGAAGTCCTTTGGCTCAATTGATCTTAACTTTCCAGAATCCCTTCCCTACCATCTTCCTACTTAAGTGATTTCTTAAATCAACGCAATGTCCTGCCCTTCCTGATAACCTGTTCTGGTCATTAATTGCTCGGAATAAAAATAAATAAACCCTGATGTCCAAGCTATAATTGTCCCCTATGAGTACAGGGGAAACCTGCACCTCAACGTATCTGAAAGAATTCTGTGTTGATTATCACTATCTCATTTAGCACCTCCTGTATCTCCTGAAGGTTCCATCTGATATCTCTTTTCAAGTCTGAATATCTCTCTTTTATCTGGTCGATGCTCATAGATCATTATTTTAACATTGGGAGTCAGCCTCACCGCTCTCCTCTGCAGTGCCTCGGACTTAACCATATTTTAGAGTCTAATGTGATTAACTTCGCAAAAGTTCAAATTCTTAAGTATCAAATAGGAAGTGACAGGATGTGCTGCAGGCAGATCTCTCACCCCCGATACTGGTCTCAATAACAATGTTTGTGAACCCAGGTCACACATTTATCTCCAGGTTTGCAGCTTCTGAGTGTCTGATTAATGGGGCCATAGATTGTTGCTTAACAACATACTCAAGATGTAAAGCCACGATTACAGTGAAAGGCACAAAGTCACAACCCATGAGCTAGAGGTTGAAAGCTTCACAATATCATCGTTGAAAATAGTGTCAATGGGGTGAGGACACAATAGATCTCCTGCACAGCTGGTTAATTCCTATCCAATAATTTAGAAATTTACAATAATAATAATCCTTGCATTTATCATATCATCGAGATAGCTCAAAGCACTTCACAAGTTTTAGTGGAAAGTCACGTGACTGTGTGTCCTGTGGGTAAATGCAACTTGCGCACAATGTCCCACAAGTAGCCAAAGGGAGTGACTGGGGGATTGTTGGCCAGCACAACCCCCTTCTTTTTTTGAATAGTGCCATGGATCTTTAACGTCCACCTGATCAGGCAGAGGTGCCGTCCTTCTCATCTGAAGGACGGCACCTCTGACAAAACAGCACGTCCCGAGCACTGCATTGGAGTGTCAGCTTAGAATGCATAAGATCCAAGTCCCAACAGGAGGTTAAGAATACTAAATCGCATTATGTACAATTATAAATACGCGCAACATTCATACAGCATTATTTCAAACACTTTGTAGTCGAAGCAGGAAAAATAATACAATTGCAATATAGGTTATATTCATACAGCGCCTTTCACATCAGGAGGTCATCTCCAAGTGCTTCACACAGCAGTTGTTCAGGATTCACAGTTTCAAGCTGACACCTAAAGTTAAACAAATGCAGAACAATCTTAAATTCAGTCTTATTGTGGAGATCGTCATAACAACTCTTGCCTTAGTTTCCAGTTGTATCTTGAGATCCTGCACCTCCTGCTTGTGTTGATCTCTCAGCTGCTCAATTGCCATCTCGGCCTCTATGCTCACATCAGGGCTCCCAGACGTCTGAGCTGATTAAAAAGAAATCAAAATGAAACTCAAACTCTTGTGATTTCTTGCTACAGTATATGCTTTGCATACACTTTGTGAACCTAGTGAGGGCAGTTCGATAAGGAGTCAATTACAGGGGTATGTTGAAAGAGCAGGTAAATGGGACTGAAGGAGATTGCTCTTAAAGAGACAGTGTAACACACATTGGACTGAATAGCCTTCTTGCACGCCGTAAGTTTCTAGGGTTCTCTGCTTTAGACACGTTGCGGTGATCAGAGAATGAGAATTGCATGATGGAAAATAAACTGTGTGGGATTGTGCTGACATTGTAGCTCAGTGGTTAGAGCACTCGCTTTGCAAGCGAGAGACCTGAGTTCAATTCCAGACAGAGGGCGAAACCTTGGGCAAGTTTCCTTACTCCACACAGAGCCTAATAATAATCCCTTCAAAAAACAAAACAATAATAAATTGGTCATTTTCAATCTATGACTGTTTGTGGGACATTGCTGTGTGCAATTGGCTGCCGCGTTCGCCCACAAATATACAGTCAATTCACTTTACAGTGTGTTCTGTGAAGCGCTTTGGGACGTCCTCCCGACGTGAAAAGCGCTATATCAAATGCAATTATTATTATTATTATTGCTGCTTTCACAACAGCAAATGCTCAAACTGAAGGGGGTGGCTCATTGCTCTTACCAATGTGTGTTGGGGTGGGCACCTGTCCCCTTAATTCAAGCGCTCCAAGCTCCTGCCCCACATAAAGCCGCTATATAAATGCAAGCTGTTGTTAAAAACGTAGGTCTTTTTTTAATCCTATCATAACAATAATAAATAATCCTTGCATTTGATCAGGTCTTTTGAGATGTCTCACGATCTATCATGATCTCAAATGGGGTTGGTTGGGGGGAAGGGGAGGTGAAGAAGAAAAGGCAAGCATGCGTATGAATGATGTGAGGGCCGGGCATAAATTATGCCGCATGTGACCAGTAGCTGGTACCACATGCACAGCATTTGGAAAGAGATTCTCTTCCCCCTCCCCACAGACAACACAGACTCCCTGGAAAGAGGTTTCGAGATATTTCTATTAATTTTTTCTTAAGCAACTTTTAAATTTGTCCTTTCTGTTCTTTAAGGTAAAGTGAGGCACCGTTTACAGAAACAAAACACCACCAACATCTTGCATTCATATAGCACCCTTCCTGCAAGATGGGGGATAGTAGCGCTCTAAGACCCTATCTCAGAGGGCAGGCAGGCAACCATTCTCAGCACCTAGGATGTGCGGAGACATGGACAAGTGCTACAATACTTTTAACTCACAAACTGTCCAGGTCAAAGGTGAGCCCTGATTTAATTAAACTTCTGCTTTGATAAGTCCCTTGAACAATGCAACTTTTAATAATCTTTGCATTTGGTCTGGCGTTTTACCTGCTGAGAGGGCATCCCAAAGCACTTCACAGGAGTGTTTGTTTTACTGTGACCTGGAGAGATTCAGTATTTGTAGGCAAACGTGGCAGCCCGATTGCGCCTAGCAAAGTCCCACAAACAGCCATGAAATAAATAACCATTTTTTAAAATTATTTTGGGAGATTGTTGGCCAGGACACCGGGAGAAACTCCCTTCCCTTTTTGAATAGTACCATGGGATCCTTAATGTCCACCTGAACAGACAGACGGTACCTAGGTTTAACATCTCATCAGATGCTTAACATAGGCTGCCACTCGAGACTTTCTAAATCTGAATAATGACATGTAGTTTGTTGATTGTCCTGGAGAACAACCTGATGAGAGCAGTCACGGTGGCACACGAGGTGCGCAGTAACCTACCAGAGTCAGACTGGCTCGTGGTGATCCTGCCGTCAGCTCTCACACGGACAGACTTGTCCCTCACGTTCCTTGTTCGGTGGTTCTTCCTCTCGTGTAGCTGGGAGCGCAGTATCTCTACTTCCGACTGCAGTTCATCGTTCTGGTCACGCAGCTCCTGTCAAAAGTAACACAAAACCTACACTGTTTTTTTTAAAAAAACAGAAGCATCTGTGTTCTGAGGCTTAAGCAGATGATGGAAAAAAGTATATGTATTTACAACTATCCACATGGCGATATCTAGAACCACAGAAGACACTGCAGAGGCAGTGAGTCAGACTGGGCTGCAGGTCCACAAGCCAAAGGTAGTCCTGGTTACTTAACACAAGTGCCCCACGTCATTTTAAATGCAGGCACTGAGTATCTGTAGGGGGGAGGGATTCACATTGAGGTAAAATCTTGTTCTCACTCAACACCCACCCAGTACGTTCTAGCACGTCCCAGTTTCCCCCACTAGACTGGGAAGCTGCTCATAAGTTACTTGTGTGCCTAATGGTACCACAGACTCTTCCCACGGACAAAGAATCCACAGTCAATAAGGTCGTTCAAAATAATTCAAACTTATTGTAACATTTTAGAAGGTTGAATCACTTTTTTTTATACATTTAAAAAAAACGTTATGGTTGAATGCATCCTCACCTTTATCCTCTAGCAATTCCAAAAAAGGAAGGCGTTAGAATGAAAGAGATGGGGACAAGTAAGTACAGTTCCTGCCCACTTTGTAAAGACATTGAGGAGCTATTTAAACACAGAGTAAAGACAGGATTCGAAAACAGTTCAAGAGTAAACAGTAATAATTGGCCCTTTTTTCCTGACAGGACATCACAGCAGATCAAGAAAGATCGAACTGGGTGAAAACATCCAAATGGTAAAGGCAGAAGAGCTGCAGTTTGAGTTGCGCAACTTTTACACAGTCACCCTTCCCAAGCTAGTTAACTTGACCTTTGATGATCGTGAGAGAGCATTATTCAACAAGTTTGCCTTCTCTCCCCTCCCTACAGGTGAACATATCCAACAATGTCAGTGCAAAAGGCCTCGATTGTAGGAGAAAGGGGGTAACAATTTTACAGAGAGGTCCAGAAAGAATGAGTTGAATCAAAGAGAAGCCAACTTTCTACAACCTACATGCAACCCTACCCACTGTCAGTCCAAAAAGAACTTAAAAAGCCTCAACCCCGAGCATGTTTGTGCTCCTTGGTGCCAATTAACAATACGAGCAGGAATATGGATTTGAAAAACTTTCTTTCTTTTAGAAACACTTACCCTGCACTGCTGTTCATATTCTTTTACAATCTCAGCAAAACGTTCCTCCTGACCAAAATACTCTGTACTGGGAAGATCCAACGTTCCAAACTGCAGGCGAGGAAAAATAAAGCAAGGACTTGCATTATTATAGTTGAAAAGGTTATCAAGCTGAAATGTCTCCAAGTGCTTCAGAAGTAATTACTGCTAAGTGTAGCAATTGGTTTTGTAGGCAAACATAGGGAAAGTATAAGTTACACACCAATGCTCCAGGTAGTTTGGTAAGTGTGTGACACTGAGAGACACAGAATTCACTGTAACTACACCAGTCTCACATAGAAAGTTCGCAATTCGTGTACCATGAACATGCCGGAACTTTTGCAGCTCACCCTCAAAGCTCACAGTATATCCTGTGAAGCTCTTCAGGAGGTCCTCTTAATGTGAAAGATGTTGAACCTAATGCAAGGATTATTTTTATTATTTCCTAGGTACAGTCTGACTGACCACCATATAGCTTGAGTATGACGTTTGCCAATTGATTTGCCAATGCAGCCTTGTTATATTGGGGAAGCCAACTTTCTACAGGTGAATGTCAGCAAATCATCCTCACTTTCAAGGCCCTCCACTGCCTTGCTCCCTCCTATATTTCTGACCTGCTGAACCTCCATCAACATGTCCACTCCCTCCGTTCAGCAGGCTCCGGCTTACTCCAGGTCTGCCGCCTGACCCACCCTACCATCGGCGGCCAGGCTTTCGGCCTCTCTGCCCCCATTCTTTGGAACTCAATCCCTTCGCCTTGCTCCTTCCCTTGCCTCCTTCAAGGCACAACGCAAGACCCTCCTTTTTGACCAAGTCTTCAGCCACCCTCCTACCCCCTCTGCCTTCGCTCATCCCAACCTTCCCCCACAGGCTTGGGTCCTGATCCCTGACTGTTCAGCACCTTGAGACGTCCTCTTGACATGAAAGGCGCTTTACAAATATAATTTTGTTGTTGTTTATTGCTGGCCCACAATGTTTCGATATGGTGAGCAGTGAGTTAACTAACACCCCTAGATCTCTTTCAGCTTCTGTTTGTTTTATTTAAATGAATTTCACACTCTGGTTGCCAACTTGCCTTTTCTTTCAGCACATAATCCAGGTCTTTTTGTAACCTGCACACCAGTTTCTCAGAATTCCTCAGTTTTTCAACCACTTCACCCACTTCCTTCTCCAGCCGACCATTTTCCTGCACAGAAACGCACATGTGATCACAGTCATATCACTAAGAGTACATGTACATTTATTGCACGTTATAAACAATTTTGTTTTAAAAAGGCACGTTTTTCCCTTCACCATTGGATCTTGTTAGTCAAGAACAAAACCTCCTTTCACATTGCTTCATAGAACGAGTTTATACGTCAACCCCCCCCCCCCACCCGCCAAGGATTTTATATGTCAGGATTTAAGGATCTTCTTGCTATGCTCTTCAACCAGATTGACTCAACCTCTGAGGTGAGAGCTCCCCTTCTGATGCTCAGTCATAAGCAGTAGCTATTATTATTATTCAGGCACAGCACCAGAGGTTAATCAGGATTCATGAAACTACACTCCGGTACAAGTAGAGAGCAAAAAGTGAGACACCCTCAGAGAAATTTGGTGAAAAACTGACAGCAAAAAGAATACCTTAATTGCAAGGTTTAGTCTATCTCTCAGAAGGATCTCCTCTGACCGGAGGGAATCCACTTCCTGTTCCAGTTTAGCTCGTTGCTTGTTGACCTGTTGCACAACCAACTCCTGCTCTTTGTCCATTTCAGTTTTAACTGCTGCCACCTTATCTTTGTACTCTTGGTCCAGATCTCTGTAAAGTCAGTAGCTTAATTGGTCATTATTACAAATAATGGTTAAATATTACAGCACAAAGAGCAGGCCAGAAAAAAATGTCCTGTTTCTCTCCTGAAGGTAGAAATTCATATTATGTTGTAATTGTCTTCCAGATCCTACAACAACAACTTGCATTTGTATAGGACCGTTCACATGAGGTAGCAGCTGAACACCTAAAAGTGGCAGAGCTTGAGCCAAGGTGGGGGGTTGGGCATAGGCATGGTTGAAGAGGAAGGTCTCAAGTGTGATCTCAATATGGGAAAAGAGGGGTTAAGGCGGCTGGATTGAGACAGTTTCAGAGTCTCGGGGAGTGGCGGCTGAAAGCACGGCCCCCAATGGTGAAGCTGAGGGGCCAAGGGACTTGCAGGAGCTGGCGCCAGCTGTGTGAAAGGGAATGGCGTATAAGCAGGTCAGAGAGATATATAGTTGCCAGGGCATGAGGTGATTTGTATATGAGTGTGAAGATCTTCGATTTGTTCTGTAACACGGAGCCAGTGGAGCCTGGCAAAGACTGGGGTGTGGAGTTCAGTATGGGTGAGAGAATGGGTAGAAGAGGTTTAGGGGCCCTACAGCCCCAATTCAATCCTCCAGCCCCAATGCAGTATTGGAGTGCCAGCCTAGAAGAGTTAATGTTAAAAGAGAATTGTATTCACTAAAGAGGTAACAGTTGATTTGTTGGTATCTATTTTCTGGATCCCAGAATCTATCCATTATCCGTTGCCTCATGTTTAATTCCTCCCATTAGATCACTCACACATAATATATAATACTGTAATAATAATCCTTACAAGTCAGGAGGATGTCGTCCTTCACTTTCAAGCAACATTACAGGATCTTTAAAGTCCATCTGAACAGGCAGACAGGACCTCATATTTTTTTTAAAAAAGTCTCATCCAAAGAACTCCACGTCCAACAATGTAGAACTCCCCCAACCCTGTATTGGAGCGTCAGGCTGGACTGTGAGTTCAAAGTCCTAAGCCCACAACCTTCTGGCTCAGAGATGAGCGTGCTACCAAATAAGGCAGGCTGACATAAAACAAGCAGTGTATATTGGCTATGTTGGCCTTCAAATCAAAACATGACCGTACAGATGGAGTTATTCTCATTCCCACTAACTTGAATTTGCTTTCATTGAGCAGCTCCATAGTAGTGTGATGGTCATCCACTTCCCGGGCAAGCTGCAAGTTCCTCTTCTCGGCTCTATCCAAGTCTGATTTTATTTTGTCTCTCTCCTTGTTGGATTGTTCCACCTGTCCTCTGCAAGCAGAGTTCACACAACAGTGATTATTTTTCTCACAAGTTCACCTGCTAACATCTCAAGGGTTACGACAGAGCACAATTGGGTATAAGAATGTTTATTAAGCAGCTGTGTCAGTTGAGAAACATCCCAAGTGCCTCATTACGAGAACTCTGCTCTTCACAGAAAGATCACAGAACAAATTGCATTTGTCTAGCTTTCCGCAAGGAATTGCAAACTAAAAAATAACGTATTTGATATAGCGTCTTTCACATCAGGATGATGGCTCAAAGCGCTTCATAGGACCATATTAAGTCCAGGGACTGTGTATTTCGTATGCAAATGTGGCAGCCAATTTGCATACAGAAATGTTCCACAAATAGCTATAAAGTGAATGACAATTTTTTCCTGGGGAATTGTTAGCCAGGACGCCGGGAGAATCTCCCTTCTCTTTTCAATTTGCTATGGGATCTTAAATATCCACAGAACAAGTAGTTGGAAGGATCTGTGTCAGCCTACACTGCGAGTTCAAAGTCCCAACTTGGAGCTTGAAGCCACAACCTTCAGAATCAGTTAAGCTCAGTTGGCTCAGAAACAGCTAAAATAACAAAATTTGATAGATCCCACTCTTAATGTTCTGATAGCAGTCAGGTATATCAGAAGGGAGAAGGAAGTGCTAATTTCCTGTGGATTTTCCCTGTTCTCCAACATTGTGGCTCTTGATCCCTGGTTATCAGGATACAGTGTTTTTAGTAAATAAAATAAGTGTGATTCACCAACCACATGCACTGCCCAGGTTTCACATAGAACAACATTGAGAACCTTGAACTTACTTGTCTGTGTGACCAAGTACTACACTGGGTGATGCCTTTAACCATTAGGCCATCAATGAAACTCTCCATTTGGCCTATTTAATGAGTAACTCAACAGAGTTACAATTTAACAGAGATAACTCAATGCCCTCAGAAGTGTTTAACATGCTTAATAATAATCCTTGCATTTGATATAATGCCTTATCACACCATTGTTAGGTCTCAAAGCGCTTCACAGGACATACTGTCAAGTGATTTGACTGCATATTTTGTGGGCAAAACGCAACAGCCAGTTGCGCACAGCAATGTCCCACAAACAGCCAGGGAGTGAGTGACCAATTTTATTTGGGGGGGTTGTTGGCCAGAGCACCTAGGTAAAACTCCCTTCTCTTTTCAAATAGTGCCATGGGATGTTTAGCAACCACCTGAACAGGCAGATAGGATCTCGGTTTAATGTCTCATCCGAAGGATGGCACCTCCAACATTGCAACACAGCCCCAGAGCGGCGTTGGAGAATCAGCTTAGACTCTGCGATCCATTTAACACAATTCAAATAATGACCAATGCTAGAGAAAGTTAATATACTTACTGAAGGTAACCAATTTCATTCTTGTAAGAGGATAAAGCAGCCTGATAAATTCCATTATTGCTGACCAGTAACTCATTGTCTAATGCAATGGTTAATTCTGTGAGGTTCACTTTTTCTTCCATGTTGAAATCTAATGTCTTTCAAAAAGAAGGAAATATCACCTTCACCAACAATAAATATTTAGGTTTTTTTTCTTAAAATAAAGAAACATTGACACCTGTTGGAGTTGCAGTTATAATCAGTTCCATGAAATCAATCCCCTTTCAAAACATATAACAAGAGAAATTACAACACAGATTGTCATTTACTCCACTGAGGCTATGCTGGTGCTAACTCCTTCACTGGGAAGATCTACTCTAATCCCAATTCCCTGCCCTCTTCTCCTAAACAACCACTAACATTCTTTCATTGAATTGTGCTTGGCTTTTCACAAAAAAAGGAGATTTTGATTTATTTCATTTTCTTCTACTCATCGAGTTACTTTAGCAACAGAGAAGTCTTGCCTGTTAACCCCACTACCATTAAATGTCTAACTAATGGGAAGAGCCACGTAGATCCAGCAAGTCAAGCAAGGTATCAAATTCCCCACTATAACGAAACCCACTCGACCAACAGCAACACACCTTTCACATAAAAGAACATCTCAAATATGTTGACCAAGCAGGGAAACAAGAGAGTTAGTGTTGACAAAAGGCAGGATCAAAGATACACTTTTAATAGGTTTCTGAAGTCAGGGAGAGAGAGGTAGTAAAGCAAAAGTTGTTTAGGAAGAGAATTTCGGAGGGCCGGAGCATGGTGACTGATGGCTCAGCCATCATTACTAGAGGGAAGGGAGTGAGGAGCAACACGGTTCAAAAAGCCTGAATTGCCTTTGAGATCCTTCAGTATAGAATGCAACCAGAAAGACCCCCAAACAGCCTTACCTCTAGAAGTGATTTTAGGTTCATGGAGACATGCCATCTGAATAAATGGAAAGTAAAGCAGCTTTGTTTGGAGAAGGCGGAAAAGGAATTCAAATGCAGTTCAAGCGAAAGAACAATAAAAATCAGATGAGGTTAAATTCAAATTAAAGTTGAGAAAGAACTTGTATTTATACAGCACCTGATTTTTTTAATTACCTCTTTGTTCTGTATGAACTCCTCTAAAAAAAACATTTCCTGACTACATTTTAAACTAGTTTTTCACATAACTGACTTATTGGAAGGGATTTTCTCTCCCAGATTACTGGCCAATAACCCCCTCAAACAAAACTGGTCAATCGTTTTCATGGCTGTTTGCGGGACGGTGCTCTGCACAACTGGCCTGCCGCGTTCGCATACACTTTACAGTAAATCCTGTGAAGCGTTTTGAGATGTCCTTCCAACAAGAAAGGCACTATATCAAATGCAAGGATTATTATCACATCAAAACATCTCAAAGCACTTCACTAATAATTACAGTCAGTAATGACTGTTTTTCTAGACAAAATCAGCAACCACTTTGCACATAGCAAGATCCCAAAAGCAGCCATAAGGTGAATGACCAATTAACAGAGAATTGTTGCCCAGGACATCAGGAGAAACATCCTTCTCTTTTCGGACAATGTGGTGGGATCTTTAACAGGCATTCTGTAGATCTGTCTCACCTGCAGTATCTCCTGGCTACTTTTAATTCCATCCTCTTGCCATATATTCACCACTTGTTCAGGTGATACGTAACCAGTGCCATCATCGAGACTGGAAAATAGCCTTGAACCAACCAAGTTTGAGATAAAAGATGGTGTTGCTGTTCTGCAACCACTCTCATCAAATGCCTGAGGGCAAAAGGATTCCATGTGGAATGTGGGTTAATACACTGTGATCGAAGTAATTCAACCAAGCTTCATGCTGATGATTATTAACATAACACAAAATCTGCTCCCAGACATTAATATTTATAAGGACAATAAAGAACATGAGCATTTCAGCCAAGCACTCGCTAATTCATTACCACAATGGCTCATTTTGAAAAATGAGGCAAAATGAAGTTCAAAAAATTTCAGCAGGCTCATTCAAGAGATTGATTTTACATAAGCTTGTGTACAATCATTGAGAGTTAAACAGCAGCTCCCTGAGATTTCTTATATCAAGGACACTATGTAAAATCTACTGTCTCTGTGAATATCTGTGGACTCTGTTAATTAAAATCCAGAGGATAACCACTGACCGATTCAGTCTCCATAATTACAACAGCCTCAGAGTTAGACCGGAACTATCTCCGAGACTGAGTCTCAGAGATTGAGACCATTACCCTTTTGACCATACTTTGTATTGAATAAGGCATTAGATTTATATTGAATAAGGCACTGGAACACGGCATTAAGAGACATGACTAGAAGAAGCTGTCAGACCTGATGGAGAGCTCGACGGTATTTCTGTTTGTAAGAGGAAGAAGAGGCTGCCAGCTCCTGCGGTCCGTGACGAAATAAGCCATGAAGAAATTCATTAAGGCTGACTTTTCCATCGCAGTCCTTATCCAACTTCTTGAACAAGTCATCAACTTCCTTCAGAACAATTCACAACACACAGCAAAACGTTTTGCATACACATCCAGCAGAGGTGCCCGGGGGCTAAAATTTCTCATGGTCTTAGCTTTAAGAACGTTGCTTTAAAATGAAACAGAATTTTGGAAAATTCGTAAATGTAATGCCCAGGGTTAATGCTTTATGGGACACTTACCTCACCGTCGAGGTCTTTTAGACCAATATTATCACAGACTGTTGCCAATTCCTGTTTATTAAGGAAGCCGCTCTTCCCAACTCCCAATTCTTTCCAGATAGCTTGTACATGATTCTCCGTGGCATCAGGATAGGGAGTGGATGATCTCGTGGGACTGTCAAAGCCATCAGGATTCCACATACTCATCTGACCTGTTGGGAATTATAATTATTCAGTGTTTAACAATGTTTAGATTTCTCGTTCGCAGATAACCAAACAAAGAACATTCTGTGGAGAGTAACAGCCATTTCATACTTTTACTCCAGCTATTATTATTCCACGAATGAAGAAACACAGGGAAGATATAGCTTAGAACAAATTCATATTGCAAAATTAAATTTCTTTTTCATACAGCACATTTTCCCTATTCAAAACAACAACAAAATTACATTTGTATAGCGCTTTTCACGTCGGGAGGGTGTCCCAAGGCGCTGGACAGACAGAGTTACGGACCCGAGCTGGGTGTTGGGGAGAGTGGAGGGCAAAGCCTAACAATATCAAAGTGCTTTGTCTGTGTAACAGATACAATTATATTAAATAATAATTTGATATGGCGCCATCCACATCGAGAGAATGTCTCAAAAGTACTTCACAGGATGTAAAGTGCAATGACTGTATTGTAGGCAATATCGATGGTTCTTAAATTAGATAAGTTTATTTTGGAATGAATCTAATCTGCGTGTACACAACATCTCGTCTGTCCACTTTCACATTCTCATTCAGCATTAACTGACTACACCCTACAAGTTTCATAAAGCTTCCTTTGTAATTCAAAACAGAAGTCCAAAGTCTATTTTCTAACTACCGCAATGTGTGTATTAGATCTGGTAGCTTTATCCCTATTAGCACAATACGCCTTTCAAATAACAACGAAGCCAGAAGGTTTGTAAGGTAGCGAACATGAGCTCCAGAATGGGAGCATCATGGTGGTGCAGCAGGTTTATGTCCCAACAGCAGCTCTACAACATCAGATCCAATGTTCATGAACAAACATTAATCGAGCAATGGGCAAATCCGGAAGTACACAGTCTCCCTTGGGTTGGTTTTTGTGCAACTTGCCCAGCCAAATACTCCATTGTTTGGAGAAACCTGAGAGAGGGGATGAAAAATAAATCTAGGACAATTGTAAATAAGGTAACAGGACTGGTTACATAAATATTATACAGTACACATAAATATTGTAATATATAACATTCCACAACTTCAGTAGGGACACAAAACTAAATACAATCTGCAGACTTTGGTTTGGTATTTAAAAAGTTAATAGAGCGCTCTTAATGGCCTCAGAAGATATCTCAAAATCGACAGTGACAACTCAGAATTTACCAAATACCTGGTGACCAGCCGTGCAATTTCAAACTGTTTCAAATATTGAACTGTTTCACGGTAACCAGCTGAGAGTTACTGTGTGGTAACTGTGGTAAATGGAGTAAAGTGTGCCATCCAGAAGAGTAAAATCAAGTTGAATTAACTGGTCCATGCGCTGGTCGAAGAGCTATTGTTTTTTCCAGTTGTCAACCTACCACGTCCCTATCACTGCTGGTCATCTACCTCCGAGAGTTGTAGCAGACGGACTGCTCTCACCAGTTACCAGCATTATAATGGGGAGCCTGGAGAGCTGATTAGCTGACGAAATGTGTGTTTGTAATCCACATTAGAAGCTTACAGAGCTTGGTTACGATTTAAAACATAACCAAGGATAATAATTAGCACATAAAAGAATTCAGTGATTTTAGGATAGAAAGTACATTATTCTTAAAAAAATTTGTTTGGACATTTAAGTCCTGGAATTGTGAAGTACTTAAACTACCCATTAAGATTGCTTGTAAAATATACAATACAACTGTCAGCTAAGATGGTTAAAATATTATGTACAACTATTTACAGTACAATTATTTTAACCCCTTATTTCAATTGTTTAGTGAATCGAATGGACCTGGATTTGTGCGTCTCCCTATCCAGTGTTCGATTGTGTCCACACTTGTCCAGCAGTCCCGGGAATCTGTAGCGAGCAAGGAGGTGGAAGTCTGACGGAGCAAGAGACTGGCAAGTTCAGCAATTAGCTTTAGTATTTATCCGGGGGGTGGGGCAGGGGGGGGAGAACAGAGAATAAGGAGGCAACAATATACAGCCTTCCACCTCCATCCCAATGTGTGGCTCTGATAAATTTATATCTAGTGATCGAGCTTCCAGATCTAACGCACACTTTGCAGTGTTTACCTTGTGCTTCAAAGGTTTCATGAGGAGGTTCTTTGTTGCTTTCAGCTTCTTCATCGGATTTGAGACTCTGTAATGGAAAATACTCCTGTTTAATTGCAATACAAACTTAACAGGTAGAATCTTGAACCCTGGATTTTGTCGCTGCTCCTGGCAAATAATGTTACAACAACTTCTTCTGGACATTCTCCACTGATCTCCCCAAAGGTGCAGAAAAGGGGAAGCAACAGGGATCAAAATGAAGAGCGTAAGTTTAATATCAGCAACATTTAGTTTCAGTGAAAGTTCATCTCTTAGAGACGTTGATAGGACACTTAACATGAATGATGAGTAACATTTAAATTCTATATATATATATATATATATTCAGGTATCGGTTTGGCTGTATTAGTATCACTCTGGGTCAGAGGTTATGGGTTTAAGGTTCATTATCTCGGCTGGCATTCCACTGCTATACTGAAGGAATGCTGCATTGTCAGACAAGGTGTAAAACCTGAGGAAAAAGTTCCATTTCCCTGTTTCCGATGTCAAAAAATCCCATTGCACTATCGGAACAAGGAGTTTCTCCCAGTGTACTGGCCAACAGATGCATTCATCACTAGGTGATGCTCCAAATTAATTCATCACTCAGTTTGTAACTCTTTTTAGGACCATGCTGTGCGCCAAAAATACCTGCCTCATTTACATTGGAAAGCAGTCACTATTCTTGACACAAAATTTGACTGTTAAATTTCAACATAACAAAATAATTTTAATTTATATAGTGCCTTTCACACACTATTTGGGTGGATGTCCCATGTGCATTCTAAGACATTATAAGTATGCATCCTTCCATCCATAAACAAACAAAGTCAGACACCAGATAAATAATATAACTAATAATCCTTGCATGTGACATAGCGTCTTTTGCATCTGGAGAACATCTCAAAGTGTTTCACAAGATTTACTGTGAATTGTAGTGACTGTGCATTTGTAGCAAATGTGGCAGCCAATCTGCACCCAGTAATGTCCCACAAACAGCCTGAATTTGGAGAAAGCAAATTGTAAATATTATTGTTTTTCCACACACAGCAGTGCGTAGAAAAACAAGTTGCAGTAGGAAATTGTTGGCAAGAATATCAGGAGAAAGTCCCTTCTCTTTTTAAATAGGGCATGGGATCTTGAACGTCCATCCGAACAGGCAGACAGGACCTTGGTTTTAGCCACTCATCCAAAGGACAGCACCTCCAACAATGCAGTGCACTCCCAGCACTGCATTAGAGTCTCAGCCCAGATTGTGAGCTCAAAGCTCATGACCAATACTTGGGTGAAATACCGGAGGGAAACAATTCCTAGTCAATCAGGGAGCTTTCACTATTATATTGAAGAGACCGAAACTTCAAAAGTAGGTCTGGATGTAGGATGACGTCTGAAAGTTCGATCAAATGCAGTCTAAATCAAAGTCTCGCCAACTCCAGGAATTACAAAGTTACATACAATTTAACATATCCTCAATTCTTTAACCCACCAAACTGCTAAAAAGAAACCAACGCTTAATTTTAGCTCTGCATATGAGCACAGTGCTAAAAGATTCGATGAGGGTTAGATAAATGATATAAACAAGGCAGAGAATCCTGGTTAGAACGGTCTTGCACAGGAACATGTCAATGTAATGCTGAACAAACTCCAACTTGTTCAGGATACATCTACAATTACACTAGTCAGCTGCCAACAAATAAACCAAACACTGAAACAGTGTCTTGTTTTTTTTAAAAAAAACATTAAGTCTGTCAGCAGTCTATAAGAGAAATAGACTGTACTCAGTAATGCCCATACTCCTAGCCTCAGGATAAATGATGTCAATTTCCTGTTGAATAAAACTTTTAAAAAGTTCTAAATGGCAGCAAAATACTGTAATTCCAAAGTGCAGACGAGTTTCCCCAGTGATAGGCACAGAAATGTTTCCAGACTTAAACTGAGTCAAGGAACTTTTTTGTCAGGCTTTGTTCCAGCAAAAGGGAGCCAGCTACTCAACGACTGTACCTTCACTGGAAAGCGGATTTACTGTAAGGTCTAGTGACTGCATATTTGTAGGCAAATGTGGCAGCCAATTTGAAACCAACAATGTCCCACAAACAGCAACAAAGTGAATGACACTTGTAACACCGAGAAAATCTCCATAGGAGAGTGCCAAAGGATTGTTAAAGTCCACCTGTACAGGCAGACAGAGCCTCAGTTTAATGTCTCATCTGAAGGACGGTACCTCCCACATTGCAGCAGCTCCCCCCACCCACTTTCCCAGCACTGTATTGAAGTGCCAGTTTAAACTCTGAGCTCCAAGTCCCTATATAGGGTTTGAGCCCACAACCTACTGACTCAAGAAGCAAAAGTGCTTCCAATGAAACCAGGTTGAGACTTGACAAGTAGCAGGAAAATACAGATTTTTTTAAACGATAATTGAGCACAGAGTTAGATCACAAGAAGGCATGATGTTGCAATACGGAATCAATAAATTCTCACGATATTGTACTACATCAAACCCACAACTCACCATTGTTCCAAAATTGGTCAGTGGTTATCCTCTGGATTTTAATAACAGCGTCCACAGATATTCACAGAAACAGTAGATTTTACAGAGTGTCCTTATTTACACTGAGTAAATCTACCGAGTCACTGTTGATGCAGTTGACTGGCCCGTTTAAAATCTACGTTCATGGAAAGAACAAAAAAAAAGAAAACTCTGATCTGAACCAATCAGACCAGTTGATGAGAACCAACTGGAAATGCTGCACATCTATTTATGATGGACTTGGGTATGGTAAAGACCAAACAATATGTGGGTGCAGTGTTACAGTCTCAGCATTGTGGTCTAAGGCGTTAACCATTCGCAGGTCTGTCGCAACATTTCTTCCTCAATTTGGACATGCAATATGTGACACATGTGTAAGTGCTAAAGACGTTTTACAGTTTAAAATATTTAGTTTCCCGTATTAGTTGCTTTGGTGTTTCTAACCTTATTGCTCCAAACAAAATTTTGGTTACAACAAGAAGTTTCATTTATATGACACCCTTCACGCAGGGTGGCATCTCAGAGCACTTAACAATGGCGTAGTTTGACACTGAGGCAGGGAGAAAGGTGAGGTGACCGAAGGTACAGTCGAAGAGGGTGGTCTTCAGCTGAAGACGGCAAAGACTTTATGCGACAAAAGTAAGAGACTAAACCAAGTATCTTCTGTTTCAAGAGGCCTTCTACCCGTCCCCTGCTAATTTTCATTACCAACAGTGGTATCTGATAACCATCAATATCAAGTCGCTGAAATATATTTTAACACTATCATTCTAACAGTGTTCTTTTAGGTGACACTGTAGAGTTAAAATAGATTTCACACCCTGAGAAAAAGACCATCAAAATAACAGCCGAGCCTAACAGTATGTATGTACTGTATTAATGGCGATGGTTACACGAAGACCACATGCTCTTAAAACTGGTCCAGTTAACTTGCACCCATAAGTCTTAAAGACAATGGGGACAAAACTATTATCATTGTAATGGAGATTTTTGTAGGTTTGCTCGTGGAGATAGGTTCCTGGGGATTGGAAAGTAGCTAACGTTCTCCAGTATTCAAAACAAGAGTCAGAATACACACCGCTAACTGTAATAAAAAACAAAAGACTTCTATTTTTATTTTAGATTTTCAGAGTCTGCAGTATTTTGCCATCTAATACTATAGATAGTGGTCAGAAACAATGGTGTTTAGATATATTGGGGAAAAACAATGCATTAAAGTCAGTACAAATGCAGAAAAGAGAAGTCACATTTTTTCAGCTGCTAATAGTTTTCAAAGATCCTGAACAAGTGATGATAATAATAATCTTTGCATTTGATATAGCACTCTTCACATCAGGAGAATCTCAAAATGCTTCACTGGAAGTAAAGTAGCTGTTATATTGCGGGATTTTCAAATGGCTTTTGGCAAGGTTCCACATTGTCAATTAGTACTGAAGGTAAGGGAAAGCCTCAAAGTATGGGTTTAAGCATATTCAGCTTCATACAACGAGTTTAGAACCAAGACGTGGAGGGTAAACCAAAAATAGGACCTGCATAATTCAAGTAAGTAATCCCAAAGGCCTCTTAATCTTATTCTACAGTAGAATACTGGTTATCTGCACAACAATTATCTGTATGTCCGTTAATTTGCTTTGCAGCCTAATGCGGAAGTGGACACGATTGTCAAATTGGCAAAAACAATCCAGTTATAGACATGTGCAAAGTTGTGCACAAGCAAACAAGATGTGAGTATTTTCATACATGCATATACCTGATTTGTTTGCTATAGAGAACGCAAGTTTTTATATTTGTAAGACTTTTATACAGTGCAGTGATCGAGTTAGATAGAGCTAGAAATATATATGTTTACACACACTCACACCTCCAGTATATCGAGATAGAGAATGTTGAACTCAATGAGGGAGCAAATGCAAGAGAGAAGCAATGAGAGAGAGAGAAGGGTGGGAACATCTAGCATAGTGTGGTATTATAGTAACAATAACTCCTGATGGATTTTACTCAGTTACACCTATTCAATTTGCATTTGGCCAATTATTTGCAACGAGGTCAGTCCCAATGAGACTGGCTGACCAACTCGCTACTGTATATGAATTATTTGAATGAGAGCACAGAAAGAGCTAATTTTACTAATGAAACCAAAATAGGAGGCAGGAAAAAGAGCAGTAAGATCTGAATGCTTTTGATTTTTAGAAAACTGGGCTATAGAAAGCGAAGTGTACGGTCTTGCAGTAATGATCAGAAAAAAGATCAGGTAGGTATTTCAACAACAACTTGCATGTATATAGTGCCCTTCTAGAGGGCAGCTAATCCTGTGTAACTGTTATTCAATGTTTTGCATCAGTAAACTTGGTTGCACAAACGAACTGATGGAAACGGTACAGAATAGCTTACTTTTTTTTAAGAAAAAGCAACAGGTCAGGCCCCAGTTATACCTTAGTATTTATGGTTGGCTTATGACAGGAAAAATATTATTCACCTTGAGGAAGTACAGACGCAAATAATGAGGAGGATTCCAGATAAGTCATTTCACCTCTTAATAAAGTTCAACATAAAGTCTTTGAAAAGAGACTAATTGAAGTGTTCAAGACTCCGAGACACTACCCACGTGAAAGGCTCTCACTATATAAAATGCACAAGTTGTTGTTGTCGAAGCGAGATGGTTGATACGAGCACAGCATTCACTATGGTGAATGGTTTAAGTACTACAATAGATAATTAGAAAATGAATAATAAGACCAGAAGCATTTTTTAAAAAATTTTAAAAATTATTTTTTTTGAATTTCACGTCAGAAGGACATTGCAAAATACTTCATTGGATATGCCGTAGGGTTTACTTTTGTAAGCGAACATGGCAGTTAAATGTTGTATGTACAAATCCAGCAATTACATTTGTTTTATATTTGTTCCCCCTCCAATTTTCTCTTCTGAAAATATATACTTACACTTACTGATTCTACGCAGTGAAGTGGTGACCCCAAAAAACCTCACAAGGGGTGAAAGATTTTTGAAAATAAGGGATCAGAAAAAGGCATTAAAGCACTTCCTGACGATAGAGGCATTGGGACAGTAAATAGGATAGTAAAATCTTGTGAAATGCTTTGAGACATCGCAACAACGTGAAAAGACATTATACCAAATGCAAGGATTATTATTATTATATTGGAGAAAATGATGAGCAGGTAGGCAGACCGGGCTTTTTCATGCACTGAAATATTATTATCATCTATGTAAAAATAGCCAATAAACCTGAGTCTGCCCTATCTACCCTCATTAAAAACAAAGTTTTATTGTTCTATTTTCAATGGAATCAGTCTGTTTGTCTATGTGTGTGAGTGTGTGAGTGAGTAGGTAAGTGGGGAGAGATAAAAAAGAGGGTTAATCCTATATGTATGTGAGTGTGTAATTCTTTCTCTGTGTGTGTATGTGAGTGATGTAGGATATTGCTTTAAGAAGTAAAAGGCAATTAAGAAAGAGCTAATGAGACTAAGACAGGAAGTAGAAAAGGAACCTGGGAGTAGGATAAACTGGTGCGGTTTTATTTGTGGATTGGAGGCTTTGAGTTGATAATAAGTACATTTACTAACCAATTTATTTTNGCTATTGAGAGATAGGGGGAGTGGGATTGATTTGGATAGCTCTTTTAAAAGAGCCGAAACAGATACGATAGGCCAAATGGCCTCCTTCTGTGCTCTATAATTCTTTGAAAACAAACACCAAGCCTTCACAACAACAACAAAATTACATTTAAAGAGTGCCAGGATGTCCCAAAGCGCTGAACAGTCAGGTGTCGTAGGCTTTACTTGACTGATGAATTCATCAAAAGTTGCTCAACAATATAAGAACCCACTCTCATGCGCAATAAGTAAAACTCACTCAAGATTAGCTGTTTTGTAACACTGAAATGAAAGCAATTTGAGTACTGGGTAAATGAATAAATGAGAATGTGTCATCGTCGTCCGCCATATTTATATAAAGACTTTCCTAAATTGACATGAACTGATAAAAATATTCCAAATTACGCCCAATATTCTTTCCAGTATTCTCAGGTTCCAGATTTGATTTTGCGCAAAAAATCCCCTGCCCTTTTCCCAAAGAACTGTGCAGACTGTGCAGACTCATTACACCGATTCTAAACAGCACTGCAGCAATTTGTACCGCTATTCTGGCCTGCTGCACCAAGATTTTTGTTTTTAAAAAGATGACACACATTAATCATCGCAAGAGAGCTTCAGCATGACTTCCAGGGATCTGAACTCAACTGCCATGCAGCCCAGCATTGTGTTTGCTTTGTTTATTGTTGCCTCATACACTGTTTGGACGTGGCAAGTGGCAAGTCAACCAACACCCCTGGGTGTCGAACAATTGATCTAAGGCAAAACCATTTCACTGAGGCTTAAGGAGTTACATTATGCATTATTTTCAGAAGCACAGAATTACAAACATTTACATTGTTTACATTGCAAACATTTAGCCATTGTTTCATTTCATTTTAAACGTTAAGCCCACAAAATACATAATCAACTATGTGATAAAGCACTATATCAAATACAAGCATTATTATTATTATTATAAAGGAATAGAGGGATTTAGATGAGGGAATAGGTGTGGTGGAGGCTTGGAGTATAAACTCTGGTACAGACTAGTTGGACTGATGACCTGTTTCTGTACTATATCACTATATCTAACTTTGTAACTTTCCAGTAAGGAAAAACTGGCCAGCAATTGGGAAGCAGGAGCTCTGAATGAAGTTACATCTCCTCAGCCCACGTATACAAAATACTTAGGTGAACTATAGCGTCCACACCCACCTTGGGCATGAAAGCTACCTTAATACAGGCAAGCAATCATAACCTTCCTGGCTCAGTCCAATGCCCTTTGGTGCATGTTTTCACACAGGCAATGAGAAAACCTCGCCAATTTATGTTGAAGAATAGTGCACGTTCTGCAAGTTCTTCAAAGGAACAATTAGTCAGGAGCAGAATCCTCCGGTTTAGACGTGCAGCGGAGGGAAAGATAACGAATAAACAGTACAACTTGGCTTAAAGTGGCCAAATGTTCAGCAACACATACCTCCACACTCTCCAGAGAGGTGGACCGTCTCAGTTGACTCCTACTTGTGCCTTGTAGGCCTGGCTCGGCCTTTGCCGTCTTGAAAGGAACCGGCTCTTCTAAATCACCTGTAGTTTCCACCTCAGAATCCAAAAATTCTGGAACTGACCTGCGTCCATATCGTTTGCTCCCTTTGACGTACTTTGGCTGCACCTCCTCTGGAACCACTGAAAACAATGATTGAAAGCTTAGTCCTGGAGGTAGCACAAACACATCGGGGTGAAAAACATGCAACTTGCGATGTGAGAATTGTCACTGAATAATCGCAGGTACAAACCAGTTGATTATCATGCGAACCTCCACCCCCCCACAAAGGAATGGTTGAGCTCCCAAAGCCTTTGTTACTGTAATACACAGTGCAACAGTAGATTGCTTAGACCGTTGAATCGACCATTGATTTTCCGACAGGGCAAAGCACCTCATTGAAGCTCCCTATTTCTCTCCTCATAGTACTTGCCACAACAGTGTAGCTAGAGGAAACACTTTCCAACTCTTATGGGATAGGAAATTCAGATGTGTTTATTTTCTGGTGAGTGGCACAAAATAAAAATGGACCTGAAGCTGCAGGCGTTACTTACTTGGTTCCAGGTAACTGCTCTCATCTCCTGAGGTACTGAGGTCAATGGAAGTTGAAAGCACAGCGACAAATCCCTCCTTAAACTCCTCAAAGTTCACCTGAAAATGTTAACAGTTCAGTTAGGTCTCAGAGGGAAAAAGCAACCAATACGGTATTCACACTTTACACCACACAAGTCCACTAAGGATTCGCTCCACAGCTTTAATCCGAGAATAAGGCAAGTTTCCTTACTCCACACACCTAATAATAATCCCTCAGAAACAATAATAAATTGGTCATTTTCAGCCCACGACTGTTTGTGGGTCACTGCTGTGCGCAACTGACTGCCACGTTTCGTCCACAAGTATATAGTCGATTCACTTTACAGCATATTCTGTGAAGCGCTTTGAGACGTCTAGAAGACGTGAAAAGCGCTATATCAAATGCAAGGATTATTGTTATTATTATTATTGTTATAATGATACTTATCCGGGACAATATTAGAAGTCCATTGTGTCGGTGTTACCGCTGGGACCCATATCAGTGCCTTCTACTCTAATCCTACTCCTCTGCTCTTTCCATACACTTTAATTTGAGCTCTTTGAGAAGTCCTCCCGACTGGAAAGATGCTATATGAATCTAAACTGTATTGCATTTAATTGCTAGTGTAGACTTGCCTGCAAAGGTAATTTATGCTGAAGCATTGCACATTCGAACAATCCCAATGTAAAAAAAATATTTTTTTCTATCCTTCCCCTTATTTTTTCCTTCTAGTGATAATCTTCTATTTATCTTCTTTATATATATATAATATATATACACACGCTGATAAAATGACAATGTCTATCTGTCTGTCTGCGCTTCAAGAAGGATCTCAATAACCAATTGACGAAGAGACATGATTTATACCTCATCAGGAAGGTCTTGCACCTGGGAGTGACATGGGCAAATTTGTTTTCAGGTGCGTTATGACCTAAAATGTATTTCTGTTTTGCGTTTTTCACTGCAGTTACACCTGGTAGCGCTGGCTGACTGTAGCGCTGCAGCATCCTGTGTCACAGAGCTTACACGTAGCCAAGCAGCGGTGGGAACAAAAAAAAGGACACAGACGAAAGCTAAGCCGCGGCAACAACATTTCATTTTTAAAGCGCCTTTCAAGTCGGGAGGATGCCCCGGTGATTATAAATTATACGTTTATATTATCATTATATAAAAATGCCTAAGCGGAAATCAAGCCTTTCAAGGATAAGTAAAAATGCTAGACAAAAGAGAAAAGTAAAAATGAATGAATTGAATGAATTAAAAATGAATTAAACGAAACTGAAGAAGAAAGAACAGCACGGCTGCACTTCAATGCTGAAAGGACTGCAACAGCGCGCCAAAATGAGTTGTCCACCCAAAATGAGTCCTCCCACAGGAGTCCTCCCAGCTGAGTGCAGATAAAGATGAAAAATGTCTGTCTATGTGTCTGTCTGTGTGTCAATCTACATTCCATATTGGATCCTTTGGTTGCAAGCGAAGCTGCAACAGGTACAGCCAGTTTTTAATATAATGACTCCCCATTCAGTGGAAATAATTTTTCTGTCAAAGCCATTCAGAATTTTGAAAACCTCTTGGACATCCCTTAATTTTCTCAGTTCCAGAAAAAAACAGCCCTGACTTTCCCAATTCTCTCCACATAATCATTATCTCTCATCCCCGTTATCTTAGTCACCGTAAACTGAGTAGCACACAGTGTAATTACAAGCAGTGCAAGTACTTATTCAAAAGAGCAACTGTGTTATAAACTGAGTTAGACGTGCTGATACTCTTCAATCGCTGGTGCACTGAGAATCTACACATAGTCAGGATTACTTACCCTGGCATAAAGGTCAACACCTAACAGGCTCTGCAGCAGCAGAGGGAGCTGGGCCTCCAAGTGGAGTTTCCGGCAGAGTTCAGTCAACTCTTCCTTGTCCAGGTAGCCTGTCCCTGTGGTATCGCAGCTGTTAAACACCTCCTTAAGCTGCGACACATATTTGTTTTGTTCACTCTCATCCATCCCACAGCATATCCAACTGCAAAGGAGAATTAAGTGTGACTGGGTCAGTTTAAAACAGAAAAACGTTTAACTGGGTCAGCCCGAAGGTGTAGTGGATGGAGCTGCAATTTAGACACCGGGAGCTTCTTGGTTCAAATCCCAGTCCAAGCTTTTTCTGATCTCAACCGGGTAGGGTTAGTTGGGGTAAATTAGATTAGTTGGGCAAAATTGGCCACGACCATCCCAGGGTTAGGGAAGGGAAAACTAGCTAGGACTCCTGTTCCTATTTCCTCTACAGCTCCCTTTGCTGCCTTTCTGCGTGAGGGGGAGTTGGGGGCTGGAAATCAGATTAGGCTGTTACGCTCTCTAGTTCAGTGGCTGCTGACCCACATGAACATTGATCACTTGGGCTGAGCATCAGAGGGCAACCAGCATCCTTGGAACCACATCCCAGTAAGCCAAGTCTTCAACATCCCACATTATAATAAAAAAATTCCCTATTATCATATTCCACTACAGTAACTGGAATGATTACTTGAAATATTTGATCACACAAACTAAATGTTCAGTACATATCAGGTAATAAAAGGAGCACAAATAATGTGCTAGCTCCAGATATCACGTATCTCATTAAAACCCAGAACCAATGCTTTCACTTAGAGTAGCAATGTATTGTGTATTATGGAAGAAGTAACACCACAAATATGTACACTCATGCATGTACAAGTATGTACACCAGAACGATTCCAGTTTGGACATATCTAAGGGACTATCATAATAGCACTGTATCACACCCCAGTACATTAAACAGCTGCATGTTTCATTTCATTAAGTTCTGTTCACGCAATAATTTACCCTGACGAACTTCATCTTTGCAGTTACCAGACAAAAGAAAATTCACAAAAAGCTTCAACATCCACATAGCTCGCTATGCTCTTTTCATACAAATCACTTCATACCCTGACACCTCCCTACCTCTCCAATCTGTTTACAACCCACTCCACTGCCCAACAACTTCACTCAAATGACTCCAGTCTCCTACAAGTTACTCGTCCCCTTCACTTCACCATCCGAGGTCTTAGTTTCAGCCTACAGCGCCTTGGGACGTCCTCCCAACGTGAAAGGGTTGTACAAATGTAATTTTGTTGTTCTTGTTGTACACCCCGAAACTAGGGAACTCTCTGCCTCAATCCTTCCGCCTTGCTTTCTCCTTCCCAATTTTAAGATCACACCTGAAGACCTTCCTCTTTGACCATGCCTATTGTCACCACCCCACTTTAGCCAGCTTGGCTTCAAGTTTCACCAATGTTAAATGCACTGAGACACTACCTTGCACGAAGGGCGCTATATAAATGCAAGTTGTTGCTATTGCTGTATGGGAGAGACTCAGACCATATTGAGACAGAGATATCCCAAGTTGACTGTGGGAACCGATAATGATGTTTGACAAAGTACCATGAAAGGCTCCTACACAAACTGAGGTCACTGAATATAAATGGCAAGGCATGGACAAGCAAAGGATAGTTATTTGGGGAGCTAGGTCGGAATGGGGTTGGAGGGGGAGAATATTAAGGGGTTTCTCGGGTCTGTACTGGGAACCCTCTTGATTCTTGTAAAAATGAAAAGACCGGAATTTACTGAGCCAAGGTGAGGTAGCTAAATTTGCAGATCACACCAAGTTGAGTGAAACTGTAAAATCTGGGAGATAGCAAAGTTCTTACAAAAATAAATTGAAAGTGTATGTACATGGGCTGATTACTTGTACATGACTTTCAATGCAGATAAATGTAAGACACTGCAAGTAGCAAGTAAGAATAGGAGACACATATTCTCCAGGTGTAGGAATGACTTGCCAAGTGGGGAAGCTGAAAGAGTGACAAAAAACTCACCCACCTGTAGTCGGAGGGAGCTATGTCAGCTGAGCAGAGGAATGGGGTATGAGAAGATCAGAGAGTTAGGGAGGTGCTCGGGCATTGAGGGATTTGTATGCGTGTGTGGACCTCAAAGTCAATCCTTCAAGATCCACACCCTCAATGTAAATTTGAGGAAACAGAGAGCCAATGGAGTTAGACGAGGACTGGGGTGAGGGGTGCAGAGTTTGGTAGCAGTGAAGATACAGGTAGTGAATTTGAGAAATGAAGGTGGGAGGTGACAAAACTGTGGATAAGGATTTCGGCAGCATTTGATGTGACAGAGCAGAGGTAGGAAACGTGATGGAGGATCAAACGAGCCAAAGGGTGTCCAACTGAGCTTTTGAAGCACTCCAAGATGTTATCCTATGGAAAGCTCCAATATAAATGCAAGCTGTTCTTGATTATCTGATCCTCTCATGATATTGTGCAGAGATAAATAGATGAAAGTCCTGGTTTCTATTGCCCCCCCTCTCCCCACCCCCACCCAGCCCCCAGCAAGGTTGGGTTTTTAAAAGACATACATCTTTTAATCCCAATTTATGCAGCTATTAGTCTTACTTTGGTGAAACGGTAATCCTTATGGTAGAACTGTTGAAATTATTGTGCTTCACATATGATGCATACATGAGGGAGAAGGGAGTAGGAGAGGAATAGGAGGGCTAGGGGCTGATGTGAAGTATAAGCTGTGGCATGGACTAATTAGCCAAAGGGCCCGTTTCCTGTTTCTATGCATCTCTACGTAACGCATCCAATAATTCTCAAATACAGTTTCCTTTTATTTCTCCATTTCACATTATCCATTTCACCCCATCAATATGCCCAGGGATAGCTCAGTAATCCAGGCAAACAGACATATGGTGCTCCCACCATAGTGATAACAAAAGACCTCATACCATTACTGTTGTCCCTTTACTTCTTTTTAAAAACAAATGCCCTCCAAACTCCCAGAAAGTATTAAAATCAATACTGAGTTTGCATTGTGGCTTACCTAATGTAAACAGCTTACAACTTCATTCTTCAGGTGACTAATGCAAGTTTTTTTTAAAACTGTATTACATTACATCAGCTCCCCTCACACATTAGATATTCTTTGTTAACCTATTACAGTGATTTCAGATGCCCTGGTAATGTGCGGAGGATGCAGAGACTTGGGCAAAGCAATAAGGTTTCACAATTTAAAGAAACATTGCACAGGATTTCATTTCACTGTACTCCCTGGCTAGCTTTTGAAATGGCTGCCAAGATTCTCTGATAAAATCTGCACTGTATCATACATTTTTTTCCCCCTGAAAATCTAAGCTACTTTAATACCGGAGGTGTGGACACAAGACTCCAAGACAAGCTGAGAAACGAGGGCTCAGTGTGAGTGTGTGTACAGTACAAGCAAACCTCAATCAAGACGGTGTACTGTAATATACTGGCAAAGCCACATTTTGATTTATATCAACACATCACAAGAGGTGGATGGATTACTGAGACACAGTTAAGAGCAAGCAAGCCAGGGCTAATCCAATTGCGAGATCTGCAACTGGGCAAATTTAAAGCAACAAAATTTCAAAACAAAACATTCGCCGCAAGCCTGGCTGCCCGCTGAACTTCAAAGCCTAGCATACGCACCACCACCCCAGCAAGTGAACAGAGGGGGATCAGGGGTGCATCTGACCCGGTCATTTGGTGTTTGTAGGGGGAGGGGGGTCAGCTGGGTGTCTAACACATGCAGAAAACCATCACCATGCTTAAGAATATCCAAACCAAGCTCAGGAGAACAGGACAGAAGTCCACACAGTCCCTGTTTGAGTGCTCCCCCTTACACCGCACACAATAAGGAGAACGTTTACAGGGTAATTCCCATTCGGGTAAAGATCAGGACTGGTCTTTGGGAGAAAGGGGCAAAGGAAGAAAGGCAAACTATTCTAAATATGGGAGGTGAAATTATTTATATCTTATATAATAATAATAATAACAACAACGATAATGATAAATACAAGCAGAAGTGAATGCTTTTAAAAAGTCGAGGCACCAAAGTGAAACAAAGCTCCCCTTCCCTCTCTGGCTGGGGCGTGGGGGCTAAGACAACACTTCACCATGGGAACCGAACAGCTTCAGAGAGAAAGCAGAAACACTGCGAAACCACGATGCAACAGAGAGGGGGAAACTTCTTTAAAAGAAATGGAAACGAAATGCTGTCTGAGACTTACCGCTCTGGCTTGTAGTCTGTGTGAGTGAGTGAGTGTGAGTGAGTGTGTGTGTGTGTGTGAGCTCCCTCAGGCTCTCCTGTCTTTCCTCACAGTGAGCAGCGTTTCCCCGCATGTCCTGCCATGGTAGTCTCGCTGTCTGCGCTGTGCCTGTGCTGTGCAGTCAGGTTACAGTGTAACTGGTGCTCCTCAGCCAACCCACCATTCAATCAGACTGAGGCTTCCACCTCTGAACTCCACCAAATGCCAGTCACTCCTCCTACCCTCTCCTACACACACACACACACGGGAGCAGGCTGTGGAATTCCAGTAACGTGGATTCCTTAAACACACACACATATATATATATATATATACACACACACACACACACACGTTTCGCCCGCAAATATAGTCAATTCACTTTACAGTCTATTTTGTGAAGCGCTTTGAGACGTCTAGAAGAGATGAAAAGCGCTATATCAAATGCAAGATTATTTTATATATATGTGTGTGTGTGTGTGTGTGTGTGTATACCGAACAGCTTCAGAGAGAAAACAGAAACACTGCGAAACCACGATGCAACAGAGAGGGGGAAACTTCTTTAACACACACACACACACGAGCAGCAGGAGACTCCAGTAACCCAGATTCCTTAGACAAACACATATATACAGGAGCAGGTAACAAGAGGAACTTCAGGAACCTGAACTGAAGCCGGCATGAAAACCTTTCATTCCCAATTACATTTCCCCCTGCTGGGCTGGAGGAATAGATCGTTAAACTACACCTGGTTTCCTTCGAACTATTTTGAAAAAAAGCACCCACTTTGTGAAAAAGCATTGGGACCAACTTAACTCCCCCCCAATTCTCCCTCCATGTATCCACCACCATGTCATACTGTAACATGAAATGCATTCTCGTGTAGTTTACATGTCCTCGATGAAAATAAAACAGTCTTCACCCTTCCCAAGTAGAAAAAGGAGATTTGGTAAACTTATTTTTTCTCTTGTGAACAAGCGGTCCCTTTAAGTGGACAACCCTTCGCCATATATATATATACACACAGAGGAGCCCTGAGGATGTGATTAGTGACAGGTTGGAATGTGGTATTCTCTGGCATAAACTGATGTTGAATCAGAGTCCATAAAATTCCTTTAAAAGGGAATCAGACGGATGCTCGAAAAAAGACAAATATTAAAGCTTACTGAGAGTGCACAGCCCAAAGAGGTTAGTTTTAGTGACCCATGCAGAGAAAAACCCAGAATAGATGGGCCAAATGGCCTGTTTCTGTGCTGTAAACTTTTGTGGGGTTTATACACAAGAGGAAACTGCAGGGATCACACCAGCAGAATGGTGACAGCATTTTATCTTGTGGACACAATTGTCTGGCTTACTGGAAGAGCAGTAGTGCATGATGCAATCCCACAATTACTTGACACTTTTAACACAGAGTCAACACTCAACAACATGAAGACACTTTACAACATGCATAAACCGAAGAAAGGCTGTTAAAAAAAAGCTGCCATAGTGACAATATTTTCCGATATACGTATACCAATAGAGTTGTGATGATATGATAAATACCATTTGGCCATGGCTATAAAGGTGATACTAATCTTTGGGATATAAACTAGATTAACCAGGAGAAAAACTTCACATTTCTTTGAAATAGGACTTTATATTCACCTAATTCCCATGCAGGTGGAACCTGAATTAATAATAATCAAAGAATGGGATGATAATCTGGAAATAAATAATAAAATTACACCACCAAGGAGAATGCCTAACTCAAAGTATTGATCACTCTTCACTTTTTTTATACACAGGGAAGACAATTTATCTCGTGGGCAACATGAATAAAACACTTCTTACCGTGTTTAAATGTCGTGTTTAAATACTTTGTTCAAATGCCCTTGTTTAAATACTGAAGTAGATGCTACTGGAAACGATCAAAAGAATCAAATCAGCCCTGACAATGCTGGTGCACCCACGTTCCTTCATAACCCATTCTAGCTAACTGAACACAGCCAGGGAGCAAACAAGAAGCCTTCCCAGTTTGTGAGGCTGAGTTGCACATTGTGCAGATTATTTACTAACTGAGACAGTAGGGGGCATTCATTCCTTCTCATTTGTTTTGCAAACCATTTGATACTGCAAATTCATTTTTAAATTCGAATACATTTGTTGATGTCTGGTTTCTGATACACAATGTAATGTTTCCCTTTCTCTTCTCGCCCTCCCCCTGCCCTCCATGCACACACAGTGCTTCTCACTATTATCCCTGCTGCACCATATGTTCCTGGCATTGTTTATTGATCTACAGTATTTTTAAACATTCGATTAGATTAAACAAATGTCTGTAATTCACAACAATATTAAACAGTTACTATATGAACTATTTCCACAAGGTCATCATATTTTGAATTGCTACTGATTAACCCCACACCAACATTTCACATGAATCAGAACTCAAAAGTTCAAGGGCTGGGGATCATAGCATTACACTGTGTCAGCACTGTGTCAGCTTAATAATCCGGTTCCGAGATCGGTTCAGAGTTTTTACTGAGCAGACAGGTAACCCCCCCCGATCTGCAAAGAGAACTCAAGGACAGCACAGAGGAAATTTGCAATTCTATTCATATCACTTCCAGCACCACTAGAGCGTGCCAGGGGCCTGGAGAATGGCAGATGTTACTCCTATTTTTGAGTAAGGCCACAAAAGAGATCCAGGAAAGAAGACCACGAAATTTTACATCCATTGTCAGTATAATTATGGAGAATCTTATTAAGGATAAAATCAAAGAGCAGTTTAACATCTCATACAAAGGATGACACCCGCAGCACTACACCGAATGTCAGACTCCATAACGTCCACGACCCAACGTGGGATTCAACTCACATCTTTAAGACCCAGAGGTGTAAGTGGTACCAACTGAGCCAATCTGACACAAAGTCAATGTAAGACATCCATTGGGTTATCCGATTTCAATGACAATTTATAACACATTTAAGAATCAGCAATATCATTCATGAATATAATCAAGGATCTCAAATCATTCTTACTTCTTGTGCTATATGGTGCTGCACAAATGCTGTATATGAGTCATATCCGTACCGTGGTCCATACCCACTTTCTATAAAGAGGCACATTTCAAAAAAATTTCCAACTCTCTCACATCGTAGACCTAAGACAAAGATCCGTTTAAGATTATAATGGTACAAATTCATTCACAGTCACTTCCCATCGAGTGGGATTCAGTTTAACAGAAAGTCAACACAATAGATTCCCAAGGTTCAGACACCTCCTGATTTGTAGAGCAACACTGCACCCTGCTGAATACTTGATTGGGAAGATGAGTTAACAGCAAACAAAAGTTTATAGTGTTAGAAAGTAAATTTGATGTCCAGTAAGTTTGATATCCATTATGGGTAAAATTTTGGAAACTCTTAAGGATAAAATCATAGAGCATCAGGACAGAAATCAAGTTATAAATGATAGCCAATATGGGTTCATGAAGGGGAGGTTTAGCCAATCTAAATTTACTCATTTTCTTTGACAGCATGACAAAGGAACTTGATAAGGCTGTGGATTTGTATATTTGGATTTCAGTAAGCCCTTTGATAGAGGATGCTACTGAAAGTAAAGAAAGCATAAATCAGTGGAAAAGTATTACAATGTATATGCAACTAGTTGACCAGAAGAACCCAGAGAGTGGTAATATAAGGAGTATCATTAGACAACGTGGAAAAATGTAAGCTATTTCTCATGGACACAAAACAATCCAGGAAGGGACTATTATTTGAATGGAAGGAAATAATATGTTTGTTTACTTGCCAACATAACTATCCTTTTGTCTTCCAAACCCAATATCAAGAGGTTTGCCAAAGAACAGAAGTAATACAATCATCTGGACTCCAAGCTCTCATGGCTGTCTGTAGGAGGGTGTGGGTCACACCCCCATACAAAAGGTTTACCTTAAGAAGGGAGCTCTACCTCTGCACATCAATCGTCGCCAGACTTTCCTCCCACGCGCGCAAGCCCCCAGCTTTATACTGGCTCTCAATTATCCATTGGAGCTGGTGCCCAATTATCACAAACTGTAATGAAGCCTGATTGGAGTCCAGGCCTTGTTAGTTCCCTTTAACATAGATTTTTGATCACAATAACTATAAAAGGCAGTGACATGGTTTATCCTCCTATCACACTGTCATTTGTTGGACTATATTCATACAGATAATCGTCCAGTGTGCTTTCATGCATTTTCCACTGATCAAGTTGAGACCAATGTGTCTATAGTTGACAGATGTACCTTTTTCAACTCTCTTGGAATAAAACATCCACGCTTACTTGTTTCCAGTTTATTGGTTGAAATTCCGATAGACAAGTATTCAAATAATTAATGTCATTTAGTTTTTGTTTTCCTGCCATATCAGTTGCATTCACATCGTCCGTAGACCCATCTAGCAAGTGGGAATTGGTGCAGCCAATCACAGCCTGGCATGCTCACACCCATTCACAACCACAACTTGCATTTATATAATATCCTTCATGTGAGATGGTATCTTGGAATGTTTTGGAGACACTTTTGCATAGTAATCGCCCAATCACCAACAACAACTTGGATTTATATAGCGCCCTCCACGCCGGACGGCATCTCAGAGCGCTTTACCAGTAACGGATCCCGGGAGACGGGGAGGAAAGTGACCAAAGCGCGGTCGAAAAGAAAGGTCTTCAGCAGAGACCTGAAAATAGGAAGGGAGGGAACGAGGCAGAGGGAGTGAGGAAGGCAGTTTCAGAGCCTCGGGGCATGGTGGCTGAAGGCACAGCCGCCGAGGGTGGAGCGGAGGACTCGGGGGACGAGGAGAAGGACAGACTCAGAGGAACAGTCATCCCAGGGATATTCCTGAAGTAATGGGTAGCACTGTTGCCTCTGAGTTGCCTCTGAATGGTTCAAACCCTGCTTGGTGGATTCAAGACACTCTCCTGCGTGGAGTGCTATATAAAATGCAAGTTATTGTTTCATCAAGCATACTCCACCATTAATTCTACGACAAATCTTTAATCGCACTTCCCTGCCTTTACTTTGTACCGCTCCATAGAGAAGGGAGTTTCTCCTTGTGTCCTGATCTTGGGATGTCCTCCTAACGTGAAATGCGCTATACAAATGTAATGTGTTGTTGTTATTGACCAACAATCTTTCCCCGCCAGCCAAAACAAACTAGTCATTCATTTCATTTCAAGAGATCCCGCTCGCTTCCAGCAATGGCAAAAATGTTTGAGACATTTTTCTGCAAATTGGCTAACACCATTTGCCGAAAAAATACAGTACTAAACTCTACGGTATATCCTGTGAAACGCTTTGAGATGTCCTGATGATATGATAAGGCACTATACCAATTGCTGCAGGAGGCTGCCACTTTGTTAAGTGCAACGTGCAACCGGGCTACTGCATGAGAACAGTTACATTGCTGTGCGCAATTGACTGCCGCGTTCGCCCACAATAATACAGTCAATTCACTTTACAGTGTGTTCCGTGAAGCGCTTTGGGACGGTCCTCCCAACGTGAAAAGCGCTATATCAAATGCAAGGATTATTATTATTATTATTATTATTATGTCCGTCTCTGGACATTAGACCTTTCCTTTATTATTATTCGTCATTCCCCAGTTTCCCAGTGGGTCAGACCAAAGGCCAATACAATCAATAGATCTTATAACAGAACAATACCACCGTAGATATCTCGAGTTCAACACTGTGTCTTTACAGCACACAAGCTTGATTCTTCATGCTTTCAGTCTTCTTGCTTACAGCTTTCAATCTTCCATCTGATATCCTCAGTCCTAGTGTTTCTAGCTCTCAGTCTTCCATCTACCGTACCCTTGTCTCTGCGGCCCAGGATGGCCCCATCTCCCTCTGCGGCCCGGGATGGCCCCGTTCACAAAGTTAATGGAACTCTTATACCGATGTTCGTCCAATCATGTCTCACATATCACATCACATTACCTCAGTCATGTCCAGTTCACGTGAGAGAGTTAACTGCAAATTGTTATTTACAAATCAATTTGTGATCTGACCATTATAAGTAACCTTGCGTACCACAACGCCTAGACATGTACGGAGTGTCATTAACATATGACCCTAATTCTTGTGTCCTTCTGGCAAGTCCTTGTGTCCTTGTTTGCTTTCAAGCTACTGCTGGAGGAATGAATAGCTACACAAATTGCTGAAACTTAAACAGGATCATTCATCCTCCATAATGAACAGTTTACACATCCTTCACAAATGACTTGTAATTTATCTTAAAATCCATGCCAAGTGGACACAGGGGCCTGGACTGATACAATGGATTCCTGTAGCTCAGTGGTTAGAGCATTCGCTTTGCAAGTGAGAGACCTGAGTTCAATTCCAGGCAGAGGGCGAAACCTTGGGCAAGTTTCCTTACTCCACACACCTAATAATAATCCCTCCAAAACCAAAAACAATAATAAATTGGTCATTTTCATTTTCTGGGACGTCCTCCTGATGTGAAAAGCGCTATATCAAATGCAAGGATTATTATTATTATTATTATTATTATTATTATTATTATTATAATATTTGTTAAATAACAAGGGAGTGATGGGGTCGCGGAGCCTGGTGCATGAGAGTATACGAGCTGCAGAGTTTTGGATGATCTGCAGCTTGTGAAGGGAAGAGTTGAGAAGGCCGATGAGGAGGAAGTTCCCGTAATCAAGCCCTGAGGTGACGAATGTGTGGCTGAGGGTTTTGGCAGCCCTCTGAGGGGTGAGGCAGTGGCGGAGTCTGGCAATGTTGCAGAGGTGGTGGTAGGCAGTGCCGGTCATGTTGCGGATGTGGGGGAGAAAGGACAGTTCAGGGTCAAACAAGACACCCTGACTGGCTTAGTGAGGTGGAGTGTGCAGCCGTGGAGGCTGATGTTGCCAGCGCCTGAGGTGCGGAGGCACTGGCGCGAGTCAATCAGGAGGGGCTCAGTCTTGCTGACGTTGAGTTGGAGAAAGTTGGAGAAAGTTGGCCCTCGTCCAGAACTTGATGGACTTGAACTCAAAGGGCACTTTAATCTCACATCCAGAAACATTAAAAACAGATTTCTATCGGTGAAGCAATGCTTTGTGAATTTGTTTAAAACCTTAGGATGATTAAACTAATATGAAAGCAGGAATCTAATCAGTAATAATCATACAATGTCTTTAATTATCAAATATTCTGTAACATTTGCCTTAAATTCTGTAAAATACTGCCCTGGAGTCTCCTGATGAAATCGCCATTACCTTGATTATTATTATGGAAGGGCAATTTACTGCTGAAGAATTTTTAAATTGCTGCTGGGGAATTACTAGGGGATGTTCCCCACCAATTTATATGTTAAAAAATGCCGTGCTATAGAAACATAGAAACAGTAGACCATCAGCCCCTCGATCCTGTTCGCACATTCTATAAGATCATGGCTGATCTGTACCTCAACTCCAATTACCCGGCTCAGTCTTAATAATAATAATAATAATCCTTGCATTTGATATAGCGCTTTTCACGTCTTCTAGACGTCCCAAAGCGCTTCACAGAATATACTGTAAAGTGAATTGACTGTATATTTGTGGGCGAACGCGGCAGCCAATTGCGCATAGCAGTGTCCCACAAACAGTCGTAGATTAAAAATGTGGAGTCCTGTAGCTCAGTGGTTAGAGCACTCGCTTTGCAAGCGAGAGACCTGAGTTCAATTCCAGGCAGAGGGCGAAACCTCGGGCAAGTTTCCTTACTCCACACAGAGCCTAATAATAATCCCTCCAAAACAAAAGAATAATAAATTGGTCATTAATAATAATAATAATAATCCTTGCATTTGATATAGCGCTTTTCACGTCGGGAGGACGTCCCAAAGCGCTTCACAGAACACACTAAAGTGAATTGACTGTATATTTGTGGGCGAACACGGCAGCCAATTGCGCACAGCAATGACCCACAAACAGTCGTAGATTGAAAATGACCAATTTATTATTGTTTTTGGTTTTGGAGGGATTATTATTAGGCTCTGTGTGGAGTAAGGAAACTTGCCCAAGGTTTCGCCCTGTGCCTGGAATTGAACTCAGGTCTCTTGCTTGCAAAGCGAGTGCTCTAACCACTGAGCTACAGGAATCCCTTGTATCAGTCCATTATAAATGACTTGTAATTTATCTTAAAATCCATGCCAAGTGGACACAGGGGCCTGGACTGATACAATGGATTCAATGGATACAATGTAGCTCTGGCTCTGGTGGAGCCCAACACAGTGGAGTCACACTGTGCAACACTGCGGACCAACACCCAGAGCGGGGAATGAATGGCCCCGTCAATCAGCACCAACCCCGGGACCGCCTACTCCCTCCCCACGTGACCTCCGCACCATGCGCCTGTGCGCGATGACGTGAGCGAGTCGCGGCGCGCGCTGACGCAGAGCGGGGCGCGATGACGCAGGTGGGGTGATCCTTTGCGCGCGGGGCGGCTGCGTGCAGGTGGCGGTTGAGTGGCTCGCGGGTTCGTTAAGCGGTTCGGAGACCAGTGCCACCACCGCCGCCATCATCACCACCACCATCATCATCATGGCGAGCTCGGGGAGGAAGCGGCTGCTGAAGGAGGAGGACATCTCCAAGGTGGAGTTCGAGACCAGCGAGGAGGTGGACGTCACCCCCACCTTCGACACCATGGGCCTCCGGGAGGACCTGCTCCGCGGCATCTACGCCTACGGTGAGTGCGGCCCTGCCCGGGAGCGGGGCCCCCGACCGCGGCGGGGGCGGCAAGAGGGAGGGCGAGCGAGCGGCCACCCGGCATCAGGAAACAAACCACAGGCAGGGCCCCCCCAGGCGGTCAACCGGGCCCTGGGGTTGGAAGCGGGTGGGACCGAGGCCTCTTGTCGGCCATGTTGTCCCGGGCCTCTGTGTGTGTGTGTGAGGCCTTTCGTTATAACTCACAGGCGGCGCCGCCGGCGGCGGCTTCGCTCATCAATGGCCGCCCACCCCGACCAGCGGCCACACCGTCAACTTAGATGCGTTTGTGCGAAACGCTCTTTTTAACTCGTTTCGGCCCGCGCTGCCCGTCTAAGCGCCCCGAGACGCCGTCCGGCGCGGAGGGCGCTACACAAGTCGGGAGTCCTGTAGCTCAGTGGTTAGAGCACTCGCTTTGCAAGTGAGAGACCTGAGTTCAATTCCAGGCAGAGGGCGAAACCTTGGGCAAGTTTCCTTACTCCACACAGAGCCTAATAATAATCCCTCCAAAAAAAACAATAATAAATTGGCCATTTTCAATCTACGACTGTTTGTGGGACATTGCTGTGCGCAATTGGCTGCCGCGTTCGCCCACAAATATACAGTCAATTCACTTTACAGTGTGTTCTGTGAAGCGCTTTGGGACGTCCTCCCGACGTAATAAGCGCTATATCAAATGCAAGGATTATTATTATTAAGTCCAAGTTGTTGTTGTTGTTCCTCACCCCCTCACTCCTAATAACCCGATGATCACCATTGGCGAATTGATGGTTCCCGATGCCCGTCCCCGCCCCCCAAACCATCCCCGTTGCCTTGCGTTGTTTCGGAACATCTTTCGGAAGTATTAATTCTTGGGTTTATCTTCGCAGTTCCGTCTCACATCCCGTTAGTAAGACCTCCACTCAGGTTTCCCATCGGGGCGAAACCTTGGGCAAGTTTCCTTTTACTCCGCTCGCCTGGTGGTAGTCCCTCAAGAACAAAAAAGCTAATAATTTGGTCACCCAAATCCACGACTGTTTGTGGGACACCGCTGTGTGCAATTGGCTGCCGCGTTTGGCCCACAGATGTTCAGTCAATTCACTTTACAGTATATTCTGTGAAGCGCTTTGAGATGTCTGGAAGATGTGAAAAGTGCTGTATCAAATGCAAGGATTATTATTATTAGAGATACAGGAGCCTTAATCTCCACTGCAAATCCCCACCACTGGCCTGGGTAGCCAACCCTCATGTTGCAATAACCAGTATACAAGAGCACTACAGTGTACAACTTGAGCAGTGACCTGAGCTCTTAACAGAGTATCCCAGCATCTATTTCCCTTGTTTAGTTCTGCCTCTTGTTTGGACTCTGCATTGTTAGAGATGACATCTTTTGGATTGGATGAAACGTTAAATTGTGGCCCAGTCTGACTGTTTAGGTGAATGTTAACGATCCTATGGCACTATTTGAAAAGGGCAGGGGATTTCACTGAGTATCCTGGTCAACAATAAAACTGGTCATTTGTAAGAAATTGTTTTGTACAAATTGTCTGCTTTGTTTGACTACAAATAGTCATTACACTTTACAGTAAAACCCTGTGATGTGCTTTGAGATGGTTTGACAATGCAATGATGTGCTTCATAAAGAAGTGGGTTGATGAAAAAATGTAGCTGCTTATTTATTAGGATTATTATAATTAATTGTTTTATTGAGGGTTAAGTTGCCTATTTTTGCATGTGGGTATAATTCTGTCAAGTCATTTTTGTTTGCTGGTACAGGTATAAATAGTATTAATAAAATAGTTTTGATAGCATTTACATGTGTATTGATTTTCATTTTCATAGATGTCACTATGGGTGTTTTTTTTACTTCCCCATTTCCCTCCACCAAAACAAGAATATTACCTTTATAGTGTAATCACCATGATTTTTAAATCTTCACTATTAATCAATTCACTATTAATTAATGGGAAAATCGAGAAATTTCTCGATGTTACAGGTGCTATTACCAAATAAAAAGATTTTTTTTTAACGCTTATGCTATTAAAGTGTTTAAGTTCAACACGTTTAAATCAATATGTGCTTTCTTTTGTAGGCTTTGAAAAACCATCAGCCATTCAGCAAAGAGCAATCAAGCAAATCATTAAAGGAAGAGACGTAATTGCTCAGTAAGTTTCTCAGAAAAAGCAGTTAAGTAAATATAATTTGAATAGTGTGTTACTGTTCATTTAAACATAGCTATTTAATGCATATACTTACTTTTCCAGGTCACAATCTGGTACAGGAAAAACAGCGACTTTCTGTATATCTGTATTGCAGTGCCTAGATATTCAGGTAATGTTGACAATTGTATGAACTGCCTTTATCCGAGTTTTGTTAACTTTAGGACTCTTAAGCCTGTAAGGAAATGAATGCATTTACATAGAAAGGACTTAACCGCTTGCAACTTTGGTTTATTGTTGGGATTTTAGGATTAATGAAAGAAAGGTGAACCATTTAGAAAACATTGTTTTTTTTTAATTCAGGTTCGTGAAACACAGGCTCTAATATTAGCACCAACTCGAGAGCTGGCAGGACAAATACAGAAGGTAAGAATGATATGTAAAAAAAACAATCCATTATGAAACTTGGATAATGGATGCCATTTGAAGCTCACAAAAGAGGTTGCCTTTCCTGAGATGTAACTGGGAAGGTTTTCAAAGAGAAGTTGGTTGATAGAATAAATGCATCTGCTTATTTAAAGAACAGGTCAAATGATTTTCTGACCAGATTATATGACTGATATGAACACTATTAAGCATGTACAATTTTAAGCCATACTTGGGTAAAAGCACACAAAAATGTGCAGCCATATATACTCACTGATAACTGGGAGGGGGTGGAGAACAAAGTAAATTTGAAGCAAATTTGAGGTAGTTAAGAATGGCTAAATGCAGTTAGAAAAGGGTTCATTATTTTCCCCTTATAACAACTGGTAAGTGGGGGTGGGGGGGAGGGAGAGAAAGAAGTGAGACGGGCAGCAGCCTTTACTTAACCAACTACCTTCATTTCATCTTGGCAAATGGTGTCTCCACTCACCCAGTCACCTGCAGGGTACCCCAGGGCTCCATCCTTGACCCTTTTCTTTTCCTTATCTATATGTTCCCTCTGGACGATGTCATCCCCAGACACCCATCACCGAATGGATCGACTTCAAGATCCTCACACTCGTGTTCAATTCCCTTCATTCTCTGGCACCTCCCTACCTCTCCGATCTCACTCCCCAATCCACCACCCGGTGCCTCCGCTTGACTGTCACTGCCCTCCTGCCCTTCTGCCCCACCATCAGAGGTCGTGCTCTCAGCCACTATGCCCGGGAACACTCCCTCCATCCCTCCGCCTTGCTCCCTCTCTTCCCTTTTTCAAATCCGCCTGAAAGCCTTCCTCTTTGACCGTGCTTACAGCCACCTCCCCCGCAGCCCGGCTTGGAGTCAGGTTCCGCCACTGTTAAGCGCTCTGAGCCCCTTCCATGCTATATAAGTGCAAGTTGTTGTGTGTGCCTGTGCAGATCTCTTTTACCAGCAGTAAAATCTGAAGGGTGATTCTAGGCAACTTGCTTTAAGCAATAATGTGTGAGATTTATCAGATTATCATTCTGTGCTGGTATGAGTGTCTCCTCTTCTGCCATACAGGTCCTACTTGCCCTTGGAGATTACATGAACGTACAGTGTCATGCTTGTATTGGAGGGACCAATGTTGGTGAAGACATTCGAAAGTTGGACTATGGGCAACATGTAGTTGCGGGTACTCCAGGTCGTGTGTTTGGTAAGGAACCTGTTTCACTATTATAATTTTTAATGGTTGATTTCTTTTGATGATTAACTGAATCAACAAACCTGATTTCAACCACTCAATATTATTTTTTTAATGTTTCCACAGTTGCCAGTTGATCCAATATTTGAGAATTATTGCTTCCTCTTTTGTCATTTCCTTTTAAGAAAAATAATCTAAAGTACAATGTTTTGCATCAAGAAAAATCAGATGCTCTTTAGCCCAGGTTTGCTGGAACATGGTTTGATGGTAAAATGGCACATCATCTTGTTGTGTCTTTATAAGTGTGCTTTATTCAGTGCGAGACACCGGTTATGCAAATTACTATTTATTTGCCGCCTTAGGTAATTAAAAATCTATTTGAACATTTTTAGTCCAAAGGCTTGCTGGTGTAAGACATTCAGTGCACCACCATAAGTTAATGGGATAATGTGCATGAAACAAATTTAAGCAAAATTGCATGCATAATAATCAATTGACCACTGGTCCTAAAACCAAAAGGAAGGATATTGCTGAAGTAGAACTGGGAACCTGATGATCTTTACAATTTTTTTTAGCGTAATCTGGCCCCAATCTAGCCTCGGGTTTTAACTTTTCTATTTCAGAATATGTAAGAAATTGCTGAGAGATTCAATCCTAACTCTCTTCCCCCCCACCTATTTCTGTTAGTCAAACCATTTAGGTAACTGTTTGCAGAAATAATAGCTTGTATACTATTTTTGGTGGACGCACAGTGCTTTTACTTGTTAAAGTAGCTACAAATTTGTCAATTGTTTGAATTTTCTTGTTTAAAGCTTACATATGCAGACACTGATCTTAATTGTTTTGTTTACTTTCCACCAAAATATTATAGAATAATATTTCCATTGAATTTGTTTGAGAGAGAAAACGAAACAATGCTGAGAAACTTAAATAAATCTGGTACAGCAAGTCAATCAATGCTAAGCCAAAGAGTAACTGGTTTCTGACTGTTTTTAAACAGATATGATTCGACGCAGAAGCTTGAGGACGCGTGCCATCAAAATGTTGGTTCTTGATGAAGCTGATGAAATGCTGAATAAAGGTATAACAATGCAATGCATTTTTCTTTGCCTTTAATATGTAGTAATCTTGGATTGAAGTGGCCCAAGGGATGTATGGATAAACCCCAAGTCAGATTCTATAGAAGAGTGAATATTTTACCTCTACAAAAGCTTTTTCCAGAAATGGTGCTTCTTTCATTAGAAAAGTTCCCATTTGAACACTTCCTACTGAGACTTGTTGAGAAAAGAAACTTATCTCCATTTTTATTTTTTTCACAAATTAAAAAAACTTAAATGGGTCAATAATTCATTAATTGATTTAATTCAATTACCGATGGTCACTAATGCTCTTCGTTTCTTGACTGCAGGTTTTAAGGAACAGATCTATGATGTGTACAGGTATCTGCCACCTGCCACACAGGTCATTCTGATCAGTGCTACGCTGCCTCATGAGATCTTGGAAATGACCAACAAGTTCATGACTGATCCAATCCGGATCTTGGTCAAACGGTAAGCATTTCTCTGGGAAACAATGAGCTAGAATTAGTCAAATATTACATAATTGGTATAGTATTGCCATCTCTACAATTGTGTTTTGTTAATCCTGTGGATTTCACACTTTATTTTCTTTAGCTGGTGAAAAATCTAAATCCACTTTGAAATTAACTGGTTAGATTTTACTTTTTTTGTGGTTTGATATTTTCCAAGATGCTAGTTGCCCCGTTGCAATGGAATACATTTATTTTTTTCTATGCTATTATAATTGAAATTTTAGGGAAATTCACTTGTGTAAACATTTCCTTACACTTTCTCCTTTTATTTTCCTTTTTGAGTGTAAACATGTTCACTTTTTCTTGTAAGATTACTTTAGTGGTTCATTGATTTTTGGTGGGAGATGAATACATTTAGCAGTTTCTATTTTTATTTCAGCTTCCTTCGAGTATTATTTCACCCATTGCATATCTTTCTCAAACATGCATTTCAGAGGTTTTTATACCCTCGACAACTGCAGTTATGCAGTCTCTATTCTGTAGTCCATATCCCAATTCTCAAATGGCTTGTTCTGATGTGACTTGCTCAGCACAACTAATGAATTGAACCTGTGTATTTTTCTGTTCTAAAGAAAGCCAGGCTGTTAGTATTGGCCAAGTACAAAAATCATGTAATAGTTTTCTAAACTAGAAAATGAAAATTAACTGCTGAGGGATTTATAGTGTTATTGGCCCCAGGTTTTACAGATTGTTGATGCATTGTTACTGACAGCAGATCTAGAAGTCTTGGTCATGGTTAAATGTGAATGTTGATGTGTAATATGATTAAGTTATTTTGTTAATCTTAGTTTTGTATTTTTAGTGATGAGTTGACCTTGGAAGGAATCAAACAGTTCTTTGTGGCAGTTGAAAGGGAGGAATGGAAATTTGATACATTGTGTGATCTTTATGACACACTGACCATTACTCAAGCTGTCATTTTCTGCAACACAAAGAGGAAGGTATGAAAATATTTCTTCCACTATTTGTCTAAGATTACTTACATTGTATTGAGATCATCCTGAAAATGAGGTATTTACATCTTTGAAAACCCAATGAACATTTAAAGAGTGAATATTTGTGGATAGTTTGACCAATCCAGTCTGAAGTGCTTGAAAGTTGTGACTAGCAGTCAGATTGAAAATCACAAATTTAACCAATTTATTTAGCACCAAATGAATTTGCAGCAATTCTTCATACAGCTGGATTTTTGATCTCTGAGGGATTGTTGGCTGGAACAAGAGTTGGGGGTAAAAGAAAATTCCATCTCTTTTCAAATAGTGTCAAGAGAGCTCTGACATCCACCTGAATGAGCAAATCTTTCCTCCTCTTTCTTTCTCTCCCCCACCGCCACCGTGAGACTAAGTAGAAGTTAGCATCTCCGGTAACCAAAAAGTTCACCTTGGTCCAGAAGAATTTGAAGTGACAACCTTAAATCTATTAGTTAAATCTATTTAGGACCAAGCAATATTCAGACACAGTACTAAGATTAGTATGATTTCTATTTTTGATTTTTTTCAAATTAAATATTAAATAACTTCCTATGTTTGTCTATAGGTGGACTGGCTTACAGAAAAAATGCGAGAGGCTAACTTCACAGTGTCCTCTATGCATGGTGACATGCCACAAAAGGAAAGAGAATCCATCATGAAGGAATTTCGTTCTGGGGCAAGGTACATTTTTGAATGAAAATCCAAATTCTGATTGTCCTTGTGTGTTTCTCCTCTGAAAGTATCTGCTGCTGGATATGTTTTCAAAACAAGTTTTTTTTTTTTACTTGTTGCATTGATTTTCTCATTGAAATATTAAACATATAAACATACATTTGTTTCTTTACAGCCGAGTGCTTATTTCTACAGATGTTTGGGCCAGAGGACTGGATGTTCCTCAAGTGTCACTGATCATAAACTATGATTTACCAAACAACAGAGAATTGTATATCCACAGGTAATTACTATGTATAATCTGCTTTCTAAGCGTCAACCACCTTTATAGCCAACCCCCCACCAAAAAAGAAATGACCACGACTGCTTGTGGGACACTGGTGTGCGCAATTAGCTGCCATGTTTCACACACAAAATACATGGTCGATTCACTTTACACTATATTCTGTGAAGCCCTTTGAGATGTCAATGAGGTAATAAGGCGCTATATGAAATGCAAGGATTATTATTTTTGACTGGCATTTTGATTTAGTGGTAGCAAGATGCACAATGAACATTTCATCCTGAACTGCACAATTCCCCAAATGGCGCACTGAATTTTTGTTTGTCTGGTTAGCAACTGAATCAATGATCCCTATTCTGAATGTCTCTTTTGTTATTGAATCAATAATCATTGAATCTCTCACAATGGTGAACAATCTAGGTTTCACTGATCAAATAAGTCTTTAAAATGGAAGATTGGCAAAACAAATCAATTTACTGCTATCCTAACTATACAGGACTGTTACTATATAGTCTCCCTTTCTTCCTCCTACTCCACATACCATCATTTTGTTTTAGAAAATGAAGGACTAAAATACAAAAATTAAAAAAGATGAAAAAACCAAACATCCTGGGCCTATTCCTCAAAATGATTTTGATCCATGACAGAGGCTTCAGATACACAAATTGTAATTCTTCATTGTTGCTGTTTTCACATACTTGCTGGTAACTTGGCTGAGCCCTGCTTTAGTGTTAAATGTTTACTCTGTATTGGTTGGCAGGATTGGTCGATCAGGCCGTTATGGACGCAAAGGTGTGGCCATCAATTTTGTTAAGAATGATGACATTCGTATTCTGCGAGACATTGAACAATACTATTCAACACAAATTGATGAAATGCCAATGAATGGTAAGTTCTAACTATTGTGGAGCTTCTGACTTGACTGGGTACTTCCCATGAAGTTGCTGAAATGCGTAAATCATTTGGGATGTCTTGGCCTTTATATGTGCCAGGGCCATTCACGGCCTTGCTCCCTCCGACCTACTATCCCCCTACCTACCTGCCCGTACCCTCCGTTCCTCTGGCTCCAGTCTGCTCCACATCCCCCACCGCAACCGCCCTACCATCGGTGGCCGGGCCTTCAGCCTCTCAGTCCCGAGGCTCTGGAACTCTATCCCCCAGTGCCTTCGCCGCCTCCTCCCTTTCCTCCTTCAAGGCCGGTCTCAAGACCTTTCTCTTTGACCGTGCCTTCAGCTCCCCTCTCGACTCTCTTCCCCCTTCTCGCTCCCTCCCCATTTCCCTCCTGCTCGGGTCCTGACCCAACTGTACAGCGCCTTGGGACGTCCTCATTGATATTAGATCTCATTCCAGATTAAGACAAATTGAAAGCATCCGGTACATATAGAATCGTACAGCACAAAAAGAGGCCATTCGGCCCATCGAGTCTGTGCCGGCTCTTTGAAAAGAGCAATGTAGTGTCAATCCCACTCCCCAGCCCCTTTCCCCATAACCCTGCAAACCCGTCCTCCTCAAATACCCATCCACCGTGTTTTTAAAAGTTGTTATAGAATCGGCCTCCACCACCTTTTCAGGCAATGCATTCCAGATTCGAACAACTCGCTGCGTGAAAAAATTTCTTCTCACCTCCCCTCTGCTTCTTTTTGAAACTATTTTGAATCTGTGACCTCGAGTCACCGACACACCCACCAGTGGAAACAGTTTTTCCCTTTCAAATCTATCAAATCCCCTCATGATTTTGAAGACCTCTATTAGATCTCCTCATAACCTTCTCTGCTCCAATGAGAATAATCCCAGCCTCTCCAGCCTTTCCTCATAATCAAGTTCCCTCATTCCTAGTACCATCCTTGTAAATCTCCTCTGCACCCTTTCCGATGCCTTAACATCCTTCCTATAGTATGGTGCCCAGAACTGGGCGCAATATTCTAACTGAGGCCTAACCAGTATTTTATATAGGTTAATCATAACCTCCTGACTCTTGTACTCTATGCCCCTATTTTATATGGAGGCAGGATTTCAGTTTAGTAGAGATTTGTACAAGTTAATTTATGCAACTTTGTTGATTCAACGTTGTTTCAATTTTTCTTCCAGTTGCTGACCTTATTTAAAGACGGAATGAATCCTGGAAGACGTGGGTTGAAATAATTTTTAAAAACCTAAGACGTGTTTGGGTGTTCCAGCAGAACTCTTGCATAAGGATTCTGCACAAAGATTCTGTAATATGTATTTCCTAACCTATGTTTTTAACAATTCTGGTCATGCTACAGTATAGTTTTATAAACCTAGTGTTGTTGTTTTGTACACATGGATCTAATCGGCAGAACTTTCAGAAGAAGCATATTGGAAGTTTAATGTAGGGCTCAAAACTTTTGTGTATACTATTTGATTTGATTAAAGCCTGGTGATCTACATATCTTTGATTTTTTTATAAAGAAAGCTGTCCATATGTTGAACTCGCCTGACTAATTGGTTTCACTTTCAAATGATGTAAATATTTAGGAAATTTGCACCAGACATTAAACCTGATGCTTAATGTGCTGATAGATTATTTCCACTTTTTCCATGATTCAGGCTTAGAGTATACTTTTAGTGATGTATATAGGCATAAGGTTTGTCACCTGTTGGAGAAATATTTCTCTGACAGTTCAATACCACTGTTTATACAGTCTGTAGCTAAGAAACCTGGCAAATGGCAAGTCCTACCCCAATCTTTTTTAAAGGTTTGAAGACTACATGGGAACTAAATTGGATAAAATACTTTATTAAAAAAATAATGCAAATGTACTAAAATCAATGTAGATAACTTCATTGTTGGTACATAGCTGCTGTGAACAGCCCAGTAGTTGAAATATGTGGCCAGTTAATTAGACTGTCCTTTACTTGACAATTTCTGGTATTAAAATTTACTAGTGTGTACTTTACAAAATAGATACCCTGTAATGTGGATTTGTACTTAAGCAGCATTAAAATTTCCATTTTTAAACCTCAGGGCCTTTCAAATCACTTCAGTACTTGTATAGCCACATTTGCAAGTAAATATGTAGCTATTTTGCCTACAAGGTCCAGTGGTGGTAACCAATTTAGCTGGAAGAGTTAGGAATGCAGTACTTCCCCAATGTTATACTGGATTCTCTGCCTGAACAATAAACTGAAGGTCTGCACCAGAGCATCAAAAGGGGATTTTGGGGAGCTGAGGTAAAAGTACCAATGTTCCATTGTGCAAAACCCCACCACCGTGTAATGTGAAGTGAGATTTTGGATTAATTGATTGGATATTTCATACCAAGCTTCCTCTCACTTAAAGGTCCTCAAAAGAATGGTAATTTCACCTAAAAATCTGTAGGACTGCAGTAATTGGATAAATTCATACATGTATTCAATTTAGCACCTTTCATGCCAGGATGAGCATTTCACAGAATATTGTAAAATGTTTGTAGAGATGGGTTCCTCATGATTTTGATATCTGAATATAAACAATTGTCAAAAAAATCTTCCTCTGTTATTAGTTTGATCTAATGGACGGTTAGGATAATAGCAGATCAAAAATTACATTACTCAGCCAAGTCAAGGGAGACGACTTCACAGCTTTGAAAGCTCCAGGCAAAATTAATAAAGTAAAAGCCAAATGGCACACTGGGTGTCATTATTTTGAATCCATCTGCTACACCACTTGTGAGCAGCTCTGTTGCATTTGATCCACCAGCAATGATCGTACACTGAAGCATGTTTTTCAACATTGCAATTCTACTTTTCCTGTAAATAAGTAGTTACTGCTACCAAGTAAATTAAGATCTAAAATATTATGCAGTTCATGACCACTAGAGGGTACCCTTTGGGTTTAGAACAGTATGTCAGTATGGCATAAAACCCAAACTATTGCCAGATTAGTTACACAAGTTCATAAACTTCTTGAGACTAGTGTTTCCAATCTGGCTCTCCACAATTTGCACTACATATGTATCAAGTAGCCTGTGTTGAAGAGTGCTATATAACAACCAATAAAATTACATTTGTAAAGCACCTTTCACGCCGGGAGGACGTCCCAAAGCGCTGGGGGAGGAAGCAGGGAGATTGAAAGCACGGTCGAAGAGGAGGGTCTTGAGATGGATCTTGGAGGTGACGAGAAAGAGGGACTGCAGGATGGAGTTCCAATGGGTGGGGGGGGCAGGGTGAAAGAATGGCTGAAACCGGTCCACCAATAGTGGGGAGAGCAAGACGGGGCACGTGAAGCAGGCCAGAGGGAGCGATCAGGATGGTAGGGGGTTAGGAGGTCGCGGAGTTAAGGGGATGCTTGCACTACATATGTAACCTGTGTGAAGGGTGCTATATAAATGCAAGGTGTTGTGTACAGGTGATTTAACATTTATAACTACCGTCCAATCCACAGATTCATTAAAGAGTAGTTTCTCCCAGTGTCCTGGTCAACAATCCCCTCTCCCCAAATAAAAATTGGTTATTCACTTCATAGCTGTATAGTGCAAATTAGCTGCCATGTTCACCCACAAGGTAGTCACTCCACTTTACAGTAAATTCCCATGAAGCAGTTTGAGACATCTTCCCTCTGTGAGCGGCACTATATCAAATGTAAGGATCATCTATTTCTGCAGGCATGTAACATTTTCATATTCAGATGAAATAGTAATGTATCTAAAGTGGGTGACTAACACTGCCTTCAGTAATCCAGGAGTTGGCTTCATTTATAACCAGGACAACTAGTTGGTGAGATGACATAACAAGCCTGCATGATTTCACACATTTTGTTAAAAAAAAGTCCAAAGCCAAGAATTTCATAGAGTACTTTGATTTAATTATGTATTGAAAAATAAATTACAGGAAATAACTTTAAAATGCAACAGAAGACAACTCAATTCCACAACTAACATTCCCATTGCTTTGCCATAAGAAGGGGTGGGATTGCAGTGCTCAAGGCAGGTAATATCACAAATATATCAAAACTTCAAATTTGATGCATTCTTATGTTTACACCAACCACAAATAACATTCCTTTACAGAAACTGCACGTAGCCTACCACAGTACCAGATTTTGCCATTAACTACAAAAAACTTGATACAAAAATTTGGTATTTATATATTTATATTTAATATACATGCCCCACCTCATTTAACGATTGATAGAAAATTAAATAAAAAAAGATAAATGCACTGTACAGACAATGCTAACAGGTAGTTAGAGGCAACTTTTGGATGGATTTCCCCTCAACCCCCCAAAATTAGAATTGTACGGCACACTGGATGACTCAAGTGCCATTACAGAAACCATAAACTGTCTGCTGTTTAACCTTCTCTAGGGCCATTTTCAGAAACAATGGCAAGGCGAGACTGTTACCCCCCCCATCTACAGCATTTTTTTGTCCTCTAAGTTAATCCTGTGATCTGTGCAGATAGGATTCATGCAATGTGTAATACTGGTATACAGGCAAAAGCATATAAGAAAAAACAAAAACGGAGCTGGCTCATTTCAGGCGTCTACGGTCCTTGATGAACCCAATGATTTATTTGTACAGTATACTACAGTGCTACCAGCCTTTCACAACATGAATCCACTGACACAAAGTAGATCTGAAAAAGGAAATTTGATTAGGGTTCATGTTTCAAAAGTAACAAGTTACAAAGCAAAATGGCACATCCCTGAACTACCTTGTTTACAGTAACATATCCACAGAAAAACCACTCAAGGACAGAACTATTTCCTCTTCATTCTTCAGACTTTGTGGCAGTGTCCAGTGAAGGTGGGCCTTTCATTCAATATCTACAAAGACTAATTTTAACTGATTCACCAAGTCCATAACCTACAGCAAGCACTTGACACCAATAGAGCCAGGCAAGAGCACGTTGGATTGTCAGTTTATCTTTGATTTGGTATGTTGGGAGCCCTGTTCACTCAGACCTGCTTTGAGGGAGTTTGCTACAGTCCGCCTTATGTTGTCCTCCATCAAATTGTCACTCAGTGGCTTCAACACCTATAAAATGGAAATGTTAAAAGAAAAAAAAGACTTAAATGGAGTGAACCAAAAAACATGCCATTTAAAAATACATGTCCATTAAAATTTCCTCTATTAATAGCTGGGGAATAATAGCCATGATATTAGACAGAAAGGAATGATCAGATGTGGAATAAAGTAATTTGTACAACCCTGTGCTTTAAAGGGAAGAACAAATGTTAACTCAAAGATAAAATATGGCAGCTGCGCTATTTGCATATACAGAAAAACAACAGATAATATGGAATAGGAGAAGTAATGTGATTTAGAAAATAAATTAAAAACAACCTGATTAATGACTGTAATCGAGATGCATCTATACACAATTCACCTTCAAGTGGGTCTGCTTTGCTTTAACAGTCACTTAAAAGAAATGAGCAGTTCTGCACCCTACATTTCAGCCAAGTACATTTTACAGACTATTACACAGGGAGACCCTGACAGTTTGTTACTGTGCATGTGTAAATGTCCACACTTCCCCCAAAAAACGAGTAGACGATTGAAGCGCAAAAACTAGTTTTTCTTCTTGTTGTTGTTTGATGAAAGTCTCAGTGCTGGTGCAATAGAACGATGTATCACCCGATTTCGAGCAGAAATGAACAGCTTGGATAATACCTAAAACAAGGAGTTGTTAGTTAGTGATTAAATCCAGCATGTACTAGGAATGGAGGATAACAGTTTCTAAATTAATGCAAAAAAATTCTTGAACTGTGGTAATAAACCACAAAATAAGTTCTCCTTTTACTCCTCACCTTCTTTGGACTCCTCTGTATTGCATTAAGGAAAAAAAAGAAGCAAAGTGGTCAGAGCGATTAATGGAAGGGAAAAGAATGTTAAAAGATTACACACAAAAGCTCAGTTAAAAAGGTATATAAAAAAAGTTAATAGGTTAAAAAGGTATAAAATGTAGTCACCATACCAAGTAACGCAGCATTATAATGCTCATCACCAACATTAACCAAAGATCACTTGTGAATCAAATTCTGCTGCAAGAAATTGATTTAAGGCCACGAGGCAAACTGAATTCCCATTCAGCTATTACTTGCTGTAAAGTTTTTCCGAGCTGTCCTGGTGCTGCATAGAATTTACATTTATGTAGTGCCTTTTGTACCAGTGTCACCAAGCAAGGATAAGGGCCTTGCAAGGAAGAGGGAAAATTTTGCAGAGTTCTGGATGACCTGCAGCTTGTGTAAGGAGAAGTAGGGGAGCCCAGAAAGCAGGGCACTAATAATCAAGCTTGGACACTTGTACAAATGATGTTTATAAATTCTTAGCCCGCACTAAAGTATTGTGTCTAGTTTTTGTCTACCTCACTTTAAGAAGGATGTCAGGATTATAGGAGGGTGCAGACCTTAACTGTGATGATACCAGAGATGAATGGTTTTACCTGAAGGTAATGGTCCCATATTCAATAGAACAGAAGGTCAAGTGGAAACCAAATAGAGGGCTCCCCTCAAAGGACTAAGAGGGAGACTGGGGGGATTGTGTTTTAAACACAGAAAGTTGTCAGGATGTAGAATATCTGGCAGAATTCAAAGTGGTTGAGGCAGATTCCACATGAGGAAATTAGGGTAAAAAGTAATAATTTGTAGGGGTAAGGGGAAAAAGGACTGAACAGACTGCACTTTCAGAGAGTCAGCCAGACTAGTTCTTCTAGACCCACTACCTCCCTCAGTAATCCATTTCTCATAGTCTTGCTGTTCCCTCAACTGCTCGTGGACTTTTATTCATTTGTCTTTGCCTTTCAAACAAACAGTTTTCTAACACTACAGGCACACCATTTCAGGCTTCCCTCCATCCTCCAGGAATACAACTGGACTCTATTTAACTTGGCTTATTGATGCAATTGACCAACATTCTGAACAAATTAGTATAATAGATAGCAGTTGAATCCAGTTGAACTTCTAGAGACAAACTACATCCACAGGTTAGGGCCACACAATAAAAATATTACCTCAAAAAGCTTCCATATACATTTCTGTTTGGTTCTGTGGATTTCTCTATCGGGGTAAAAGTGGTTTGATGAATTATAAAAGTTTTACCATGTGGCTGTGATAGACCAAAAAGTCAAGAAGCCCAAATGTAAACCATGCAGAAGGAAGCTTTGTTGCCATTCCTCCCCACACTACACCTTTAGTCCAAAACAGACCTGCTCCTAAACCCCCATCAATGGCATTTTCAAATCAACTGCTAGAAGTTCAAAGCAACTCCTATACTGTGGTGGAAATAGCCAACTTCCACTCAGTAGTTCCCATGTGTGGACCTCGCAGATGGAAACCTAGACCTTACCAATCCATGTCATGCATGTTGGAGATCCAATGTGGGACTTCACCCCATTTTTCTCCTCATCCACCTGACTGGTTCTATTCCGTCAAAGAGGGAAGAAAAATCTCCATTGTGTTAATTGCAACTTCCCATTTCCAAGAAACGTTCTGTTTCCCAGATTGTGAAATTCATGCTGACAAACTGGGAATTGGAATCAAGTAACAGAATGTGAAATTCTCATCGGTGAATCAAGAATCCTAAAACAGCAAAATCCAACGTAGAGCCAATGAGCAAAATGCTTTTCCACAGACAGATGTACACCAACAGAACTAACACCATTTCATGCATGAGGGAAAATTTGTAGAAATTGAAGCCAACGTCAACCTCAGGAGCCTAATGAAGAACGGAGTTAAGAACCTGCATCATGCAAGTGCAGAGAACCCACTGGAGCACATAACACTGAACAGGAAGATCTGCAAAAACCCCAGCCACTGCCAAATGTAAAGCATGAAGTCTTCATATACAGTACTAGAATTCAATAAACACTTAATATTTACTAGTCATGAACTAACAAATCAAAACGTTTAAAATTAGATTAGCTTAACATTAAGAGTGTACAGTCTAGTCTCATTTTAACATTAAAAGCGTGCAGTCACGCTAATTTAAAAATGTACTAACCTGTTCCCATATAGTTTCAGCCACATGATCAATGATTGTTCCAAATTCTCTGAATTCACCAGAATATTTAGTGTAAGCCCAGGTGCAGAGGGATATTAGCGCTATGCCCATTACAAGGTTGCATAAGGAAGCTATAGAGTCCAAACCAATGAATCCAGTCACTCCTGAGATTATGTACATGGTAAACATCACAGCAAAAAGTGTGGCAGGTGTACGTGCCGCATAAAAAATATTTTTGCTGTCATTGTGCTTGACAAAGTTTGCATAGTTCTCTTCTATTTCTCTCTCAAGTTGTTCCTGGTAGCGTTGGCAGAAATCCTCCCCACCCATTTTCTTCACTGATCGGAATTGTGCCACTGAGGATTCTTTCAGAGTCAGATGTTGTTGCTCCAGATCAGCTGGTGCTATGTAAGGCTTGTCTCCACCACAGAACTGTAAAAAAAAATAAACTTTTAGATTCTCTTTCTTTTTTAAAAAACCCCAAAATAGTAGCTTTCATTTCAATTACAAAATAGAACACCTTTATCCACAATATAAAAGTCTGAAACTCTTTCAGGGCAAAGGGTGTGTCTGCACCTGCAAGTCATTGTTGGGGAAATAGCTGATAAAACATAGAATTTCAGAGTAGAATTTAATTTAGGGCTGTGCAAAAATGGTGCATCACATCAGTCCCAATTGAATTTTTGTTGGAATATTTTCTCTCTCTCCTCACTGTAACCCTCTTCATTGTTATATGTAATAATACTTGCATTTGACATAGTGCCTTATCACGTCTTTGGGACATCTCAAAGTGCTTCACAGAATATACTGAAAAGTGAATTGACTGTATATTTGTGGGCGAAACACGGCAGCCAATTGCACACATAAACAGCGTGGTTTGAGTGACCAAATTATTAATTATTTATATTTTCTTGAGGGATTATTAAACTGAAAATCAATTCTTTCTTCAAAAATTCAATTCCTATGTTACTTTAAGCAGAGGTTTAGAACAAGGTGCCATGGCTAGCTCGGAGGACAGGACGTTTTGACCATCACTATCTACTCCCAGAGTCACTTTGGGCTGGGTGTTCCCTCAGGTTGGGATGATGCATTGCAGGATTCAATATTTGTAAATAATAAGGAAACTTTCCCAAGGTTTCGCCCTGCTGGGAATCGAACCCAGGTCTCTCACTTGTGAGGTGAGTGCTCTAACCACTGAGCTACAGGACTGTTAGCAATACATTTTGACAAAACTAAAGCAAACTAACTGATTGACAATTAGAGAATAAGGAACATGGAAAAAATACTAATACAATAGGGTCAGCTTGGCTTAGATGGTAGCACTCTTGCCTCCGAGTCAGAAGATTGTGGGTTAAAGCCCCACATCAGGTGTTGGAACTGGGTTGACAAATCCAATGCAGTCTTGGAAGTATGCTGTATTGTTGGAGGTGCCAACCTTTGGATGAGATGTTAAATTAAAGTCCTCTCTGCTCATTCAGATGAACGATTAAAAATCCCATAGCATGGGATTTCTCTTTTGATGTTTCTCACCCTCCAAAGTTTTTTGGTAATTTACTTCATGGCTGTTTATGGGACGTTGTTGCCACATTTGCAACAAGTACATATTCACTACACTTTACAATAGATCCTGTGAAGCACTTTTAAGCCTTCATCCTGACGTGAAAGGCTCTATGTCAAACACTAAGATTATTATAATATGTACATTAAGAAAATAGTGCAATTTAAAAATTAACATGTGCATTACTGAAAAGCTAGCTGTAGTTACACACCTGCTCCATGGATTTGCTGTAGACATCTTTTGCTCCTGCAACAGCAGCAAGATTGTTGGCTTCAGCTGTTGCCTAAAAAAACGAGGATGATTTGTTCAAGTATCTTTATTATCAATGTTTTCAAATCTATAGAGTACAGTGAATGACCCAAATAAACAAGTTCAGAAAACCTTGGGGAGTCTCAGGGATTTGAAAAAGGGCCATGTGAAATCCACATAATTTGCTGAAGCATTCTCATATGAATACTTGCCTAGGGAATTGAGGGTAAATGAAGATGATAAAGTAACTATATTGACTGCATTCATGCACCATCAGATCAGTCAATTGCTTGCTACATCAGCACTCTCCCAAGTTGATGCTTTCTAAAAGAGTAGGTAGGGTAAATACTAAACAGTTTATCACTAATTAATGTCAACTTACGCAGAAGGAAATTTAAATAGGTTAGAGATCATTAATTGCAGACCTTATTATTGGTCCTGACAATCAGTTTTCTTTTCTAACATTCTTTGCATACACCCAAATATACTTTTCCACTTTTTCTCTCGATCCCAGTGATGTTCTACGTTTGCCTGTCAGACATAATAGCCTCCAACTAAGACACACAAGACAGAAGCCATCCTTATTGGTTCCCACCAACATCTCCTATCTTCCAGCTCTGACCTCCTTAGCCTCCCTGGCCTCTCTCAAACTCACTGAATTGGTGCACAACCATTGGCCTAGTTCAGTCCCTAGCTTTTCTTTCTCCCTCCCCTTTCTTCAACTCCCTCACATCACCCCACTTCTTCCATCATTTCACACCCATTGCTACTGAAACACTCATTCATGCCTTTATCACATCCCGCTTAGATCTTTACAACTCACTCTTCGCTGGTCTCCCAAGCTCCACCATTCACAAACTGAAACTCATCCAAAACTTTGCTGCCTGCATCCTCAACCAAAACAAACTAGGCACACCGATCAGCGCAATCTTGATATTTCAAAAATGTATTGAATCAGTACCTGTAGCATGGATTTCGGATGAGGTAGTTCCTCTCCTTGGTAAATTTTGATGTAAGCCTGAGTGAAAGAAAGCAACAGAAGAAGTTATTGTAGAGGATTTTTAATATTAAACTTCTAATGCTCCTCCAAAGATGCACCATGAAAATGAATCATGCAGCTTGCCTGAAAGTAGTTTTCTAACACTGAATTAAACCCAGGAGTATACCATCATTCCATGTCCTGGATTCACAGACCTATTGTAAGATACTTACATTTGAGTTCACACCAAGTGGAGGGGGGGAGGGAACTGTGGAATTAGAGGAGGCAGTAAAGATCCAATAAAAAGAGCTTGATAGGATGTGCACATGGGCCAATAACTGGCAAATTAGGATTAAGACATAAGATAAATGTAAGTTACTACATATAGGATCCAAGAATAGGAAACACAAGTACTCCATGAATGGGATTGACAGGATTGAACTTGCCAAGGGGGAAGCTGAAAGATGTAGGAGTATCGCTCATTGCTCACTATGTCAAAATAATGTGAGGCAGCAATAAACAAGACAAACAGGATGCTTGTCTATATTTGATAAATCAGATGAGTTTAGAGCCAGATAACATTCTCAGGCTGTAAAGTGCTCTAGTCTGACCACACCATGATTACAGAATCCAGTTGAATGTTGCACAGTTCTGGTCACAGTGACATAAGGGGGCTGTCCAGGCTCTAAAGGTGGTGCAGAGGAGAGCAACACATGATCCCCAGTGTTAAGAGGAATGAGCTACGAGCAACGACTTGACAAGTTAGTGCTCTTCAGTCTTAAGACTCAGAGGGGATCTCAGAGATGTACAACATTTTAAATGGAATTGAAAAAGTAAACCCAAATCAATACTTTCAAGATGCATCATGACAGTAGAATAAGAGGACATAGGTTTAGAGTTGTAAAGGGCAATTTCAGGATAGATACAGGGAAGTTTTTCTTTACTCAGAGGGTAATCAACAACTAGAACAGGTTGCCAGTAAATGTGGTAGAAGCCAGGACACGAGACTGTGCCTTCAGCCACCCTCCTACCTCTCTGCCCTCCCTCATCCCAACCCTGCTGCCCCACACTCTGGTTCTGATCCCCGACTGTTCAGCACCTTGGTAAGTCCTCCAGAAGTGAATTGCACTTTACAAATGTTATATTGTTGTAGACTCGTTTAAGCAGCTTGATGCAATGATGGGGGAGGACAGTGGAATAGTTGTTCTGGAGTGATGAGATCAGATGAGCCAAAGGGCCTTCTTCATCTAAGCCAATCTTGTGATCTAAACTACAAGATTGTATAAGATCTGAACTATTCAAATTTCACGCATTATTTGTTTATTACGCTCACTTCTAAATCCACTAACTGAATCATTTTGGTTGAAAAGAACAAGATGAATTTAAAAAATATATATATAGAGAGACACACATACACACAAATACACATGCATCATCAAACTGAATAGCATACATAGCTTACTGAGCATCCTTTTCCTACCTTGAAATATTCAACAAGATCTCGGCAAGTCACTTTGGATCCTCCTATTTCCTTCTCTACCAAGTATTCAGGAGACAGCAGAAATGGCACAACATTGCTGAGCTCCTTTTTGAAGTCACCATCAATATCTGTTGGAATAGAATGCATAATTTTAACACCTTACAAAGGAATGCAAGACAGACTGACTGGCCATCCTCACTGAAGACAACTAGAACTATTACTTCATCTTAGTTGCTAAATTAAGTCACAAGACTATTGTTCTGCGTAAGCAACCAAAGTTTGACTTAATGCAATATTCATTTGCCCTTGAAGTAGAAGCAAGGAATGGATAGTCCCTTGCAAATGATCTCCATACCCCACCTTTTCATTGTAACTGAGCTACATTGCAAGTGGACCAGTCATGGTACCATGGCCATATTTTTTTTTTGGTGGGGGGCTGGCGGGGGGGGGGGGCACGGTGGAAAGAGAAAAGAAAGAAATCCTTTTACAGTGGAGCCCAATTCTGTTCACATTCACGTTAACTTCCATCAAGGTTCAATGGATATTGATCAGGAATTCTGGTCAACCTTTGCCCTGTTACTCTGGCAAACTAAAATCACTTACTGTGGCCCAGCTGAGATATTTATGGAACTTCTTGGTTTGTATACATCAATTACTCAAATTTATACAGTGGGCTGTTGCAGCATTGATGTCTTATGCAAACTTGGAACCAAACAATGTGCACATTATGGATGAGCGAAAAGACAGGTGATTATTATAGAAGTTAAAGATTGAAGGTTGGATCACAAGGCCCAGGAGAGCTACAGCAATAAACTTTACTCGGTAAGGTAAATTCTATGGGCGATTCTAATAATAAAAATTATTTTTATCACGTCGAAAGGATGTCTCAAAGTTCTTTATGGGATTTACGGTGAAATGGAGTAACTATTTTGTAGGCAAACCCGGCATCGGAATTGCACACAGCAATGTCCCACAAACAGCCATGAAATGAATGACCAATTATTTTTGAGAGGACTGTTGGCCAGGACACCAGGTGAAATCCCTTCTCTTTTCGAATAATGCCATTGGATCTTTAATGTCCACCTGAAATGCAGACGGGCCCTCAGTTTAACAGCTCATTTGAGGGATGGCACCTCGACAATGTAACATACCCCCAGCAGTGCACTGGAGTGTCAACTTAAACTGTGAGTTCAAGCCCCTTCGGACTCGGAGGTGAGAGCCTGAGCTAAACTGACACACTAACTAATGTAAATAAAGGAAGATATTGTAAGATTCATAATCACCTTCATGCACTCACAAAACAAGGTTAACCAGATCCCAAATCTGGCCTCAGTGCAATTAAAGCATAGTGGATCACTTATAATTGTCACCGGTCATCAAGACGTGATAAGGCGCTATATCAAATTATAATAATAATAATCCTTGAATTTGATATAGTGCTTCTCATGTCATCTAGACGTCTCAAAGTGCTTCACAGAATATACTTTAAAGTGAACTGACTGTATATTTGTGGGTGAAATGTGGCAGCCCATTATGCACAGCAGTGTCCCACAAACAGTCGTGGATTGAGTGACCAAATCATTATTGCTTTTTTCTTGAGGGATAATTATCAGGCATGTGGAGTAAGGAAACTTGCCCAAGGTTTCACCCTGCTGGGAATCAAACCCAGGTCTCTCGTTTGCAAGTAAAGTGCTCTAACCACTGAGCTACAGGACTCACGGCTGTTGGTGGGACATTGTTGTGCGCAGATTGGTGGCTGCTGCTTTGCCTACAAAATACAGTCACTACTCTTCAGTGTATTTTTCTATGAAGCATTTTGAGATGTCCTCTCAATTTAAAAATGACACCTACATACAAATTAATATGGTCTTTTCTGATTTCGCAAACCCTGCCTTCCTATTGTTACTGTTCTTATTGTTTGAGAAGTCTTGAAGATGCGATGAGGCGCTACATCAAATGCTACTATTATTATTGTTACTATACTTTATAGGTATATTTTATTATCTTACACCTTAATGAAGAGGATCACTTTACGGACATTATCAAGGAAAATTTTGAAGTACCTTTTAATCTTCCATCAAAATTAGGATTGATGGCAACTTTCAGACCTGGATGTGGCATCAGGAAGCAGGTGATCTTATTGAAACAGGAGTGTACATGTTTCCTAACATTCTGCAACTCTTCATGTTGGTTTTGTTTTATCTAAGGGGATGGAAAAAATCTAGTCAAGAGGAAATACTTGATTAAAACTATTTCAAGCATTCTACTCGTACAAGGACAAGGATGACCTGTGGTATAGTGCATTCCCAGAATAATACAGTCCACTGCAACGGTACTTGAGTAGTCCTCAAGCCTCAAGTTTATTTACTGAGTCAGAGACCAAGAGGAAAGTTTACCAAAAGGAAAAGCCTTTTTACCTTAGAAGAAAAAAAAGTAATTGGAAGGGTAAAATTTCAATTCAGCTAACCCATGCACTAACGAGCAGTTGGGTCAAATGAAATAGGAAAGGCTATATCTCAGTTAGTCCAGAGTTTGAGCAGCAGGAATCGGTAGAGACAATAGAGGTTTCTGCTATACAAGAGTCCGATTGACCCAAGAATAGGAAATGAAAGCATGTTCGTTAGCCACATGAAATAGCTGATCATTCTTTTGCAAGATCAGTTATAGATCTTACAAAAGAATGATCAGCAAGACATTTTATATTAAATGCCACTGCCTTCCTACTCTAAAATTAACAACAAACCTACCCATCTGGGGAGCGCAAAGCTTTTGGTAGTCCCTCCCCAGGGCACACTAACAAAGCTCAATTAACATCGAGTTAAACAAAACAGCATACAAAAGGTATAGTAAGCACTTACATAAATCATTTAACAAAGGTTATGCAAAGTGTAGAAATCATTTCTGATCTTCATACCTCCAATCGTTTCTCCAAGAAGCTATTTCCTCCTTGCAATCCATACGGATGTTCATATGGATAACTCCAATCTCTTATTAAAAACATCAGAGTCTACATAAAAAGAATATGAAAAGGTAACTAATTCATTATCCTTCAAATTCGTCAGAACAAATAGGAATCACATACATGACATTTAAATATCATACTAAAAAACATCACAATTACAATTTTTTTGTGTACAAGGGTAAATCAAACCACAAGTCTTTCCAGCCTTCTGTTATTGTAATTTACCCCCAGAATCACTTTCTAGCAGTTGAGGCTTAAATTCCATTTGCAGTAAGGGTACATACTGACCAAAACATTATCCTTAGGGCAGAGCCCAACAAAAATACTGGTCCAGCTAGTGTAGGGATAAATACTGACTTCTAATCAAACAAATGTAGTCAAGAACAGAATGATGATGGAAGTCGCATGATGGTTTAGATACGATGGGATATTGAACAATGCATGTGCACAACTCACACAACTATTTACAACAACAGCATTATATTTGTGTAGCGCCTTTCATGTCGGACATGAGCTGAGAGTGGGGGTGAGGGAGGGCAGTGGGGAAGCCTTTCACATCGGGAGGCGGTCTCAAAAAAGTGCTTTACATCGCTGCAGGGTGGAGGAGGGGGCAAGGCAGAGGGACTCTTTTGAGATAGAATTCCAGAAAGCAGGGGCAAAATGCCTGAAAACTCACCCACCGATGGTTGGGCAAATTAGACAGGTGACAAAATAATCCTTGGAGAGAGCCTTGCACATCAGGACATCTCAAAGAGCTTCACAGGATATATTGTAAGTGGAGTAACTGTGTACAGTCCAGTGTTCAGTATTGCAGTTGTGTTGAAGGGGGTCTCAGAGGTTTAAGCTGAGCAGTATAGGGATCTGAACATGATTTTGAATTACGTCCGTTGTTGCATGGGGAGCGAGTGAAGGGAAGATGGGGGACATTGTCTCCTAGGAGACCTCCCCTGACATGAAATGCGTTATACAAATGTAATTTGTTGTTGATGCATCAGAGGATATGAGCTGCAAAATTCTGGATGGTCCGTAACTTGCGTAGGGAGGAGTTAAGGAGTCCAGAGAGCTGGGCGTTAGAATAAGGATGTTTGGACATAAAGGCATGAAATAAGGGAGTCTCTAGTCTTAGCAACTAGTCACAATATCATCAGAATTCAGAATAGAATTGTACCTGGAAGGGTTTTTGGTAAACTTCCTCCATTGCCAGGCGTCCATATTCCGTGAACAGCTGCAAGTGCATAAAAAGGTTACAAGAAACCTAACTTACATTCCAAAGAATTTCACAGGATATATGCAAAGTGGAGTGAGTGTTTGATAAATTTAGATTGTGCATCATAGTTAACTGCGTAAACCACTTCCCTTACACTATCAATTCCAAAAATCTGGCTAAACTAAACAATCGCTTATTAAATCCACCACCACAACCTCCTGCTTCCCTTGAACAGCTATTGTCATTCCCAAACTTCATTAATTGCGATCTCTTCCATTTCAACCTCATATGCCAGGGGAAATCCTCCACATACACAGAACAATGATTCCTGTCTCGATCATACTGAAGGTCCCTCAATAAATAGATATTATCAGTCAAAAAAACTGAAATCAGCAGCCCTCATGAGTTTGAAACAAATACCAGTGATAATAGTGGATGCTTAATACCCAGGATACCTGCAAATGTTGCAAATCATCTTCCTGAATGTTCTGAGACAAATTGTATACCTAAACAAAAACAAACATCATTCATTCAGCTACTTTGAATTGCACCAATAAATTGACAAGCAGATTATAAAACATGAATGAATATTTTAACTCGTCAAATGTCCCTTCCTTGCACAATTCAAGCATGTCAGATACTGGATTACTGAATGACATTGTTAACTTTGCCATTAAAGGACAAAATGCAGATCTCTCTACATTAATACACGTGAAACATACTGGTGACAGAAGAGCTTTCAAATCAAGTTTGGGATTTTTTGTCTACCTGAACAGAACTGGTCATCGTGCTGAGAGCAAACACTGTAGCGCAATCCCTTATGGTCGATTGACTGTCAAACGCCCCCTGAGTGTCCATTAAAAGCACCGCAACCTGAAAGAAAATTAGTTATAAAACTCCCGTCAAATCTGAATTATAAAACCCATGGGGAAGGAATAGCAAGATTATATAACTTAAAAGGAGCAATGAGAACCATAGCAATTACTGGAGTAGAACTTCATAGCATTTTATGGCAACTTTATATCAAGAGAACCAGGTTCAATTGGTCTACTTTTATAATTCAGATCATTCTGATTTTAAGTCCTAAAAATTTTAAATCCCGCAGCTCATTCCCAATTGAAATTACAACAACTTGCATTTATATAGCACCCCTCACACAGGGTAGCATCCCAGAGCGCTCTGAACTACAAGTACAGTGAATCTAGTTCTCAGCTGCTACTAGTTTGGTGTGGAGCTTTCCTAATTTCTGGCAAATGGCTGTACAGGTCTCAATGTCAAAACCATATTGCTGACCTAAATGGGCATGCCATTAGCTCAATTTATTTAGGGATGTTACCACCCTCTTACTCAGATTCTGGGGCCTTCAGGAGGCAGTATAAAAATCACCTCAAATGTAATGCAACTGCTTCTGGAGACAGTGTTACTGACCTATCAAAACTGCCATTGGTAGCACCAACACTAAAACATAAAACAATTATAAAAAAAGTCGCACCATTCTAAATTCTGGACCCGATTCCCTCTTTCCAATTCCTCAAATTTCTGCTAGAATTTGTTGAAGGAGATTATTTCAGACATTTATTTAAACAAAAAGCATTTTTTTTATTCTGGCAAACCAGGTTTGATGAGCAGCCAGATGGAGGAACTAGCAAACCTCATCTAAAAACACGAAACAGCAGAATCAAAGTGAAGATGAGCTAACCATGTTCGTCCAAACACTTCCTCCCTACCCCACAGTTCAAAACAAACCTATCATTTAAAACTAAACTTGCATAGCAAACCAGATTTACAAATTGAAATAGATGTGCACAAGTTTAGATAATCAGTTGTGGTAGCAGCCACAAAGATAGGATAATCAGTTGTGGTATTAACCTTTGTGCAATAGATTGCAGAAGAAACATTTTAGAAGTATTCACTGCTGAATATACCTGACTTCCATCCGGTTTCTTAATTACAAACACCTCACTCCAGATTTGTATACCAGTCGTTTCTCGTTCACATCCTCCTCGCCATGTGAATCCAGTTAATGGATCATCATCTCCACCCAGCCAAGTACCAGAATTCTGCAAAAGAAAAGTTAACACTTTACAGCCCAAAATGATAGCAAAGCAATGTTTCACATCAGCAGAATCAACAAAAATAGTTATGTAATAGTTTTACCCTAACACAGGGTGTTCCAACCTTTCGGCCACTGAGGACTAGATGCCAGATTTCAAAACATTTGCATAAGCAAATGTATGCACTTCCCATCCAGAAGCAAAATCATATAGAAATATAAATTGTTTAACTATATTACTTAATTTCACTATATTTCAGATACAATGCAAACTTGAAATAGACAATGTAAAAATTTATACACATTTTAAAGCCACACTTTTATTAATAAAGTACATATAGGCAAGAATAATCATTAAAATAAAGAGTAAACAATGAAAGTTAATTAAAATGCACATAATTTAACAGTCCTAACAAGGAGCAAAGTAATGATGTTGGAAATATTCATCAAGTTAATTTTTATGTATTAAAATCAAAACAAGATATCAACTCAGGATATAGAGGCCCTACAGAGAATGTTCGATCAAAATCAAAACAGATTAATCTATAATTGTCAGAAAACGGATACAATAATGATACACTGAATACAGTATATAATTACAAATATCAAGAAAACAGGTTTAGAGTGATTGCATGAAAATTTGAGACAATCAAATACTTCTATTTAATATACAATTATATTTTGTGTATTAATATACTTAATATAGAGTCCTGTAGTTCAGTGGTTAGAGCACTCGCCTCGCAAGCGAGAGACCTGGGTTTGATTCCCGGCAGGGCGAAATATTGGGTAGGTTTCCTTACTCCACACGCCTCTGTTTACCTAGCAGTAAGTAAGAACCCAGTTGTTAGTCGACTGGCAGATCGCTTTTCCGGGGATAATAATCCTTCAAAAAAAAATAATAATTTGGTCACTCAATCCATGACTGTTTGTGGCACACTGCTGTGCGCAATTGACTGTCGCGAGTTGCCCACGAAATATAGTCAATTCACTTTACAATATATTCTGTGAAGCGCTGAGACATCTCGAAGACGTGATAAAGCGCTATATCAAATGAAAGGATTATTATTAATATTTCCTCGACACTTAAGCTTAGTTTATTTAACATTGGACCTCTGCGACTGAAATATCAGACTTTTGGGTGCGTGAATGAGAGAAAAATTAGTGAGACACACACAAAGACTACACTCTGGGCTCAGCATCACTAAGCAAAAACTGAGAGGTCTGCTTATTGCTGGCAGTCAGTGATTCTCTGCACCCGCCCAGCCCTGTGCAGTACACTCAGACGTCACTCTTTTCCTGCCACCCCCCAACGTAGTGCAGTCAGCTCAGTTGGTAGCACTGCTGCCTCAGAGTCAGAAGGCTGTGGGTGCGAGCCCCACATCAGATCTTTGAACTCAGTTTAAGATGACACTCCAATATAGTACTGGGAGTGCACTGCATTGTTGAAAGTGCCATGCTTTGGATGAGACATTAAATCTCGATCCCATTTGCCTGTGCAGGTGGACACTAAACATACCATGGCACGAATCAAGAAGAGAAGTTTCTTCTGGTGTCCTGATCAATTGTTCCTTAAATATAATTGAGCATTCACTTCATGGCTTCAAGCTTTAGTTCTTGTATAATAAACCTGGATGTTGACCAACGGTTGAACATTCTTGTACTAAACCTGACACCCACTTTAATCCCAAAGCAAAAATCATTGTTATGTATTCTATCAAGGACTCCTTTGATAAAGGATTAAAAAAAAACTTGGGTTCCAAATAAATGTATTTCTGAAGTGAAAGACGTCAGATGTACAGATGAGACTTTGTGTACTTTCCATTAGTAATGCATTACACAGTGCTCAAATTATAGCATTTTCAGGAAGCTGGTGTACTGTACCAATTTTATTTGGTTAATAATTTCCTAGCATCTGAAAGCCTATTTTGTAGAAAAAAGGATGTCTTTGGAATGTGCGACTATGAACACACAAGTTACAGAATACAACTACGCTTCTGCAATTTTATCTAATTTTTAGTTTTGGCCAAATCACAAACCGAGTGAAACTAGTAGCTTCCCAAAGACAAGAGGGCTTTATCAACCCACTCACGCACTTTTGGCAGGCTTATTCCAAAAGTTACATAGGCCTTTATATTCCACCCTCATTCTATAGGTACTGAAAAACAGTGTTTGATGAAGCTGTAGATTAAGTCTCAATTTAAATCTTGCCTTAAAAACTATTCTCCCACCACTACATAAGCAATGCTATTCCTTCCTTCCACAATCCATACAAGGGAATTAAAGAATGGAGTGCAGTGGTTAGGATTTAGATGATTTGTGGATACCATTAAAAAGATTGAGGTTGGATAGTACAATCATAAAATGTTACTTAATGCAACTCACAAACTCCCCTTCTTAACTGACTTTTACAATACAGTCAAGTTTTCCCTCTCACAAAAATATTACACAATGCAAGGCATTGTTGTGTCAGCCTGACTCAGTTGGTAGCACTTTCTCCTCTGAAAAGGTTGAGAGTTCAAGCCCCACACCAGAATTTTGAACTCACATAGTCCAACTCTAGGCCGATAGTTCAGTGCAGCGCTGTGGGTGTTGGAGGTGCTGTCCTTCAGATGTTAAACCAAGATACTGTCTACCTGTTCACATGGATGTTAAAAGATCTCATGGCTCAATTTGAAAAAGAGAAAGGAGTCTCCGCCCAGTGTCCCTACCAACAACCCCAAATAAAATTGGTCATTGCACTGCACAAAAAACAAAGTAACTCTTGATATTTCACAAATAATCTGCTTCTTTTGATGTACAGTTGCTGAAAATAATCAACAAATCAACCATTTACTCACACCTGTTACTCAAATGAAATTTAGTGAAGTCATAAATAGGGCTTAAAGTCAATAGCGCTTAAGTGTAGAACTCCTGCAAAGCTCAACAGCTGTGTCATGAGCTTTTGAAGCAGGTTTTCGCGCAGGCAGTTGATCTGTCTGTTACCATCTGATGCAAGCTGCTACACAGTTTTGTAGTATAACAACTTGACAAAAGAAATCTTGTTTTATAAAAGTTCAAAGAGTAAAGTGGGAAATTGTGCAGTGGTAAATAGAATGCAACATATGTATCTCTGAAGTGTAAACCAAAACCCACATGGCTGTAAGCAAATATTGTTTATTTCATCACTCCTCATTTCCTGCATTCTAATAAATTCATTATAAGCTTCAAAGTTATGTAGTTATACTTGCTCAAACTGGACAAAGTAGGACAAATTTATTCCCCAAGCTACAGTGCCTTGAAAACACAATTAAAAAAATTATACGTAATTTTAGAGGTGGAAGAATGATTCTGATGAGGAAAATCTTTTACCAGGAGCAATGGTCAGGGTCAAACAAAGGGCTTTTTCGATGTGAAAAACAAATGGCTATTGAAACAGAATCAATTAAGTCATTTAAATAGGAAATATCCAATCTGACGATATTGTAGCAGTAAACAGATATGGGAAATAGCAAGTTAGTAGAATTGAATCTTAAAATTCCAATAAGGAGCCAGGATGGCACAGGAAATAACTATGAAGGTGACCAAAAAAAAGGACAAGCAAACAAAATTTAAAAAACTGTTTGGTAATAAGAAACACAGTATGTTCAATGAAAAAGTGTCTAGAGACCAGTGACTTGATTTCTAAAAAGAGCCATTGTGGGTCCCCTATGATTCACATTATTCAAAGGGAAAGAAGCTTTCAAAAGCAAAATGTATTGAGGAAATCTATCTTCAAGAACTGGACTAATTAAGTAGATGAGTTACAGAGTAGCAGGTGGATTGCATTATTCAAGGTGGGAAAGGATTTGATGTAATATTGGTCAAAACTCCCAATCAATGTTGAAAATTGTTACTAATCAAATACTACATTATCTATACAAAACACAAAATACTGCAGATGCTGGAAATCTGAAACAAAGAGAGCAAGAGAGAAGTTCTGACGAAGGGTCGTGGACCTGAAACATTGACTCACTTTCCTTTCTCCATAGGTGCTGCCCGACCTGCTGAATTTTCCCAGCCCTCTGTTTTTGTGTACTAGATTATCTATAGATTGACTACAATTTGGAGTAATTCTAAACCATGCTCATTTGTAAGATTTTATCCAATTTTAGGCAGTCAACCTTCAAAACAGACTGTTGTTGTCAAATAACAATTAATTCCTTCAAAGGAAGTGGACCGGTTTATCTATTTTGAGCAGCACTGGAGGAATCAAATATTTTACAAGTTTATGAGCTTCATAAAAGTTCTGTTACAGATTTCCTTGGTATCCAAGAATTTAATCAAGGAAATTACTACACTTTCCCTGAATTTTGTTTATAGGGCAATAGGGGGCAAATAGTCCACATTAGCTTTTTGAATAGTCTACCAAAGCCTTTCTAATTTCTACCTTCAATTTCACTCAGTATAAAGCAAGACAGATTAGATTAATACTAGCAGGCCCAGTACAACTAGCTTCATACACTACTTACAATAGGAATTTTGCAGGTACCAGGGAGATGGACAGATTCAATTTCACCACAAAAATCACACATCTTGACATGGTAAAAGTTAAAGCTTGGCATTAGGGCTCAATTCATCGGATTAACTTTCTTAGAGAAATGTAATGCTTGGGAATCTGATGTTAGGATTTACTTGAACCTAACAGCTGGGCACACAAGTAAAATATTATCCATCAACTGCTGTAGCTTTTACATGTAGTACATAGTTGATTGATTTCTTACACAAACTATTAAACAACGAACAAGCTAAGCTCTCTTAAAGCCATGAAGGTACGTACACCTGTTATATATATATATATATACACACATTTTTAGAGTTGTAGTGATAACTGTCTTCACAAAGGGATAGAACAGATGTACAGTACATTTGTATTAATCCGAACACTCTGGAAGACAGTTTCCTAATGGAAACCAATGTCTTTAATCACTTATATTGATAACCCTTTTAACCAAGAAAACAAGCAAATAAACTGCTTTAAGATTAAAGACAGCAGAACATGGGATCATAATTTCAGAGTTGTGAAAAGCTTTTCTACAGGAGCATAATCAACAGCTGAAAATGCTCATCAGGAAGGGTGGCTGTGGTCAAGACACTGGATTTAAGAAAACTTCATGCTGCAACACAAAGAAAGGAGGATTGACTTTCTGGAAGGACAAGATTAACAGTGCCAACACACAGCAATTTAATTTATCTTCAAAACTAGTAACCAAGAATAGTGATATTCAATCTTGTATTACAGTAAACGCTCTGGATATCCAGAATTCATACCTAGCCAGACCGGGGCTGAAACAGACAAACTCATTCTCCTAGCCACACCTGCCTCATCATGCTTGCTGGCCTTCAATAGCCAGGATGATCCACTTTGACCATCTTCTGCTTGTGGGATTCAAACAATTACAATGCCGGGACTGGCATTTTTCGGCACTCAAGCCGGGGTTTTAGTGCATTTGCTTGTTCTGTGCATGACAGTACTCCTTGCCCACCTTGTCGGTTAGCAACACTAACAATCAACATTGGGTTGCAAAAAAATTATAATCAACCCATTATCTTGGGTCTGCACCAGGCAGGCCAATGGAACAAATTCCAAGATCCTTGAAAAATTGCCAACAATTCCATCAACAGAAAGCATAATAAAACATAAATGCGCCGTTTCTGGATCACTCGCATGCAATGAGCAAGAGAAAAAAGAAAACTTGACATCAACGATTTTTTCGTGGGCTGTCAAAAAGAAATGTGATGTGGACCAAGAATGTCTACCAGCTGTGGGTGTTGCTGTACTTTTTAAATAATGCTGGCTATTGCATCCCTGTGTATTACAGTGTATTATTGTTGCAGTAAACCCTGCAAGATTTGAGACTAAGATTCAACCCAGTCATGTCCTTCATTGGAGCCCAATTACCCAATTACACACTAAATAGTCTTAAACTATCACAACTTTTACTCTTCTTCATTATTCTGGCTACAATGCTGAGTTTGAGCTGGCAGAAATGGGAAGTCATTGGAACTCAGTAAATGTAGTTTTAAGTACAAGGCTGTACTGTACAGTTTTCAAGTGACTATTTCTATTAGAAAAGAACAATTCTGCATGGTACAGCAATTAACTATCCTAAATACGGTACACCCAAACCATTGCTACAAAAACAACCGCTATTATGGGGAAAAAAAACTATATTTGGTGTTTCAGCACATTTTCTTCCAGTAAACTCTGGAAAACAACCCAAAGCCCAAAAGTGCAGATCACAGCTCATTGTGTGCCAATTCTGTTTCACCTCTGATGAAGTAGAGATAATGAAAGAAAACTATTTCAAATACTGTTTTTTCTTGTTATTTCAGGCTATTCTTAGCATTTCCTCTCAAGGTCTCATGTTTAGTAAAATTATGAAGTAAATTTCCTGCAAAATTAAAATAAAACCTTGGCTGGATAGCTTAAATTCAAAAAGAATACAGGTTAAAAAAACAAGGAAAACCACCAGGTTTAACGCTTTACGGCAGGAACTTGTATGAAAAATGTCAAATGTGAGTTTAAAAATACTCAATTCTGAATTAGTGAAGAACATATGAAACTCCCAAAATGAAGTAAATGACAATCCTTAGCTTTGAATCCACAAACTGTCTGAAAGAGAAGCAGGCTGCTGTGGTAGAATTTAAATTCACACACAAATGTGTTGAAATGCAAACAGAAAGCATGAGCAATAATTTGTGTGCCTTTCACATCTGGAGGATGTTGCAATACCGTAAAGCACTTTACACAATTTACTGTAAAGTTTATTGATCTATTTGGTAGACAAACAGCAGTAAATTTGCACACACAAACCGCCATCAAGTGAATGACCAATTTTATCTGAGGGTTTATTCACCAGGATACCGGGAGAAATTCTATCGTACCATGGGATCTGAAAGACAGCATCTCCAACACTGCAGAGTACTCCCACCAATGCACTGGAGTGTCAGCCGAGACTAAGTGTGCGCCCATAATATGTGATTTTGAAAATGCCTTCCAAGTACAATTCAGGATCAGGATTAATCAAGAGATTGAAAAATTGGTATCAGCTAATGGTTATTTTCTCTGTTAACAAATGTTCTAGATGCAGCTATGGAATTTATAACCATATCTTTATCACCCAAATTTGTAATTTAAACCACCTTAACGTTAAGATTAGTATAAGTGATATTTTGTTCAATTATGAGAAGCATTATATAAAGCATTAACATTGTTGCTTACCTGATTGTACATGTATCTCAGCATGAAGTCCAAGAGAAATGATTTGCCTTTACGAAATGCTCCAGCCACAGAAACAACCACAACATTCAAGTCCCGAATGTGTTCTTGCAATAGAATCCGCTCAAGGGCCTCTTCATCCAGATCAAAATGATGGTCATCTTCATGAGCCAACACTACTTGCACTGGCCTAGCTTCTTTCATAGGTACGTCGTCTGAATTCATTTGAACATCCTGGATACCAAAGTCACCTGTTTTTAAATTAAACCAAAAATTAGGTTTTTGTTTAAAAAAACACTAACTTCTAGGCCAATTTCTAGATTTATCACTAACACCACATCAGCGAATATTGCAATCTTACCAGTGCACATCTATCTCAAAATCTTCTTGGAAGACCCTGAAACGTTTCCACTGAAGATGCTTTGCTAGTGGATTAAAATTAAAGGCCCGTTCAATTTGTAGGTAGGTAGGTAATCACAAATGTAAAACACTTTATTGTGGTACCATAAATATTGTGCAACAACCTTCTAAATTTTCCATATGTTCTAGTTGCTCTTTAAGCTCTGGTTCCAAACAAAACTCAGGAAGGAGTGAAGCATAAATGTGCTTCACAATGCATATAAATCCATAGACCAATGAACAGTGGTTCCAAATGACATGGCAACCAAAATATTGGCCACATATGACTCCTACCTTGGTAGCTCAGAGATGTTAATTGTACATACCCATCAATTTTTTCCTCCATCAATTTTTTCCTCCTCTCCTAAAAATGCAGACTCACTGGGATACATAGCCACTATTCGCTAAAATAGATATTTTTCATGTGCAAGCTTATACAATAAATGATTGAAGACTGTTTATGAGTGGAAATCATTTATTTAAAGCCGTGGCAATTTATTCGAGAAAAAACATTTTGTTCAGCCAAGAATGATGCCACCCTCACGTGATGTCAATGACTTCTCAAATAGGGTCACTGCAAAGTAATCAGGGATAAGAACTCGATTTTTCTCTTTCCTTGATTTAAAGACAATATTAGAATCCCTAAATGCCTCTCTGACTCTGCAAGACTTGGTATTGTGCTACCCCTTTACTCATTAGACAATGTACCAAGTTTAAGACACTTAAGAAAACAAATCAAATTAAATGGACTAGATGACAGAATTAGCAAGGGGTACAGAAAATGTGAGAAACATTCACTTAAGCACCCATAGACCCACAGTTTAACATTTGTGAATTCACGTATAAAGGGAACTCGAAACACCCAGGCAGTTAAAGGATATAGGAAGAGCTGGATAGAGGTTAATTACAGATTTAGTAATACAGGCAGTAGTGGCAGATAGTCTCACACTGTGGTGTGAAAATGTGTTAACAAATATAGTAAAACATTACAATAAAGAACATGTCAAAGTATGCAGAAAATAGCAGGTGGTTAAAATCTTGTTACACAATAGCATTTTCCATGGGTGCACGAGTATATAAAGAGAAAACAGAAACTATAATCATTCATGCAAATATCAATATCTAGATGTTCACATGCTTGACCTGGTGTCAGTGATATGTGAGTTCTGCTAGTCAAAATTGATAATAGAATTGTGCACAAAAAACAAGAGCAAATGTACATCTGCAGCTTCAACTACAATTACCTGTCGAGCAGAAATTACCCATAAAGTTCTAATGTGAGTGAACATCTCAACTTTGATACTCATGCGTCCAAGATATCAGAACAAAGGTGGAAGGTAATTTGTCACAGGCAGACTCCCAAGGTCACGAGAAGCACCTGAATTAGACTTAGACTCTGTCCTTTGCTTTCCAAAAATAGAAAGGGGGCGAGAAACATTATTTCTAGGTTGATCATCATTTAATAGTGTCACAGCTCATCTTTTCAGAGTCGTGCTCGGCTTTTATTTCAGATTTCCAAGATTACAGATTATTCTCCGCTTTTGCCAATTTATCCACATTACCAGGAACCAATGGAAAGAGATACGGATCCCCACAATAAATAAACAGAACAGAAAACTAGGTTGTCCTAGTTGATAAACTGATCAAGAGATTCTATACTTAGCATAAGTTTGATTACACTCACCTATGAAAGACAAGTGTCAAACCTCACACACCATGATACCATGAACATCTAGTTTTTTAAGTCTTTTTTAAAACTACTTTTGATCATTAAAATGTATTATGGACAATTATAGCACAAAACGTTTAAGACAAGTTGTGTCATTGACACAGCACAATAGATGTTACCCTTTCAGGACTATTATTTTCTGTTAAGTATGCATGTTTTTAAGCTACGCCCACAAATAAACAGAATTCTCCACTTAAAAAGCTATTAACAGATTAGCATTTCACAATCTCTTACCACCTGCATCAATTAGTTCTTGAGAATTGTCTGCTTTAAATGTTGATACCAATGCTAACAGTCCTGCGTTTCTTAAGAAAGGACTTCTGGATCAGAATACCATAAAATAAAAGTTAAGAGTAAAACTCACTTTACCCTTACCATACCTAGAATGGAACCTTCTATTTTCATTACAATTCTCCTACAAGCCTCATGGTATCATTTCTTTGCGAAACTGAATACATATTAAATAATAGGCAGTTGGATGCTTTGGACTAATGCTAATAACAAGGGTAACACAAATCTAATTTAAAAAGAGACATAGGGATCAGAATTGCGGAGTATATGGTCTTAAACCCGAGCCTCAGCTCTTTTTCAGACTAATTCATAAAATTAAATAATCCTTACATTTAATACAGTGCTTTACCATGTTGACGAGATGTCGCAAATCAGCTCACAGGATTTTATTGTGAAGGGTAGCGATTGTGTACTTATAGGTGAAAATAGAACATTTCTGGGAAAGGACCATTTAGCCCAACTATTCTATGCTGGTGTTTGAACTTCACATGAGACCCCACCCTCCTAATCTCCCAGCCCCCCTCCTTGTTCCCTTCACCCCCACGTATCATGTTTCTCTTAAATACTTTGATGCTTTTTGCTTCAACCACAGATTCTGGCTGACAGCTCCACATTCTTATAAAGAAATTCCTCCCAAACTCCCTTTAAGATCGGATACCGGCTATCATTTTTATGTCCCCTGGTTTCAGAGATCATCAACAAGTTAAAACAGCTTATGAACCTCCACTTTAACTAAACCTTTCACAATTGTAAACACCTCTATCAGGTCCCCTCTCAGGTATTTTATCTCAATTGCGTTCCAATCTGTCCAATCCTTGATAGCTGTATCCACTTAACCCTGGTTATTCTAAGTATTCTACATCTACTTTTCACTCTCTCTCCAATGCTACAATATCCTTCCTATAGTATGGTGACCAGAATGGCACACAGATCTCCACTTCTTCAGATTTTCACAAATCCAAAGACTGTACAGCAACCCTTCAGATGCAGATTCTGTGGGCACTGCTCCCATGTGTTGCGGGACAGTAATTTCATCTTTAAATGAGATACAGCATTAGGTTTAATTTCGATTAACTTGCATTACCTCCACAAGGATTATTAATATTATTATTACCTCAACAACACAAAAAGCTTTTTTGAAAAAATATGTGCTTGTGTCAGAGGATTTTAGATCACTCAAGATTAGTTAATGCACTGGTGCTCTGCATGCTTTGAGTATTGAAACTAAATAAATTTCAAACAGGAACGGTTAGTACAAACTGAAATTTAAACAAAATCTTTTGAGGCTAGGTTGTTCAGTTTTCCCTCAAAGTTTCTACATTAATTACCATCCATGCTGCAACCTATATCTGGAGGTTTATCTCTCAGTCTTTCTAATTCCTCCAAGATTGCTCCCTGCGGCTCTTCCAATCCAGAGAAAACATGTTGAAAGTTTGTATCACCTGTAGCCAGAAACAAAACGTTAGCTATTTCTCCAATACAACTTTTTTTTTTAAGTGTTATTTTAGTGTTACTTTCACCTTCGATCCAAGGACACTATAAATCTAGGATGGGTAAAGAGAATGTAATCATTTGTAAGCATTTATAATAGCATTTCAATAACTAGGAGGTGGTTAATCCTCACAATCCTTGTTCTTTTAAAGAGAGATAAATAGTCTAGTTTGTATTGATCAGAAACCTTAACATATTCTACGAGCCTTAATAAGTACTGCTCCAGACTTGCTGAAATGACAAATTACACCCTGCCAACTGTCCCATAATAGTCTGGTATTTTCTTGGACAAGTTTAATTTGATTACCAGTTCCTTTTGGTTTGCTACATATACGTAAGCAAAGTAGCTTTTACAAGCAAATTCTTCAAACTATAAAGTTGTTTGATAACCTCCCGTTTGCAGTGATAATGAGCAATAAGACTGAAGGAGTTGGGTCTTGGCAGACGCAGGAAAATCTGGTAATTTTGCAGTACTGGTCATCTATAGAGAGGAGCTAAGATTTTGGGAATCAACGATGCAGTCAGTAGCAGAGCAACATGAGTCAAATTCACTTCCGCATCATATCTTCCCTAGTCCCAAATTAAAATAATTCGAACAGAACATCAATCTGAAAACAAGTAAAATTAAGTACATTTTATAAAAATGGTTCCCTTTGTTGAGAATAATATTTACACTCTAGCCAGTTATAAGTAAACTGTTTGATACTTCCTAAATTAATGGGACGTCAAACCTGGTGGCAGCCACCAAATTAAAATTATGGCCAGTTTATTCATTGTTTCCAGAACGAGTCAAATTTGGAATTTCAAGCAGAATAGCACAGTTTCTCAATTCCTTCTAATCCTTAAATTTCAAGTGGTAAATTGATAAATCTATTGAAAAAAAGAAATTCAAATGAACCATCTTCTGCAGAGTGCTGGTGATACTTGCCATACCCTAGGATTCCTTGAAAAATGTGCTTCATTTCATAATGCTGCTCTCCCACACTACTGACTATTGCCATGTTATAGCTAAGTACTCTAGAAAGGCTCACAGCAAGTATTGGTTTGAAAGTGGCAACTGAATTCTGGAGACCAACAGCAGCTCATCTATTAGAAGTCTCCACAATGGTATCCGATCTTCTCCCATTCTTTCTCCAGGCAGCAAAGTCAGACAACTGGTATTAAAACTAGAGCAATCTGATACTAGAAAACAACATTTTAAAAATTGTTAACATTCTGGAGAGATCATCCATAAAATCCAGATTATTCAAAACTCTGCCACCCGCATTCTCACCCGCACCAACCTCCGCTCCCCGATTACCCCAGTCCTTGCCACACGGCACTGGCTGCCTGTCCCAGAGAGGATCGACTTCAAGATATTCACCCTTGTATTCAAATCCCTCCACTGCTCTGCACCCCCCTACCTCTCTGACCACCTCTCTCCTCAAAATAGTGCCCATTGCCTTCTGGCCTCCTCCTTATCCCCCGAGTCCTCCACTCCACTCTCGGTAACCGTGCCTTCAGCCACTATACCCCAAGGCTCTGGAACTCCCTTCCTCACTCCCTTGGCCTTGCCCCTCTCTTCCTATTTTCAGGCCTGAAGACCTTTCTTTTCAACCGCGCCTTTGGTCACCTTCCTCCCACTCCCTCTGGCTCGGCCCCGGGATCCGTTACTGTGAAGCGCTCTGAGACACCGTCCGGCGTGGAGGGCGCTATATAAATCCAAGTTGTTGATGTTATCATACTAGATTTGCTGCAGGACAAACTTTGACACAAAACTAAGTGAACTGAACCACATTATTTCAAAATTAATTCCTTCAAAAATACTGGCAGTACAGTATTATAATTCAAGCTTTCATTAGCTTCTGTTCTAAACCAGTCGATTTACTTAAGTGGAATGCCGACAGTGGTAATTCATGTATTTAGGTTAGGACTATGAGGCACCCATCTTAAGTGATGCATTTCAATCAATTAGCTGAAAGCAAAGTGTAGAACTGCTTTACCTACCAGTCCAACAGGGAATGTGGCATTACCTGGCAACATAACATCATGTACTCCTCATAACAATTGTTTTTGACAAGTTGTGGCAAATTCAGAAATTAATAGCATTTTGAATGATTAGAAAGACCAAAGAGACAAAAAAAATCTGTAAATTAGGAATGAACAGGAATTGTAACCCGAAACTGAAAACTTCCTGAAAACAGAAGTGAAATTGGAAAATAAAAATCAGCAAAACTAAAATCAAACACAAAGGTTAAAAAACAGCTTTTGTATCAAAGTACCATTTCCACGCACAACAAGCATAACCAACAGGATGCAAAGCTCAAAGCACAAAAAACAATTATGAAATCTGATGTTTACAAATCTCAGCAGCTCCACCCTTTGAAAGAATTCCACTCCACCCCAGAGGCCAAAATCACACCTTTCTCTAAATCTTCTCTCCATTTACCCCTTGCTACAGAAGCAAATTCTTCCAAATCCTTGCTAATAACTAAATTTTTACTCTTTTTTTTAATCCTTTTTACTGTCCAATTGTTTCCTGCAGGGTAGGGTTCCCCTACATCAACATTATATTGCCAGGTTGGAAAATCCCCTCCAGAAGAACCTTCTAAACATCAGAAAGTATAAACTCTGGCAGCAGCAGCTAGTCCCATTGAAGGAAAAGCAAAATCAGCCAAACTGAAGTTAGAAATGGTAAAGTTTGATAAAGTTTGCTCAAGAAGCATGATATGTCTAAGAGGCTCAGACTGGGCTCACCACCGGGTGGGAGAGGTGATCCGGCCGAATCACTTGCTCATGGGGTTACAATGCAAGGATATTTCAGTACTTTGGGAATTCTTCCTGACATGAAAGGCATGGTAGAAATATAAATTCAGTATTGGGTCATGAATGTCACTAAAAATTGGTTTCAGAAATCAAAGTTATGATCACCCAAGCTTTGTTCAGTTCTGTTCGAGCTGCTGCAGAATGGACATTTGCCTTTTACTGATATATTTAAAAAAGCACAAGAGTATAAAAATTCCATTATTTTTGTATGAATAACAAGTTAACTTGTGAAAATCCAATTCCCCTTCATTCAGTTACTCGGAGGAACTAAAAATCATTAACCCACATTTCAAGATCTTTCTAGAGATTTCTTATTCATTACATACTTTCCTAAACCAGGGATTTGTAGACCATTAATCTGAAGTAATTTTATTTTGAAACTAAGATAAAACAGGGTCAATATCATCCAGACATTTAACCCTAATGAGAGCTGACTCTAGAATATAGACAAAAGGCAACAACTAAAAACTCAGAAGTCACTGGGAACACTCAGCAGGTCAGGCAGCATCTATGGAGAAAGGAAATGAGTCAATGTTTCAGGTCCTCGACCCTTCACCACAACCCTTCATCAGAATCTGTTCTGACAAAGGGTTGTAGACCCGAAACGTGAACTCACTTTTCTTTCTCCATAGATGCTGCCTGACCTGCTGAGTGTTCCCAGCAACTTCTGTTTTTGTTTCAGATTTCCAGCATCTGCAGTATTTTGCGTTTTGCTAAAAACTCAGCTATTGCTAATCCTTTGATCAACTATCGCACAATAAAATAAAATTAGGGTTCAATTCAGTGTTACCATGACGTAAAACCCATGGGGGGGGGGGGGGAATCGTGTTGAACAAATAAACTAATCTATCAGTCTCTCAAAACCACCGGTAAGATACCTGCCCAGTAACTTTTAATCCCCTTCCATTTTTGAGTAGGTTGAGGCTCTTTAAACACATTCATTACATGTATCAGTAAACAGCTCATTCTGTTCTTTATTTTCTGAATAGGGCTTGTAACATCTAATCCAGTACAAACAGAAACAAAACAAATTGTGACTTTTATAAATTTTGCTAGAACTGTTCCACGATCACCATTTCAGGTTGCAAGATACGTCATACTGCACTTTGGATTTGATTACCTAAGTGACAGGAATTGAAAAAGCCAAGCTATATTACATAACATTGTTTTCCAAAACACAACGTGATATGATCTGGGGAAAGAGATAAAGTTATAACAGAAATATTATTTCTAATTTGCTGTTCCTCCTGTATATTGTATTTCTAACCGGCTGTTTGACTCTAAATATTAAGCTTTAAGATGCGTTAAAATTTTCACGTGTTTGCATATTTTAAAAAAAACACTGGATCACTTATATAAATTGGGGAAATTACACTAAATCCACCTGCAGATTTGAAAAAGCCAAGACCAGATTACCATAGTTTCAAGCACAAATATGGTACTATCTAGAAAACATGCTCATTATGAACAGAGCCTTGTGCACAACAGCATAAAATAATCTGGTAGAACCGCACAAAGTTTTAAAAATTAACAGTTCTAAGCCTCTGGCCTGCAGGAGTACAATCTTATGGCTAGGACTGAAGCATGACCTCTAAAGGGTTTTTGTTGTAATAAATATTACATTTCAACACCTATAAGCAGTTATTTTGTTGAAGATTATTATGGATTAACAAAGATAGCGCAAGACACCAGCAGACAATAGTCAGAAAGGCTTATAAATTCCCTTTTTTTTCCACCACGCTTTCCTCCTGCAAGTCCTAATATACATTAGGATTCACATGATATCCAAACTTTTAGCATTTTCTGCCCTTTTCCCAATCTAATTCCATTAAGAATGCAGTATGAGACAGGGTGGATGTACACTGCATACAATACAAGCCAATCAGTCTATCCTCAAATGCATATACAAAGCTCAATCACAACATTTCATACCATAAATTGAAGTACAAATGACAAACGTGTAATTTTAGTAGTGTACTACTGCCACAACTCAATGATCCAACGTCACACTCAATAGGGATAAAGCATAAATCAATCAGGCTCACAAAATTTTAATATTAAGATGCCTGTTGAATACTAAAAAAAATGCAATTTCTCACTTCAGGATAATTAACAATTTGCATATGTGCACTAAAAAGTACAAAAT